AAGGGAGTTTTTACCTGGTATTTGGGCAGCCTGTGGAAAGACACAGAGATGGAAAATGGGATGTCTTGTATGGGCAACATCAATAGGACCTTTAGATGGACCATAGAATGTATGAAGAAGAATAATATGTGGTAATCCTAGAAAGGTAAATGGATCTAAACTGTGAATAGCTTTAAAAGCCAAACAGAAGAGGTTGTATTTTGTGTCACAGGCAAGAGAGAGCCACTGTAACTTCTTGAGTAAGGGAGTGACGTGGTCAAACGTGGTAAGGTTTGTGGGTCTTGTTCAGCCAGTTATATGGTCTTACTTTAGTTCTCAGAGATATTACTATTACTCATTAAAATAATTCCTTAAAAGCAAGGACTGTCTTTTGTCTCTTTTTATATCCCCAGTACTTAGCACAGTACCTGGCACAGAGTAGGAGCTTAATAAATGTTTGATTTTTAAAAAAAATATGTTGTACTAAGATTATAATTTGAAGTTTTCTTGTGTAAGATAAGGGAGTTGTACATATAAGCACTAAAATTCTATGATTATTTGGATATTGCTGACAATGTTTTTCCCCTTTGTGGTATATAATTTATTGATAGAGTATTATTCTCATTTTTCAACTGGGAAAACACTGAGGCAAAGAATCATTTAAGGTATAAAATCTAAATTTACATTATGTCAGTCATAGAAACATATAGAATATATAGAATCTTAATTTCCAGTACATTAGTTTAAACAATTTGCCATGTTTTCTTCCTTTGAGATAAAGATTTGACTTTTTTTTCCATATTACAGATTGCATTCCTGTCATAATTTTTAAATAGTCTGTAAATTTGATGGAAATATTAGTAAATATTACTGAAGTTTTCCACCTGTCTGAAGTGTTCTGGCTGTGGAAAGGCTTATAATTATTTGACATACACATATTCAGTTGTAATTGTGGTAATTAAAAGCTACAAGCACAAGCCTTAAAGAACTCTCAGACCTTTACAAGTTGAAATCTAATTATAATATTATATATTATGTTAATTATAAGGAAGATATAATAAATCTCTTTCAAAATGGTATAGTATTGATCTTGGAGTCAGGAGACTTGGATTCTGCCTCAATGCTTGCCTTGGATCTGATATCTAGCTGCTCATTTAACTTTTCTGAGCTTCAGTTTTCTCATTTGCAAATCACCACATTACAGGGTTGTAAGGAAAACATTGTATAAACGTTATAGTGCTGTATAAATGAGTTGTGATGGTGTCAGGTTCCAAAGTGTGGCTCATAGAAACTTTCATTAAATTATTTAGTTCTCTACAGTAATGATATTATAAAGCACTTTTTTCCCTAGCCTCCTTTATATAATTTGTAAACTTCGTGTCATCTCATTTATCTGGCATGGATGGGGAATAAATAACTGAAGCATATGCCCTTTTTATTGTGAAATTCTTATTTATTTTTACTTTCTTGGATAGATGTCTTTATATTTTTGTAACTTACTAACAAATGGTATGGAACATAATTTAACTTCCTGATGATAAATGTTTATCATTATGAACATTAATTATTGCATTGTATATACAGTGTTGTTCTATTTTAAGTTGGTAAGTTTTTCTTTCTCTTCTGTCATTTTATTAAACTGGTGTCTTATGTACAACTGTAATTGCTTTATCCTTTCTCTTCTAATTTGTTGCTTTTAATCTGGATCAAGATAAATAAGTTTGATAGAAAAAATGACACCACTTTGTTAGAGTCAAGTTATAGTATCCAACTGTGGCTGATCAGACCAATATGAGCTTGGAATGCTCTACCACAGGTGGGGCATAAATAGTCCATGTGAACATTTGGAGTGGATTTTCTAAATGTATGCATCTCGAGTTTCTTTGAGGTACTTCAATTCTGCTTTGCTCATAGAGCACAACACCTTCTTTAATGGGGGTACACCATGCTGGGCAGTCCTTTGCCAGTGTCTCCCATCTTACACAATCAGTTCCAGAGTTCTTCAGAGAGACCTGAAGAGAGGGTCCTTGTATTGCTTCTTCTGACCACCCTGTGAGCACTTGTCTTCTGTGAGTTCTTCATAAAATAGCCTTTTAGGCAAGGATACGTTTTACATTCAGACAACATGGCCATTTCATTGCAGTTGTGCACTCTGCAGTGGAGTTTGAATGCTTTTGGCCCCTTAGCTCGAGAAAGGACCTCAGCATTTGGTACCTTATTCTGCCAGATGATCTTCAGAATCTTCCTTAGACAATTCAGATGGAAGCAACTTAGTTTCCTGGCATGGCGCTGGTATACTGACTAGATTACACAGGCATACAACACAGCAACTCTGTAGACCTCCTGTAGACCAAAGGGGAGCCTATTCTTCCACTCCTAACCACCAGAGCTTTCCAGGTGGCTAATAGGTACACAATCCAGTAGTAGTCTGCTCTTTCACAGACCCAAACCCAGGTCAGAAACTTGCAGAGTTCAGACTTGGGGCAGCAATCAGACTTTGCCTTGGATCACTTTGGGACCACTTTTGGGAAAACTTGCAAATCCCCAGCCTGTCCTGGAGATCCTGGAATAACACAACACTTAGTAACCCAAGAAGACAGCAAAAAGAACCGTATCTTCCCTCTAGAAGTGTGGCAGAGCCCAGCCCTAACACCAATTCTGAAGTCAGGAAGTAGGCTGGAAGGTTAGATAAACAAAAAAAAGAACCCTATCATAATCCTACCATTAATGATTTATTATGCTGACAGAAGCTCAAGATACAAATAGAAGAATAGAAATACTCCAAAACATCTACAAGCAATGCCTCAAAGAAAAACATTCAAATATGGGGAGACAACATGTTTCCCTCCTCAACCCTATCATGGGGGTTCATAGGAGTCCAATTAGACAAGGCCTAGGAATGGTTATCATGTCTTAATGATTGTAAGAAAGGAATGGAAAGGAAGGGCAATAGGAAATACTCGGGAAGAAGGGAAAGGAAGGTTAGGGAAAATTATCTCACATAATTAGGGTGCACAAGGAGATATCTATACAAAGGAGGACTGGGTGCATGAACAGCTGACACTTGAACCTCACTCTTATCTGAACTGGTTAAAAGAAGGAAGAATAAACATACACACACACACACAGTTGTATCTAGAAACACATTTCATTTAATAGGGAAATAAGAGGAAAGGGAGGGAGGGAGAATTAGTAGGAGAACAAATTAATGGAGGGATTAGTCCTAAGCAAAACAAGCTCTAAAGATGTACAAAAATATTTACAACTCCTTTTGAGGTGTCAGAATGGAAATCTGAAGAGGTACCCATAAATTGGAGAAATGGATGAATAAGTAATGGTATATAAATTTGATAAATACTATTTTGGTTAACATCAGGGTCATGAACAACCAGGATTCCAGAATACTGATTATGAAATATGCTGCTCCCTTCCTCATGGAGAGATAAAGGACTAAGAATACAGAAAGAGAAAATTTTTTTTGACGTGGGCAATGAGAAAATTTATTTTGATTGCCTATACATATTGGTAATTGGTTCTTATGTTTTCAGTTGAGGTTGGGGAGGGTTAGGAAGGTAAGAAGGGGAATCTTAGCTGATTAAAACAAATAAAATATCAAAAATTTAAAAAAAATCTTTAGCAGGAAGTATGAGTACTGCTTTGATAGTTTTTCATTCTTTATGAAAAATATTTAAGCCTTTCTAAAATATTGAATTCTACATTTAAAATCAACCTATAAGAAAGAAAATTCCATGTCGTGTAAATTCTTAATTCATAAGGCTTTATACCAATATCAGATGTGATATATCTGATAACTACAAATGCATATATAACATGAGTAGACTTTTCCCTCAGCTAGTAATGTCCTTCCAGATTACTTTGTTTATATATATCTATATATATATATCTATATATATCTATATATAGATATATATATCTATATATAGATATATATATCTATATATATACTGTGTACTTACATGCACACATGTTATTTTTCCCAATAAAATATAACTTTTGTCTTTGTTTCGCCAGTGTCTGGCACATATGAAGCATTTTAAAGATGCTTGTTGGTTGATTGCTATAACTCAACTAAGTATACCTCTTAATTTCATCCTCAGCTGTTTCAAAAGACAGTAGGAAAATAAATATGTCAAAGTGATAGTCTTGAAAAATAAGTAGCAACAAAGTACTTTGAACTATAGAGGTGCATAATGACTAGAGAAAAGATGTAGTATAGGAGGAAAAGTGCTGAGTTTGGAATCAGAAGAAACTCAGGTTAGTTTAGCCCAGGGGTGGGGAACCTGCAACTTTGAGTTCACATATGGCCTTCTAGGTCCTTGGGTGCGGCCTTTTGACTGAGTCCAAGTTTTATGGAACAAATACTGTCATTCTAGGATTTGTTCTGTGAAGTTTGGGTTTGGTCAGAGGGCCTTACTTGAGGACCTAGAGGGCCACATCTTGCCATGAGGCTGCAGGTTCCCACCCCAGGTTTAGCCTAAAATGTCAAGTGAATCAGGTCTAACACTGCTGAGGTGTGACTGTGGCCAAGACACTTCTCTCAGCATTAGTTTCCTAATCTGTAGATGGAGAATAGTGCCTACTTCACTAGATTGTTTTAAGTATCCAGTTAAAAGTCCTTGGTAAACCTTGAAGGCTCTACATAAAACAGCTATTGTTATTGCTGAAGATCACACTGATAATAAGTAGCCATTTCTCTGAAATAGAAGTCTGTCCTGTGGCATTCATTGATGTCAAATGATTGCAAATTATGGAATACCATATCCTTTGACGAGTTAAAGTTTCAGGTCACCAAGAAGACAATGAAGAGCCCTTATGAAAATGTGGCATCTGTTATGAAAACTCAGAATGACTGAGGTTGGCAAAAAAAAAAATTGAGTATGACAAAAAGGGATTTTTAAATTATATTGAGGAAAAGAAAGGGTTGGACCACTGCTCAGATTGGGTAAAAACAGAAAAAGGGAGAACTTCTCAACTCTCATTTTCCTTTTTTTTCTGCTCAGGAGTAGACAGAACAAGAGACAGAACAAAACTGGTTAATAAAGGTTAGTACTTAAGATCAGTAAGTAGATAGTCAGTGAGCACCTAATTGCCTGTAATCAGTTAAAGACACTTGAAGATCTGGGGGCATTTAATAGACTGCAAGCTCAATAAGAATCATCAATGTGCCATTATTGCAGACCAAAAAAACAATTCAGTTTCTGAGAGTCATAAAACTATAGAGGTAATAATTCTGCAGTGTTTGCCTTGGTAAGACTATATCTACAACAATCTGTTCTATTTTGTGTATTTTAGGATGGATATTGAAAAACTGAAATGTATTCAGGTGAGGGCAACCAGAATGATGAGGAACCTTGAATTCATGCAGTATGAAAATTAGTTGGGAGTGCTGGGGATAGTTAGCTTGGAGGAGAGAATTCTCAAGGTGATATGACACCCCCTTCAAGTATTTCAAGGGCTGTCGGATGTAACAGGTAACAGACTTGTTCTGCTTGGCCTCAGAAGACAGAACTAGGGGCAATAAATTGGAGTTGCTTGGAGTTAGATTTAGGTGTGAGGTAAGGAAAAACTTCTAACAATTAGAAATAACCACAAGTAGAATGGGTTACTCAGTAGATAATAGGTATGTTCCTCACTAGAGGTCTCCAAACTGAGCCTGGATGACCACTTGCTGGATATGTTGTAGAGGGCATTTTCAGAGTCTTGCCTCTGTTTTTTTAGCCACATCATTCCTTGTCCTCATTTCATATTATGTTCAGTTTTAGAGTTAGAAAATAAATTGGAAAATGCTTTATGTGCAACATACACTATCAGTTTATGGAAGATAAATTATTTTTCTCCTTTGACTTGTAACTGCTACTTTAATTTTACACAAATACATAATTTTCCTTTATCTGGTAATAGGCACTATTAGAATCCCCTACCAGTACTATGAAGTACTTCCTTTTAGAATGTTGTTGGTACTGTATGCTTAATTTCTGATAGGTAGTAATATGTTTTGCTGTTGTCACATACCCAATCTTATATTCATGTATTTTTATTTTTATAGAAAAATTATGAATTTGTATTTAAGATCTTACAGAAACTAAAATTGGTGTTCATTTAATATTTTTAATTGGTACGATCTTCTGCCTTATTTCCAGATTCAGAAGAAGATGTTGTTGAAACACCTGCAGTGTTTCATGATGAACATACCCATCAGGAGATAAAGGGCCACAAAACACTAGCAACTCCTGCAGTTCGTCGCCTTGCCATGGAAAACAATGTAGGTTCTCCCACTAATTTTTCTGTATGTATTCCCACTCTTTGAAAAAGATGATGTATTTATATTCCTTATTTCAGGGAGAAGTTTGAGGTCCTACAAGGCACTGAGCAATTTTCCAAGAGCAGTCCAGACCATTCTTACTACTTCTTCAGTTTGGGGCCCATTTAATTGTTCATCTGTAGTATCTCTCTAAGGTCTATATGTTAATGGACCTATTTGTCAATGTGTCATTGGGCTTTTGATTCAACTGTATATGATAGTTTAGACAATAGGAATCCTTCATCCACTCGATTTTTCCTATGTGGATTCTTGGGTCAAATTTTTTTCAATGTTGGAAGGAACCTAAAAGACTCCATTTAATATCCAATCTGTAACTGAAAAAGAATCCCCTTTATAATGTAATAGGTGGCTATAGTTGTTCGCGTGTTGTTGCTCCCATTAGAATGTGAGCTCCTTGAAGGCAAACTTTGTTTTTTTTTTTCTTTTCTTTGTATCTTCAGCCCTTAGCACAGTGTCTAGTACACAGTAAGTGTTTAATAAATATTTGTGGACTGACTGTCTGGTCATCCAGCCAGTGTGGGGATGCAGTGCTCCTTTTTCCTTTAGAACTGCAACCAATAACTCTGTATGGGCAATAGAGTTGCCAATCAGTACTAGCTGCACCCAGTCCAACAAAGAGTCTCCTGTAATCTCTATCCAATCCCCGTACTGTTTCTGGGCTGAGAGTTCTGGTATTTCAGCTTTCGCCATCACTGACACAGCTGCCTCCAAGGCCCTTGGCTTATTTGAAGACTTCTAATGAGGGGATCCCCCCTTATTTTCTCAAATAGTCTATTCCATTCTGAGATTGCTTCTTTGCTGCCCTCTGTGGTCAGATGGAGCATTCCTACTCACTCTTCTACATGACAGCTTCAGCTATTTGAATACTACTTTCATGGTCCCTCCAAGCTTATTAATATCCTTACTAAAATGTGGTACTGAACAAAATACTTCAAATATGGTCTGACCATTGTAAAATATAAGCCATTCACTTTCTTAGACAGTAGTCCATTATACCTCTTAATGCAGCCTGTAATAACAATAATAACAATATTTTTATTATATGATAATAATAATAGTTTTGGCTATTATATACTGTTGACTCATGGAGTTTGTAGCCCATTAAAACCCCTTTTTCATCTTTTTCAGATGAACTGTTGCCTAGCCATATCTCTTTCATCTTGTACTTGTGAAGTTGAATTTTTTTTTAACGGATTCAGATCCTGTACTGATCTGTTGAGATCTTTTTTGATCTCTAATTTGTTATTCAGTGTATGAGCTTCTTTAGGAGGCTTTACAATATTCAGGGACTTGTTGTAAACCACACAATGTCATCTGCAAAGAGGAGCCTATAGGGGATTTCATGAAGTATCGGGAATACTTCTGCCACTTGAGCACTTTACTGGACATCCTCCATGATAGTGGTAAATACCTTTGGTGAGCAAAAGTCTCCCTATTTTGTGCCTAGCTTGATATTAATGATTAGGATCATTGGACAAAATGACTTCTCTTTTATATTTCATTAAATCTTGAAAGTTGCACAAGAACCCCTCCAGTTTCATTATCTTTTTGCACTGCTGTATGTGAATAGGTATTCCCCATTCCTCATTAGTTCCTCTAGTGCTTTTCAATATCTAGTTTTTGGTAATAGAAATTTATATTCTTTTCTTATATCATCTCCTGTCCATAAATTGATAAAGCATATTGCACACTTAGTGTCATGGAATATCACACTCTCCAGAGAAGCAAAATTTCAGGTGATCCAAAAGCCAGTGGAAGAATGCACAGTAATCATATGTAAGCTGAAATATATTGCCAGCAAAGACTAGAACTCCAGAAGTCATGTAAGATATCATCAAAAAGCTATATGACCAGAAAATGTACTGAGCATTTATGAAGTTAGAGGGAGAGATAACTCATGTGCTCTGCTGATGTCCAAGGAAGGCCAGGAGTATGAAAGGTGGAACACCTCTAGAGGATTTATGAGAGGACATGTACAAGAGTTGCATAGAATAAGAAAGCACAAATGGCTTGTGGTCTCTTACTATTGTGGTACTACCTACATGGATAAGATCGCTGAAGTAAAGTATCGATCACTGATCATTGAAGTACCAAAATATTCTTATAAGGCATATTGAAATAGTATTTATTAAGATCTATAGATCAGCATAATAGAATGATAGGTGAGGAGAAGGCAAGGATATAACAAAAGAATAAATTTTTTTTCCTGAAAAAATTACGAGAGGAATAGTGGGAAATAAGGAATGGTAACTATTCACATGAATATAATTCATTATGGTTTAGAGACAGTGAATTCATTGCTTACTTCAAATGAACAAGAGTTGTCTTATTATTTCTGATTTATGTTTATTTAGTTAGTAGGGTTTTTTAATTTAGAAATTATTGCTTGTAGGACAGTACTGCAGCTAATCTACTGTTTGTTAAAGTAGTAAATGATTAGGAATTATCTACTTAGTAGTAATCTCATAGTTCCAAATCTTGACATTTGATTTTTTTTAAGTAAAGCTAAATCATGAACATTTAAACATAGCTTTTAAAATTATTTAAGTTCACAGAAAATAATTTACATAAATCCAAATATCCTGTATGACTGTGAGTCATGAAATAACCATAGTTTCTGAAGTGTTAAAGTTGCAGGTAACCCAAAGACTCAAACAAAAGAACAAATGTAAAAATGCTTTGCAGACTTTAAAATGCTATGTAAATGTCAGTTATTAGTATTATTGAAGCCTATGTGTGAGCTTTAGTGCATCACCAGCAGTGAGGCCCAAGAGATATGTTACTAGAAGAAGTAGGGTGTCCATGCCATGAGAGGTGTAATGGAAGGATACTCTCTTTGCTTCATTAGTGTTGATGCAGTGTTAGCAGATTTAAAGAAATGCCCCAAGCATATTAAATGGACACTTTGTAGAAAATTTATGGGAGAACATAGATGAAAGTTGCATAAGGTGAAAGGGTGATTGTGATCTGCAGTGTTGGAGGTAGTACTCACATTGATGGAATCATAGATTCATCCAGTTTGTGACAGGATGAATACAGTTTTTATCTTTCAAGGATAACTTAGTCCTTTGAAAAACATTTCGTATGGGGATGGGGTGGGGAGGGGAGCCAGAGCCAAGATGGCAGAGAAAAGGCAGGGACTCTCCTGAGTTATCCCAAATTTCCTTCCAAACAACTTTAAATAATCCCTCAAAACAAATTCTAGAGCAGTAGAACCACAAAAGGACAGGGTGAAACAATTTTCCAGGCCAAGACAACTTAGAAGGTCAGCAGGAAAGGTCTCTTGCACCAGGATGAAATGGAGCACAGTGTAGTGCAAGCCACACCCCAGCAAACCAGTAGCAGGCTGTGGAGGCAACTGAATCAGCAGCAGAGAAGCAGAGAATTCCAGGGCTTTCAGCCTACAGATGGTAAGAAGGTCAGATAACAGGTCAGAAGGAGATTCCAAGGGTCCCTTTGCTGGCAGTGAGTATAGATTCTTTTGTGTGACCCATATGCAAATCTAGGTCCCAGTCCTAGGTTGTAGTCCCAGGATGAGGAGGAGCAATAGCACACCAGAGTTTGAAGCTGCAGGGGAGCAGGGACTTTGGTTACAGTTCCAGGGTGGAAAAGAGTGCTTGTGGTGTCTCACAGATCAGAACACAGGCCAGGAGAATAGTAAACATGCCTCTCCTTAGATCATACCCCCTTGGAAGAGCTTAAAATGTACTGACACCCCAGAACTAGTTCTGAAAACAATTACACAAAAAACCTGAAGCTTGGGACAGAATCCCCTCCACTCCAGGAGCAGAGCCCAACTTCAGCATAAAGTTAAAAGTCAAGAAATAGGCTGGGAAAATGAGCAAACAACAAAAAAAAGAATAGGGCCATAGAAAGTTACCACAGAAGATCAAAACACAAACTGAAAAGACAACAAAGTCAAGACAGCTGCATCTAAAGCCTCAGTGAAAAATGTGAATTGGTCTCAAGCCCAAAAAGAATTCCTAGAAGAGCTCACAAAGGATTTGAAAAATCAGATAAGAGAGGTAGAAGAAGAATTAGGAAAAGAAATGAGGGTGTTGCAAGAATATCATGAAAAAAGAGTCAACAGCTTGGTAAAGGAGACACAAAAAATAGTGAAGAAAACAACACTTTAAAAAACAAAATAGGCCAAATGGTAAAAGAGGCACAAAAATCCACTGAAGAAAAGAACTACTTAAAAAGTAGAATTGGCAGAATGTGAAAGGAGGTACAAAGCTCACTGAAGAAAATAATTCCTTAAAAATTAAAATTGTACAAAAGGAAGATAGTGAATCCATGAGATACCAAGAAATAATAAAAGAAAACTAAAAGAATGAAAAGGTAGAAGAAAATATGAAATATCATTGGAAAAACAACTGATCTAGAGAATAGATTGAAGAGACATAATTTAAGAATTACTGGACTTCCTGAAAGCCATGATAAAAGAAAAAAGGGCCTAAACATCAACTTTCAAGAAATTATCAAGGAAAACTGGCCTGATATTCTAGAACCAGAGGGTAAAATAGAAATGGAAAGACCAAGCTTATCACCTCCTGAAAGACATCCCAGCATGAAACTCCCAGCAATATAATAGCTGAATTCCAGAGCTCCTAGGTCAAGGAAAAAATTTTGTAGGCATCCAGGAAGAAATAATTCAGATATCATGGAGCCACAATAAGAATAACAAAAGATTTAGCAGCTTCTGCATTAAAGAATCGGGGAGGTAGGAATATGATATTCTTGAGGGCAAAGGAGCTAAGGTATCAACCAAAAATCACTTACCCATCAAAATTGAGTATAATCCTTCAGGGGAGAAAAATGGATATTTGTGAAATAGAGGACTTTCAAGCATTCCTGATGAAATGATCAGAGCTGAATAGAAAATTTGACTTTCAATACAAGACTCAAAGGAAGCACAAAAAGGTAAACAAGAAAGAGAAACCATAAAAGATTCAGTAAGGTTAAATTGTTTGCTTTCCTGCATGAGAAGATGATACTTGTAACTCCTAAGAACTTTCTCATTATTAGGCAATTAAAAGGAGTATACACAGACAGAAGGCACCAGGTATGAGTTGAATATAGTGGGATGATATCTAAAAAAATAATATTAAGGGGTGAGAAAAAGGAACGCACTGGGAGAAGGGAGAGGTAGAATGGGATAAATTGTCTCACATGAAAGAGGTATGAAAGAGCTTTTAAAGTGGAAGGAAAGATGGGGAAAGTGTGTGTGTGTGTGTGTGTGTGTGTGTGTGTGGTGTGGGGGAACTGCTTCAACCTTTCTCATACAAGTATTGGCTCAAAGAGGGAATAACATACACACTCAATTAGGTATAGAAATATATCTTACCTTACAGGAAGGTATGAAAGGAAGGAAATAATACAAGAGGGGGAGGGACTAATAAAAGGGAGGGCAGATTGGTGGAGTCAGTAATCAGAAGCAAAACACTTTTGAGGGTGGAAAGGATGAAAGGAGAAAGAGTAGGATAAATGGGGGAAAACAGGATGGAGGAAAATACACAGTAATTTGAAAAAAATTTACAGCAAGTTTCTCTGATAAAGGCCTTATTTCTCAAATATATAGGAAATTGAATCAAATTAATAAAAAATAAGAGCCGTTCCCCAGTTGATAAATGGTCAAAGGATATGAACAGGCAGTTTTCAGACAAAGTAACCAAAACTATCTATAGTCATATAAAAATGGTCTAAATCACTTTGATTAGAGAAATACAGATTAAAACAACTCTGAAGTACCATCCTATACCCATCAGATTGGCTAATATGACAGAAAAGGAAAATGACAAATGTTGGAGGGGATATGGGAAAATTGAGATACTAATGCGTTGTTGGTGGAGTTATGAACTGATTCAACCAATCTGGAGAGTAATTTGGAAGGTTATAAAACCGTGCATACATTTTGACTGAGCAATACCACTACTAAGTCTGTATTGCAAAGAGATCAAAGAAAAAGAAAAAGACCTATATGTACAAAAATATAACAACTCTTTTGTGGTAGCAAAGAATTGGAAATTGAGGGGATGCCCATCAATTGGGGAATGGCTGGCTGAACATTATAGTATGTGATTGTGATGGAATACTATAGTACTATAAGAAATGATGAGCAAGATGCTCTCAGAAAAACCTGGAAAGACTTCTATAAACTGACTCAAAGTGAAATGAGCTGAATGAGGAGGATGTTGTACACAGTTATAGCAATGTTGTACGATGATCAGCTGTGAATAATGACTTATTCTCAGCAGTACAATGATCCAAGACAATTCCTAAGAACTTATGATAAAAAATTCTATCCATCTGTAGAGAAAGAACTGATGGAATCTGAATGCAGATCAAAACATACTTTTTCCCTTTCTTTTTGATCTGTTTTCTTTCACAGCATGACTAATGTTGAAATATGTTTTGCATGACTACACATGTATAACCTGTGTCATATTGCTTGCCTTCTCAATGTGAGGGGAGGGGAGGGAGAGAATTTAGAATTCAGAATTTTAGAAAAGAATGTTAATATTGTTTTTACATGTAATTGAGAAAAATATTAAATTTAATTCAAAGAAAGAAAAACATATAAATGGAATAGAGCTTAAGAATGAGGAATTGATGCATAATATTTGCAAGAATGTAATCAGTTATTTCTCTACCCGCATTAATGTAGACAGAATAGAATTATAGTTTAATAGAAATACCATGCAGCTACATCAAAAATTAAAAAGAGGCAAAAAGAAGCAGGGAGTAAAGTAGTCTAAAATGATCTTTTTTTCAAATTAAGCTATAATATCTTATTTACTCAAGAGTAAACAATATAAATGTAAACATTGTAAAAATATACTTCTGTTGAGTAAAATTCTGGAGTTGAAAGGCATTAAAGTATAGTTAAAAGTGTATTTGTGTTACTGTTATCTATCATTCCTCTTAAATGATGGAATAAAAGCGTTTATTAAGCATTCTTTTTGTGCTAAGCTTTGAGGCTACAAATAGAAAATCCAGACTGTCCTGTTCTCAGCAAGTTTACATTCTAACTGGATGAGGTAGCACAAATGAAAAAATTCAATTATAGAAGAGTAAGAAAGGCCTAGTGGTCCAGGCCATCAGGATACAATGATGGAAGATAGAAAAGTCCAGGGGTTCTTAAGGTTTGGCACCAGGGCTGGTAGCAGTAACTTCACTTAGACCTGGTCCTTTAGGCCTACAGTAATATACATTGATGAGATTTTAAGCAGTTTGATAACGACAAGAGCATTGGATTTTAATTCAGAGGACCTAGGTTTGAGTCTTATGTGACCTTGGGTATGTTATTTAACCTCTCAGGGCTTTTCATGCGTGATCTATAAAATCAGGGGCTTGGACTACTTGATGTTTAAGGCCCTTTTCAGATCTAAATTTATGATCCTGTGATCCCCCAATAAATTAGTTTCCTGTACAACATCCTAACATTCAGCTTCTGTTTAAATATATCCAGTAAAAAGGAACTCGATACTGCATGAAACTACAAACTGCATGTGACTACTGTCCATTACATTTTCAAACAGCTCTTGTTAGAAAGTTTCTTATGTTGAGCCAAAACTTCTCTCCTTGTAATTTAATATTACTGAATCTCAGTGTTGGAAGTCCAACCTGACTCTGAGCGTCCCTTCTTTAACATCCTCAACAAGTCATCATCTAATCTCTGCTTAAAGACCTCCAGTGAACCTGATCCTTCCTGAGGCAACCCATTCTACCTTGGGACATTTTTAATTTTTAAGAAGGAAAACTTATATCATGTCAAATGAAAAGAACACAGAATCAAGAGAACATTGTACACAGTAACAGAAATACTATAACAGTAATCTGTGAAAGATTTAGCCACCCTGATCAATACAATGATCCATGACAGTTCCAAAAGACTCATGATGAAAAATGCTGTTTGCCTCCAGAGAGAGAACTGATGACCTCTGAGTACCAATTGAAGCATTTTTTCTTTCTTTATTTTTCTTGCTTTTTTGCAGCATGGCTAATATGGAAATAGGTTTTGCATGACTTGTTCCGCTAAGCATTATCTCCTCCAGGCTAAATATCCTTACTTCCTTCAACCAGTCCTTCTAGGTCATAGTCCCTAGGGTTTTCACTATGTGGGTTGCTCTCCTCTTGAGGAGTTCCTTGGAAAGGAAACTCATCAGTTTCCTTCCTAAAAATATGGTATGCAGAACTAACGACAGTATTCATGATGTGGTCTGAACAAGGCAAGAGCATCTGTGACTTCTACTCATTAGTCCTAGTTTCCTTCTGGAGCCAAGCAGAATAAGTCTTAGCCTTCTTCCATAAGACAGCTCTTGAAAACTTTGAAATTATCATTACCTGTCTCTCTTTCCCCAGACTAAACATCCCCAATTGAATGAACCAATCCTTAACCCAGAATTTAAGATATTCAGATGCCAAATGTGCCTCTAATATGATTATTTTTGATAATTTATACACTTCTCTCTCTCTCTCTCTCTCTCTCTCTCTCTCTCTCTCTCTCTCTCTCTCTCTCTCTCTCTCTCTCTCTCTCTCTCTCTCTTCTCTCTCTCTCTCTCTCTTTCTCTTTTTGCTTTTTGGTGAGGCAGTCGGGGTTAAGTGACTTGCCCAGGGCCACCTAGCTAGTTAAGTGTCAAGTGTCTGAGGCCAGATTTGAACTGGCTCCAAGGCTGGAGTTCTATACACTGTGCCACCTAGCTGCCCCAATTTATATACTTTTCTAGCAAAAAAATAAATGAAGGTATTTGAGAGCTTTGTTATGGTCGTTCTTTTCATTGTTCTACTTTTATTTAACCAACAAATTGGTTAAAATTTGTTGGTATTTAACAAACAAATGTCATTTTCAAATTTTAAGTGGTCAGTTTTCATTTATTTTTGTTAACCTTTTTTTTCCATAACAGAAGTTCGGTAATGTTTTATGCGCCTCTAAGAGTGGCTGAAAGCTTAAATCATTTGAGTTCACCTTCAGCAATTTTGAATTATAGTTTAGTTAGCACATAAACAAACTAAAACAGTGAAAAAGCAATTATCTTCTGAGTGAGAAATACTGAAGTATGAACTATAATTTTAATCCTAGAGCTTTTCCGATATATTGAAGATGTTAATGTTTAGCTTTGTCCTGTTGAGAATGGATTAATTTATTAACTGAAGACAATCTTGTTTTTGTTATACATTACTTTTCAGATAAAACTGAGTGAAGTTGTTGGAACAGGAAAAGACAGTAGAATCCTTAAAGAAGATATTCTCAATTATTTGGCAAAGCAGACAGGAGCTATTTTACCTCCATCACCAAAGTCTGAAATCATCCCACCTTTACTAAAATCTGAAACAATTCAGTCTATTCCTGTACCAGTATTAAAACCTAAAGTATTTACAGGCAAAGATAGAACAGAGCCCATAACAGGTAAAGTCATTAATATAATGTATCAGTAAAATAACTTTTGGGGAAGTTTCTTCGAAAGGTCTGGTCAAGTATGACATTGGCAAATTTATGATGAATTGAATTTGTTGAGGAATTCTCTCAACCAAGAGGAATGGAACCTTTTGGGGAGATGTGTATCCACCAGTGGAAATCTTATAACTGTGGGTCGTGGATAGGAGGTCAAACTTAAGGTAAGAAATTTATTAGTATGCTAAGGAAGATGGCTTTCACTGAGTTAGCTTCAACTTTCTAGGGTACAGATATGGTTTTTATAACCTTTCAGGCTGGTTTAGCATTCTGCAGAAGCTTAGAATAGATAAATAAAGCATTACACAGGAGGGAGGGGAGGCATAGAGAAAGAGAGGTGCTCAGCTGAATCAGAAGAGGGGAGTATTTGGTGTGCAACTGGCAGGATTTATTATAAGAAAACAATCCTCGTTCAAGGGCAGTAGACTGGGGGAAGTAACCAAATGCTTTTACAATTGTGAAAGAAGTCCTTTCTGTAGAAGTGTCTCTGCAGAAGACTGCAGAGTCTCTTAAATAAGGAAAGCAAGTAGTTGTTACAACAGTAGATGAGGCTATCCGCTTTTCTCTGTCCTTTCCTAGTTTGTTATATTTTGTTTCTTCTTCGACAAGGTTTTAGGACTTTCTATTCTGTTATTAGACCGCCAGGTAGTTAGGGGATTAGTTCATCAGGAGGCTGCAAAGTAATTTTGATTCCTGTTTTTCTCCAAGTTTCATCTAAGTATTAGTTAAACGGGTAAATTTTTGATAATGTCTAATGAGTAATACTGGAGCAAGTTTACTTAAAATATAAGCTCTATTATTTATGGTTTTATTTGAAGACATGCAAAATTTCAGCTTTTCCTTTTGAATTCAAGTGTTCAGAAGATAGCATATTCTGGTTTACTTACAGACTCATACAAAACATCTGGGGACTATCTGCAATATTGTAAATGACAGTCATCACCTGACAATTAAGTCAAAAGAGACTTATCTGCTTAAATTCTCATCTTGAGCTATTGAATATTTCACCCTTAAAAAAAAGACCACTTAAAACAATGCCATATACCATTGGATAAATTTCCCTTAGTCGTCCAAAATCAGCAGCTTCCAGATATAGTTGTCATAAGAAAAAAAGGATTTAATTTTTGAAATTAAAGATTATAAAAATGTAATGTTTTGTTAAAGTAAGTTTCTAATAATAAATGGTTACTTAATTTTTTCCAGGCTTTGCGAAAACTATGGTCAAGACCATGTCTATGGCCATGAAGATTCCTCATTTGGGTTATTGTGATGAAGTTGACCTTACTCAGTTGGTTAAGCTACAAAAAGAATTAAAGCCCATAGCTTTAGCCCGTGGAATTAAACTCTCCTTTATGCCTTTTTTCTTAAAGGTGAGAATTCATTCATATTAGAGGCATCAAATATAGAGCAATTGAAATTCAGTTTATCAACTGAATGTGGATTTTCCAATCAAATATTACTTTTTATTCAAATATACTATTTAAAATTTCTCATGAATTACCCTTTTTCCCTTGTTCCCCCAGAGTTCTTAACCTAAGTATCTCCTTACTATCTTTTATCTAACCATCCTTTCTAAGTATAGTGTTGTCTGTTGTGAGACATTTAGTCTATATTGACAGGGTCATATAATCTTAGATTTATTCAATTCATTAAACAGTAATTAAGCACCTACTATATATAAGGTATTTTGCAGAGAATATAAAATACAAACAAAAATGTTCTTAACGGATTTTATTTCCAATAGTTGCAATGGTTTTATCTTTAGGAGCTCATATACTCCTAGGGGGATATACCATGTGCACTTGTAAAGACAAAGTATAAGCAAAGCAATATAAAGTCATGTCAAGAGGGGAGAGCATACTAATAATGGAAGGATGTCAAGAAAAGGCTTAGGTGGAAGGCATTGCCTGGGGACAAACTAAGGACGTTTTGAGGGGAAGAGGATAAAGGAGAGCATTCCAGACAGTGGGTGAGGTGGGGGTGGAGAGGATGTGTTTAAACCAGCGTTAGGTAAGATTGTTTTAGTAATTGTGTGAAAGTTACACTAGATAGGGGGGAGACCAGACCCAGGCAGTCGGAACTGTTAATAGTTCAGCTGAGACTTGACAAGGACATAAATGAGGGTGGTAGCAGTATGTGAATTCAAACAATTTACATATGGTTAAAAGGAAAAAATATGTATGTTAACGTGAATAAAATATTTAAAAACTAACATCTTATTTACTTGTCTTCTCTTCCAAATTATTTTATTCTGTGTACTTATTTGGTTGTCATTATCATGATAATTTTATGTAGTTAGCAGTGTGTATGTTCTGGTTCTACCTTCTTTACTCTATCATTTCCTAAGGCTTTCCATATTTCTTTATATTCTTCATATTTGTCATTTATTGTGGTGCATCATATTGTACATTTCTTGTTTTGTTTTATTTTTTGTTTTTGGCAGTTGGGGTTAAGTGACTTGCCCAGGGTCACACAGCTAGTAAATGTCAGGTGTTTGGTCTGTTTGAGCTCAGGTCCTCCTGACTTCAGGGCTGGTGCTCTATCCACTGCACCACCTAGCTGTCCCCATATTGTACATTTCTTATATGACATTAATACATCACAGTTTATTCAGGCATTCCATAGTCGTTGGACACATAGAGTGTTTCTAGTCTTACACTATTGGAAAAAAAAGCTACTAGGAATATTTTTTTAACAGAAAGGTCTTCTTTTCCCCTTTTAACTAACTTTCTTAGAGTATAATCCTAGTAAGTAAGAACAGTAGGCCAAAAAGGCACAATTAGTTTATAACTCATATTATGCATTGCCAGATAATTGTTTTCCAAAATGGTACACCATCAGAAGTATAACAGAATGCCAGTTTCCCATACTGACAGCTAAGTTGAATTTTATAGTATTTAACTATCTTTGTCATTCTAATGAGTATAGAGTTGTTCAGTGGAGATCTGTATTGATAAAAAAGTAGTGTCCTTGGTGAAATCATAGGTCATTGAAGTAAATGTCTATTTGTTTGGTAGGTAAGCATTTTCCTTTTCTCTGCAATTGAGATAAAAAAGAAGGAAAATTAATGTTTTGTGTTCATGTAATAACTATTTTTACATCATTGATAGACTTTTTACTAAATTATATGATGTGAGCCTGCATCAATGATTTATCATAAGATGGAGGCAACCTTGGGTTTTCCAGGGCTATGCCAGAGGAACACAAGCTTTTGTAAGTCATAACAAGTTGAACAGGCCTCAAGTAGGGACCCAGAGATTGACTATATGTCTGTTATATGATGATGAGGTTAGCTAAATTAAAAGAGACTCATTACCAGGTTGGTTTGCAGGGTGATGAATTATTTCACCATAGCAACTCTTGAAGACTTTATAGCAAGTTGAGAAGAGAATTACCTTTTCTGACATCATCATGGGTAGTTGAAATGTAAGACATGAAATTGTGGGTCTAATCTCCATTTTTTTCATCATATTTCTATGCGGTTTATAAAATGAAAATTGTTAGAAAATGATCCCTTACCCAAGATTTTGTAATCTTAAGCTTATTAACCACTAATAAATTGTATGCCTTTGATTTTAATGCTGAATTTTCTATTTGATTCATTAATTTACTTTTTCATCTAGTACCAAATAATTACCACTTGTGCAGCTTCTCCTTACTCCTCACTTTTCCTCCATAGTTCTCCTTGATGTTTTTGTGTCTTTGTTTTTCAATGTAAATTTTGTTATTTTGTATATTCCAGTGGTTTGAGGTATGTTAAATTTCTAAATTAATTTAAGTAACATTGATAATTTCTTTTGGTATGTTACTTTATTTCCTAATTTCAGTAAATGCAAACAACTCATTTGAGTTTTGTTGTTTTTCTTGTTAATATAGGTATTCTGGGCTATAAAATCTCTGAATTGTGTCTTGTGTTTATGATGTCATTATCTTTGAAGTAATCTGTTTTTATTTCAATAGTTCTTTAATACAGGCTGCATTTTAATACATGCTTAAAAAATTTCCATTTAGGCTTGTACCTTTTGATCATGTGTTTGTCATTTTTTTTTCAGTTTTATTTTATTATGATACTTAAATCTACAAAATCTATCTGTGAATTTAACTGTAACTTTTCCATAAGCTAGGTCTTGATTAGCTTTGTGAATGTTTCATTTGTTTTTGAAGAATGTATATATCACCTGTTTATTCCATTCAGCTTTTCCCATCTCTGTCAAAATCAATTTCAACACTCTATTCAAGCTGTAACCTTGTTTTATCTTTTTGTTTGCATTGTATTAGCAGAGTATGGAAACATCCTATTAACTTTCTATTTATTTATTCTTAGGAAATACTTAATTTTTTCTTTATCAATTTAAGTACTATATTATTTGGTACTTTTCAAGATTCTTAAAGTCTCCTCAGTGGTACCTTTAAGCACTAAGTATCCTTGTTTATCTTAATGATTTCTAATTTAATCTTAGTATCATTGCTGCAGCACAAAATTTTCTTGAACTGGCTATAGCATGACAAAATTTACTTTTTCTTACATCTCTTTATGCTTTTTGACTTTTTGACATTAGAAATATTTTCTATGGGTGACATTATTGAATTGTGTTTTCAGTGCACTCTATAACTGTATCTTTTTGTAGGAGAATTCAGTCCATTTATTTTCAAAATTGTAATTGTTAAATTTGACTTACCTCTTAAATTATTTGTTGTGTTCCTTTTGTCAGAAAGGAATTCATTTTTCATTATTTTAATAATTTCAGTTCTTGCTGAACTTAACCAAAAAACTAAATTCATTTGTTTTATGTTACTCTTTAATCTGTACCAAATCCCAATATCCTTTGTTAAAGATAGTTTTGTTGCAAAATCTCCGTGTCTCCTCCTATTTTATAATTATTAGCCTTTACTTTCTTCTTAAATTTTTTTTAAACTGTAGTTTCACTGAGGCAAGGGCTTTCAGTGAAGAGCATCTTCTGTCAGTGCAAATTGGTGCGTTATCTGCAACTTATAGGCTTAGAGAGTTCTCTGAGAATACTGAGTAGTTCTGTGACTTGGCCTAGGGCTACTCAGCCAATATGTGACAAAAGCAGTACTTGAACTTGAGGCTCCAAAGCCAGCTGTCTAAAAAGCTATATCATAATGGCTTTCATATTATCTGTATTGCTCCTTGTGATGTTTTTTTGCCATTATCCCTTCCTCTTTTTGCCTTCCCATTCCACTTAAATAAAACGGTACCTAAGTTTTTTAGTCCTTTGTTGAATGCACTGAGCTAACAGTTAGGTAAGCAGAGTTAAAAAGTATTCTAACTCTTCTGGGTATTTTCTCTAGGTCTTCTCAAAAAGTTTTTGATTGCATTTCTATTCTCCCCTCCCTTTTCTTCTCCTTTCTATTTTCAAGCTATTTTTTCACGAATGTTTTTTAGGAACCTTTTGTTTACCCTAACTATCTAGTCTGAAGCTAAATCTTTTCTCCAGAAATTACTCAAATTATTCTTGAATTAAATAAGCCCTGTGATCTTTTGTTTTCAGTAAGTATTTAGTTTTGCAAGAAGATAGATTCTGGGGTTGAACCTTATATTCTCCTGTATTATAATTCATTTTCTTCTGTCAATTCTTGTTCTTGTAGAAGAATCTTACTAGATTTGAATGTATAGGTTTTTTGGTAAATAATTTGATTTTTGGACAGAAGGATTTTTTCCTTTGTCTTCATAGCTTGATATTTGCTGCATTTAGATGAGCTGAATGTGGAGTCCTTATTAGTGTTCTGTGGATTCTCTTTTTTAATTATGATGACATCTTCTATACGTTAGGAAGTTTTCTTGTGTAGTTTCCTGGAATATAATGACCAGATCATTACCTTTTTCAAAATTGTCTAGAATTGCAGTTGTCTTGAAGATCTCCCCATCTTTGTCTCTTCTCCAGATTCATCACTTTCCTCTGTATTAATTCCTAGTATTTTTCTAATAATATTAATTTATAGGTTTATTTTTCACAATTTTCTTCCATTCTTCTGTCCTTCAATTGACTAATTTTGTGTTTAATGTCTTCCATTAATGTCATATTTTCTATGCTAATTTCTAAATCAGGTTGAAGTTCAATATTATGCCCTTATTTTCCTCAGGTATTTCTAGCTCTTCACTTATTTCCTCTTGTGTTTCTTTGCACATTCCATTTCTTTTCATTCTTTTCTTTGTTATCTATTTTATTGTACCAAGGTATTCCTTCTCTTTTTTGATGCTGTTGTTGATGCTGTTTCATTACATTTTACACAAGTGTTTTTTTTTTTTTACCATTTTTTATCATTAGCATTCTTGTGAAGTTTCCTAAGTATACAGAGGCTTACCACTGGGAGGGTGGCCACTGGAAGATCAATTCCTTGGTCATTGCAATCCATGAAACTGAGTAGGGGCCTCAAATATCACATAGCCTGAATCTCTCCTTTCAAAGAAGTGTTAGGTCCATAGAATTTGTAATGTTTTATTTATATGAAGGCATGTCTTAGATTTTAGAAATTAATTTTGGTTCTATAGAGGTCTGTCCTTTTCCATCTCTCATCCTCAAAGTCCCTTTGACATTCAAAAGCTGACTACCTTGTCTTTGTTTCTTGAATGGTTAGAGCTATCTCATTCTCTCAGATCAGAAGTTTACTTTTAAGATCAGTGTCACCTATTGGTGTTATTGGCTTGAAATTAGACCCAAGATAAAAAAAAAGGTTTGTGGTTTTTTTTCCCCTCCCCTTCTTCATGGCCAATTTAAATAACTAAAGTTAGCATTTTTCTTCTGTTTACTAGGCTGCATCTTTGGGATTATTGCAATTTCCTATCCTCAATGCTTCAGTGGATGAAAACTGCCAGAATATAACATATAAGGTTTGTTCAGAACTATTTTTAAAAGTCCTGCAATAGCAACTGGCTTAAATGGGTTTGTATTTGAAAGATGCTGGCAGCATACCTTTGATAAATGTTTTTAAGAAAGGGAACAAAGAATATGGGAAAAAAAATTGATCATGTTGTTTGGAAATAGGGGTTTACTACTTTAAGGAACTTTTGTTTTTATCAGTGCATGAGACAGATAAAGACTTTGAGGAAAAGAGAGGGACACTGAAGGGAAATGATTTAATTTGTAAAAGAAGCCTCCAGAAATCAATTTCCAGGAATTTGCAAAAAAACAAACAAAAAAGATCCACTTTAAAGAGGCAAGATACAGGTTGTGTTCTATTGAATAACTTGATTTTATTTCATCTCCTGTATGTAGACTGTAGTGCTTTGTTAGATTTGTGATGAAAGTACTTTTTAAAAGAAAAATTACCTTCAGGGCAGCTAGGTGGTGCAGTGGATAGAGCACCGGCCCTAAAGTCAGGAGGATCTGAGTTCAAATCTGGCCTCAGACCAAACACTTGACACTTACTAGCTGTGTGACCCTGGGCAAGTCATTTAACCCCAATTGCCTAAAAGCAAAAAAAAGGAAAAAATTATCTTCTAGTGCAAAAAATCAGTATCAAATTTATACACACACAGACATATGTATAGAGTGTGTATGTGTGTGTGTGTGTGTATATATATATGTATGTGTGTGTATATATATATGTGTGTGTGTATATATATATATATGTGTGTGTGTGTATATGTATGTATATTTCATTAAAACATTCCCAAAGCATTGATTTGTACAAAGAAATTTGTAGGCAAAACCAACTTTTACTTTTGTGAAAAAACTAGCTGTTAAAATATCTGGCTTGGATTTTTTTAAAATATAAGACAACTTTTATTTCACCCTGTAGAAAATGAAGGGGAGAAAAACAGCATAAAGGAATCCCACTAGCTCACAGTCAGAATGGTTCCATTTCTCTCTAGTGTGTTTTAACTGCTCCCCTTCCTCTACCTCTGGGGACAATCCAGTCTTCCAGACTTATACCACTCATCTTTGTTTTATACTCCCTTGGAAGGAAAATTATTTTGGGTGTAGTAGGGAGGCAAACCCCAAATATTGTGTTGAGTCTGTCTTTTATCTAGACTCATATATTCCTCTGAGGGCCCAGTCTCCCCCCATCCTAGAAGGTTAGAGGGACAAACCCTTCCCATTGGACTGTCCCATCTAAAATACTCATAGTAATAGTGAAAGGCACAATCTAGACCTTATACTCCTCTGTATTGTGACTTTATTCCCTTGTTGCTCCTCTAGCTTCAGTGTCATATATTTAATCCTCCACTTCCTATAAGAGGAAAGATCAATTCTAGAACTGTTAAACTTGCTCTGCTAGGGGGTGGGTCATCTCTAAAACACTCAATGCACAGGAAATCTCCCCTTTTATTTTTTAAAAATAATATTTTATTTTTTCCCAGTTACATGTAAAAACAATTTTAACATTTGTTAGTTCGGGGTTTTTTTGAGTTCCAAATTCTATCTTTTCCTCCCTCTCCTTCCCCCTTCCTGAGACAGTAAGCAACCAGATATAGGTTATACGTTCGCAATCATGCAAGACATTTCCATGTTAGTCATTTTGTAGAAGAAAACTGACCAAAAAAAAAAAGTGAAAAATAGTATGCTTTGGTCTGTGTTCAGATACCATCAGTTCTTTCTCTGGAAATAGCATTTTTCATCATGAGTCTTTTGGGATTGTCTTGGATTATTGTGTTGCTGAAAATAGCAAAGTCATTCACAACCGTTCATGGTACAGCATTCTTGTTACTATGTACCATGTTCTCCTGGTTCTGCTCTCTTCACTCTGTTATCAGTTCATATAAGTCTTTTCAGGTTTTTCTGAAATCAGCCTGCTCATCATTTCTTATAACACAATAAAATCATTACAAACATAAATCAGAACTTGTCTAGACATTCCCCAATTGATGGACATGCCCTCAATTTCCAGTTTTTTTGCCACCACAAAAAGAGTTGCTATAAGTATTTTTGTACAAATAGGTCATTTTCCTTTTTTAAAAAATCTCTTTGAGATACAAGGATGTGCATGGTTTTATAGCCCTTTGGGCATAGTTTCAGATTGTTCTCCAGAATGGCTGGATCAGCTCACCATTCCAACAACAATGAATTAGTGTCCCAGTTTTCCCACATCCCCTCCAACATTTATCATTTTCCTTTTCTGTCATATTAGTCAATCCAATTGGTGTGAAATGGTACCTCAGAGTTGTTTTAATTTGCATTTCTCTAATCAATACTGATTTAGAGCATTTTTATGTGACTATAGATCGCTTGATTATTTCATCTGAAAACTACCTATTCATGTCCTTTGACCATTTGTCATTTGGGGAATGACTTGCATTCTTATAAATTTGACTCATCTCTCTCTAGTGTGAGAAATGAGGACTTCATCAGAGATACTTGCTGTTAAATTTTCTGCTTTCCTTCTGATTTTGGTTGCATTGGTTTTATGTATGCAAAAATGTTTTGATTTTATATAATCAAAATTTTATATTTTGTAATGCTCTCCATATCCTGTTTGGTCCTTATCCATAGATTTGGCAGGTAAACTATTCCATGCTTTCCTAATTTGCTTATGGTATCACCCTTTATATCTAAATCACGTTCCTAGTTTAACCTTATTTTGGTGTACAATGTGAGATGCTGATCTACCCCTAGTTTTTGTCGTATTCCTTTCCAATTTTCCCAGCAGTTTTTTGTCAGATAATGAGTTTTTGTCCCAAAAGCTTGGATCTTTGGGTTTATCAAACACTAAATTACTGTAGTCATTTACTATAGTATATTGTGTACCAAATCTATTCCACTGATCTACCTCTCTGTTTCTTAGCCAGTAGCATATTGTTTTGATAATTACTGCTTTATAATAGTTTGAGATCTAGTATGTGGTTTGGATTTTGGAATTATCTCTAGGGTAAGTGATTTTGTTTCAGTGCTCTGTGAATTAGAATAGATTTAAAACTTTATTGTAAAATTGAATTATTTGGAGTGGGGATAGAAAAATAATGAGTTTTTTTAATAAACAATTGTAGGGATTACAGAGGGAAAAGCAGCCTTCTTTTAGGGGAACACAGCAAGAACATAGTCTTTCCCTAATTTGTTATTCAGTTGTTAACTTGGTTAAAGAACTACTGTTGCCATTTTTAATTTATAGGCTTCTCATAATATTGGAATTGCTATGGATACTGAACAAGGGCTTATTGTCCCCAATGTGAAAGATGTTCAATTCCGTAGTGTGTTTGAGATTGCCATTGAGTTAAATCGTCTACAGAAACTGGGTTCTACAAATCATCTGGGAACTGCTGATGTCACAGGGGGAACATTTACGTTGTCCAACATTGGATCAGTGAGTACTGTAGTAATTAAAATATTCATATTTATAAACTGAGTCACAAAATTTCAGAATTGAACAGAATCAGGAATAAATCCTGAAAAGTTTTTCTTTGTAGCAATACTAAATTTGCTTCTTGCCAACTTTAATCTGTTGCTCCTAGTAATCTCCTCTGGGCCAAGTAGAATGTCTCTCATTCTTCTGTAAGATGAACAACCTTTTCAAATACTTGAATTCAGCTGTGATTTCTGCCCAAGTCTTCTCCACACTAAACATCCCCAATTTCTTCAGCTAGTCCTCATATGGCTTGAACTTGAAACAAATGAAAAGCCTGAGAGACAGAGTTTCTGGGTAATTAATAATCAATTTATTAATTAGGTTTGCAAATAATAAATTCATAATCAGTGGTCTGTCCCTCTTGGTGACCAAAAGACAAACCATAGAGATCATCAAATGCTTAAATACCTTTAGAAAAATGGGTGCCCCTGACAGGGGGATATCAGTCCAGATTGGTGAACAATCAATGAAGTAGGGTAGGCAGACTCTCAAATGGGGAGTTGGGTTGAAAGCCTTCAGCTCCTCCTACTGCTTGAGATTCAGCTGCCTCCGATTATCTAGACAAAGGGATACATCTCCTCCTAGACCACTTAAGCTGAACCTTGTGGGGCATGAGCCTGATGTTTTTTAGAGGCAGAATTTATTAAATTCTCTTTACATTTTAATCAGAAAAAAGCTGTCCCAGTTGAATGGGGTGAATGTTCTGGCAGGTTAGGCCAATCTCATCATTGGCCCTGTTCTTCAGAGATTGACTGACCTACAAGGGCTGGTCCCTGAATCAGGAAATAAAAAGAGAAAAAAACCTGGAACCCAGTACTAATAATTGATTATTAATAAAATAGAAAAATAATCACTTCTCTCAAACTCAAGTCCCTTTGTTAATATGGAGATTTTGAATCATATCTATATATCTAAAAATATGAAGTTATAAGTATAAAATAACCTCTAAAATTCATGAGTATTTTTTCTAAAATCCCGATTTTTGTATTTTTCTCTTTTTTAGATTGGTGGTACCTATGCCAAACCATTGATATTGCCACTGGAAGTAGCAATTGGAGCTCTTGGAGCCATAAAGGTATAGATGGATAAGTAATTGAGGAATATCAGCCCTAATTGAATTTAATCCTTTTGCAGTGGTAGAAGCAAAGTGACCCTTTGTGACGTTTGTCATCACTTTGTAGATTTGAGTTTCTGAAAGTAGTCCCGTAGGAGCTACTTATATCTGCCTAGATGCTAGGCCAGCAGTTTAGCTTCCTGCCATAGACATGGTATTCTAGGTTATCAGTCAATCAATAAACATTTATTAAGTGCCTACAGTGTTCCATGTACTTCGCTAAGTGCTGAAATACAAAAAGAGGCAAAAAACAATGCCTGCCATCAAGGAGCTTAGAATCTAATGGAGAAGACAGCATGCAAACAAATACACATAAGACAAGCTATATATAGGATAAAGAGGAGATAATTAACAGAGGAAAGGTACAGGAATTAAAAGGAGTTGAGGAAGGCTTCCTATAGAAGGTGAGATTTTAGTTGGGACTTAGAGGAAGCCAGAGAGGTTAGTAGTCAGAACAGAAGAGGGAGAGCATTCCAGGTATATGAGGGCCAGCCAGAGAAAATGCCTGGAACTGAGAGATGGAGTGTCTTGTTCGTGGAACTGTCAGGAGGCCAGTGTCACTGGTTCGAAGATATGGTATAAGAGGACTGGAGAGGGAGGGAGAGGCTAGGTTATAAAGGACTTTGGATGTCAAACAGAGTATTTTGTATCTGCCCTTGGAGGCAATAGGAAGCCCTTGGAATTTATTGAGTAGGGGGTCTAGGATCAGACCTTTATTTTAGGAAAATCACTTGGTGGCTTTAGTGAAGGATGAATTGGAGCAAGGAAAAGACTTGAGGCAGGCAGACCTACCAGCAGGCTATTACAATAGTCCAGTCATGAGGTTGATGAAGGCCTGGGCCTGTATTAGAGTGGTAGCAATGTCAGAGGAGAGAAGGAGTATTCAAGAGATGTTGCAAAGGTGAAATCAACTGGCCTTGGCAACAGCTTGGATATGGAAGGGAGTTGGGGTTAAGAGGTAGTGAAGAATCCAGAATGACTCCAAGGTTGTGAGCTTGAGGGCCTGGGAAGATGGTATTGCTGTCTACAGTAATAGGGAAGATAAGAGAGGGGGAAGAATAGGGGCAGCTAGGTGGTGCAGTGGATAGAGCTGGCCTTGGAGTCAGGAGGATCTGAGTTCAAATCTGACCTCTGACACTTACCAGCTGTGTGACCCTGGGCAAGTCACTTAACCCTGTTTGCCTCACAAAAAAGGGGGGGGAGGGATTTAAGGGGAAATATAATGAGCTTCCATTTTGCATGTGTTGAGTTTTAGATGACGACTGCACATATAGTTCGAGATGTCCAAAAGATGGTTGGAGATTCAAGATTGCACATCAGCAAAAAATTTGGGGCAGGATAGGTAGATTTGAGAATCATCACCATAGAAATAGTAATTTAATCCATAGAAGTTGATGAGATCACCAAGTGAAGTAGAATAGAGGGAGAAGAGAAGAGAGCCTAGGACAGAACCCTAAGGGACACTTTGGTTAAAGAGCATGAACTAGAAGAAGATCTAGCCAAGGAGACAGAGAAGTGGTCAGATAGGAAGAAGAAAAACCAGGAGAGAGTGGCGTTTCAAAACTGGAAGAGAAAAGAGTGAGTACCAAGGAAGAGAGAATGATAACAGTGTCAAAGGCTGTAGAGAACTCAAGGAGAATGAGGATTGAGAAAAGACCACTGGATTTGGCAAGTAAGAGACTGTTAGTAACTTTGAAGACTATAATTTCAGTGCAATAAGGAGCAGTTATGGTGCTCACTTTGTGGATAACTGAGACAGTATAGATTAGCATAGAGTAACATCAGCTATGTCTTTCTTATAAATATTATATTTATTTTAAAACACCAAGCATAAGTCATCTCATTACTGTATATAGGGAAGGAAGGAAGCAAGCATTTATTAACTACCTACTATGTGCTAGTGATTGTGCCTTATAAGCACTTTACAAATATCTGTATTATCATAATCATTATCATTTAGTAGCCACGAATAAACAGCGAGAGCGAAGGGGGGCAGTTTGGGGGAGTCTCAGGGGTTGGGGGGGGCAACAAAAGCTTTCTTTTCACATTTCCTAATTCTCCTGTCTCATTTTTTTGTTTATAATCATATAATAAATTTTCAAACAGAGGTGAAATCCATGCCAAATCCCCCTAGAGCAGAGATTCTTAACCTGGGATTTGTAAACTTGTTTCTTTACCATTTTGATAACTTTGTCTTTCCTTTTTTTATATTTGTATTCCCAGTATTTGGTACAGGGCATGGCATGTAGTAGGTGCTTAATAAATGTTTATTGATGATTGATTGACTATAACTATATTTCAGTATAATTGGTTTCCTTTGTAGTTCTGTGTATTTTATTTTATGCAACTAAAAATAGTATTTTAAAAGAGATCTATAGGTTTCACTCAACTTCCAGAGAGGTCCACAACACTAAAAATGCTGAGAACTCCTTCTTAGAGAATTGCATATATCCCCAGAAAAATGGTATAATTAGAAAAGCTCCACTGAGTACAGGAAATATTGGTGCCCTCTTAACTAAAATACCTTACTTGTTAGAATTATATACAATAGAAATTCCTTGAATGATATATGTAAATATGAACAGTTTGTTTTCCATCATAAGTTTATATAGCTCACATCACATCTGTTAGACTTCACTGACACTATTAGAGAAGAGATACAGGTAACCCATTGCAGCCACAACTGCATTGCATAGTTTGGAATCTGAGCGAAAATTTTCCTTTTTATTTCTAGACTGTGCCTCGGTTTAATGAGAAAGATGAAGTAATCAAAACACAGATAATGAATGTGAGCTGGTCCGCTGATCATAGAATTATTGATGGTGCTACAGTGGCTCGATTCTCTAATTTATGGAAATCCTACTTGGAAAATCCAGCTTCTATGTTGCTAGAACTGAAATAAACATCGATTTGAAACATTCTTGAACTTTCTGGGCATCAGAAGAATGTATAAAACCTAGCTATGCTAGAACACATTCTCTATTGAAGTTCATATTATGTGAATGATTATATTACATGACCAAGATCCCACAGTAAAGTGCCAATCTCTCTTACCATGTTGCAGCTTTTAAACTTAAATGGGTGGCTTTATTGTAGCTCTCCTAAGGTTGCCAAATTTTATAAAACAGTGTGATGTGTAACATCTTAATGTAGTGCTGAGATCTTAAATGTAAGGGATGCTGGTAACAACAAGACTGACATTACTGAAAACTAATATTTATATATGCTATCTCAGTATGGTATTTTAACTGTCTCTTAAGGGTTGGGAAAATGAATTTATATACAATAATATTTCTCTGCCTAGTATTAATTGTACAAATTCTTAAATAAAGTGCACTTATGTTTATCTTTAAAGATGTTCAGTAGACTTCTATTATTCAGTAATGTTATTTTCATTCCTATAAATGTCTCATCCCTTATAAACACTACCTTAAACCTTAAAAGTGGGAAAACTGAAATGATCTTAAAGAAATCCTGAAATTATATTTTAGAACTAATTCCCCACTATCTACCTTCTCTATTTCTCTATATATGATACTGGAGAAAGTCATACAACTATGCTAACTGGGTCCACTGCAAATTTGTTAACCTAATCTCAGCTGAGCAATCGCCATTGCACAGCAACCTTTTTATTCTTCCCTAATTAATTATCATGCTCTCTAGAGTAGTTTTTCCAAACCTAACTTTCTCTCCTAAATCTCTTCTTATTACCCTTTCTGCTCTCCTTGTCTCTTGCCTTACTAGGAAAATAGAGATATCTGCCATAAGCTTCCTCTTAAGGATTTTCTAGAATCCCTTTCACACACTTGGGATTCTAGAAAAAACAGGCCTACCAGCTGATCTAAGCTCCACATTCCATCACTTGTCCTCAAGTCTTTTTTTAGGCTATCCTCTGTGCCTGGAATGCCTTCCTTCCTCACCATAGCTTCCATCAAAGCTGAGCTCTGGTGCCACCATTTCCTGTGTAAAGACTTTCTCTCTTCTCCCCAGTTGTTGGTGTTCCTCTTTCCTTCAAATTATTTTGTATTTTTTGTACACATGTTGTATCCCCCAGTTGGATGGAAGCTCCTTCAGTGTAGGAACTACTTCCAATTTTTTGTCCTTTTTTTGTCTTGGTATTCCCATTTCCTAGCACAGTGGCTTGCATATGATACAAGTTGAAGCTTAATAAATGTTGAATTATCAGTAAATTCTTTAAGGATAATTATCTAAATCAGCTTTCTAATGTTCTTGATCCTTATAAAATTGTAGTTTGGGGATTCTTTAACAATCATCTCAGTGTTACTAATTTAAAGGAATACATTTTGAGAAATTTATTCATTTCTTATATGGGAAAATCTTGTAGCTCTTCATTTTACATGTAGCAGTTTCTTCCCTTTCCCTCTCTCTGGGATTTTACTGCCTTCTTTATTGCCCCTGCTGAACCAAAATAGTGTAAGCATTTATTACTAAGCACTGGTAACAAGAAGTTATTTTTTCTTGTTCTTAGGAGGAAACTAAGTAATAGGGGAAAGGCAAACCAAGGACAATTAGAGTAGAAAGAGAACAAATAAAATACACTGTGTTAGCTGGGGAATTTTTTGTCCCTGTGTGTTCAAAGCAAATATGTGGATGACCAGCTTGTGAGGGACATTGGAAAAAGGGCTTATGCATCCTTGACCTTGGTAACCTATAAGGTCTTTTCTAACTCTGGAAACTTTTCCAACTCTGTGATTTTAGAATAAAAATAGAAAATGATTGAGCAATCTAATAGATTCCCTCTGTAGCATTAAAGGGAGCATGAGCCAAGGTTGACTTTCATTCAGAAATACAAACTTGTTTTAATGCTGTGCAATTGAATGTCACGTGCTAAATATATTGACTCAAGGTTTGTGATATTAAAAGAGAGAAAGGCTTCATGTTTGTATCAGCATTTTGATTTATAGTTCTAATGAAAAAAATTAAACCACTTAAAGAGAATCTGAGCATAGGAGAGAGAGTTGACTTTCAAATGTATAGAATTGTAATAATTTTGCACTTAATTCATTATTGAAAAGTATATTGTATTATCTGATTTAAAAGAAAAATTCATGTATCTTTTGGAATGGAATTTTTCAATAAAATTTTTAATAATCTTTTATTTTTTTATTTTTTCAGTATTCAACAGTTTGTGGTTGAAAAGGAGTTCAAGTGATTCTGGGCCCAAGAGAATCCACTAAACTTATAGAAAATTGTGTGCGAGGAGGCAGAGCCAAGATAGAATGTAGCATGAAATACAGCAATTCCCTTCCCCAAAACCAAAAACAAAAATTCCAAACTGATGTAGAAAATGCACCACATTAAATACAAGAAAAAGTCATTGTGATTCATTTTTCTAGCCCAAATCAGCACAGAGAGACAGAGGCCTGTGGATACTGGGGACTGGGTCTAAGAGTGTCCCCCTCCTGTTCCAGGGCTCCAGGACTGAAACAAACCATAAAAAGTCCCAGACCCACACCAGGGCACCGTGTTGAGCAGGCTACAGACACAAGTGCCAGCTGGCAGCTTTGTTGCTCAAAGATGATAGACTAGACCTTTTCTCTGATTCCCTTGACATCTCAGATGTCTCCAAAACAGAAATTATGTGCTAGAGATGATAATAGCTAAACATTTGCTAGGCCCTTTACAATTATTATCTTATTTAGTCCTCCCAGCAACCCTGAAAGGCAGGTCCTGCTATTATCTCCATTTTACAGATGAGGAAATTAAGGTAAATAGAGGTTAAATGACTTGCCCAGGCTCACAGAGCTAGTAAGTGTTTGAGGGCAGATTTGAACTCAGGTCTTCTGACTCCAGACCTGGTACTCTTATCAGTTGTGCCACACAGGTGCCTCTCATTGGTCATGCATGGGCTGGCTTCTACACTGAACTCCTCCATTCAACATCCTCCCCCACTTTCTGAGCCACTGGCCCCAAAACTGCAGTTAGCCACCCCAAGGATCCCACCACAGGGTCACAACAAAATCCAATCGCTGGTCCAGTACCCTCTCCGTCTCTGCAGTGCCCTGGTGGTCCCAGGTCCTGGCTGTGGGGGTTTGCCCAGGGTGTGACAGCCTGCCAGCGGTATGGCAGCACTGCAGGGGCAGAAGCCTTATGGGCCCCGAACAGGCAGCCAGCATCACAACTGAAGCAGTGCCCTGGGGCAGAAGCTTGCTGAGGGAGGAGGGGTGGCAGGGGGGTGAGGAAAGAGGCATCAGCCTGTGCTGCAAAAGATTTCTGCAGGATAGCCAGGAACAGAGGTAAAGGGGCAAGACAATGTCTGAGCTGGAAATCAACAGCATACCATATCCCACCCTCCTCCCAGAGCTTCAGAGAGCCAAACTTCAGAAATCAAAACCGTAATATCACTGATGCCAAGCTAAGGAACCGAGGTACAGAAGAAGTGGAACAGAATGCTGGAATAAGTCATTGTGTGTGTGTGTGTGTGTGTGTGTGTGTGTGTTGGAAGGGGGGAAGGGAGAGTTCATGCTCTCCACCAAGCCTGAGCTCCAGCCTCTTCTGTTCCCCTAAAAGTCATTTGAGGCAGACCCAGACTGATGAATAGTGAACTGCCCACCATGGAAGGAAGCTGAGACATTTGAATTCCAGCCTTTACAGAAACCACCATGAGAGTGGAGGCAGTCAGACAGTGAGCAACAGGGGAAAATAAAGGGGGAGGGGGTGCGAAGCTGAGATTACCAAAGATCTTGAGAAGAAAACTCAAAAGATGTTGAATTCAGTAAGCAGAGAAATCAATAGAGGAAACATTAACAGCAGAAAGTGTGGCCTCCACATCTAGTAAAGAAGTCCAGGTATATATGAATAAATACTGCAAAACATCAACTTCTGCTTCACTGACCACACTAAAGTTTTTGACTGTGTGGATCACAACAAAACATGGCAAGTTCCCAAGGAGTACCAGATCATCTTATTTGTCTCTTGAGGAACCTGTACATAGGTCAAGTAGCAACAGTTAGAACCAAACATGGAACAACGGATTGGTTTAAGATTGGAAAAGAAGTACATCAAGGCTGTATAGTGTCACTTTAATTTACATGCAGAGTGCATCATGTGCAATGCCAGGCTAAATGAATCTGAAGCCAGAATTAAGTTTGCTGGGAGAAATATCAACAATTTTAGAAATGCAGACAATACCTCTCTGATGGCAGAAAGTGAAAAAGAATTAAGAAGCCTCTTGATGAGGGTGATGAGGGTGAAAGAGGAGAATATAGAAGCTTGAAGTTTAACATAAAAAAAAAAATTAAGATCTTGGTCATTGGTCCCATCAGTTCCTGTCAAATGGAGAAGAAATGGAAGCAGTACCAGATTTTATATTCTTAGGCTCAAAGATCACTCTAGATGGTGACTGCAGCCATTAAAAGATGCTTGTTCCTTGGAAAGAAAGCTATGGCAAATCTGAACAGCATCCATATAGTCAAAGCTATGGTTTTTCCAGTAGTAATATGTGGCTGTGAGAGTTGGACTATAAGAAGAGCTGAGAGCTACAGAATGAAAGCTTTTGAATTGTGGTGCTGGAAAAGACTCTTCAGAGTCCCTTGGACAGCAAGGAGATCAAATCAGTCAATACTTAAAGATATTAATTCAGGTTATTCATTGTAAGGTCAAATACAGAAGATGAAACTTAAAGACTTTGGCCACATAATGAGAATACAGAATTTGTTGGAAAAGACCCTGAAGGGTCTAAAGGAAAAGGGAATGGCAGAGGATGAGCTGAATAGTGTCAGGGAAACATGAACTTGGATAGACCTTGAGAGATAGTGGTGGATAGAAGGGCCTGGCGTGTTTTGGTCTATGGGGTCACGAAGAGTTGGACATTACTGAATGACTGAACAACAAGAAGAAGATGGAAGGGAATAAGTGTAAGAAGACTGGAAAGGTAGTCAGGTTATGTAGGACTCTAAAAAGTCAATGAGGGGAACTACTATTCTAGATTGGTTTCTCATTAACAATGATTGTTGTAATGGAAATAACCAGAATCCAGAAGGAAAATGACCATTCCAGCTTACAGTTTGTGATAGAGAGTAAAAGTCAGATATAGTTCATTGTGGATGCTAGGTTTTGAGAGAGCAGATTTCATAAGGTTTAGAGAGAGTCTAGGTAAGACCCCAAGAACTAAAAAAATAGAAAACTGTCAACAGGCAATCATGACTTCATGAAACTTACTAGACTATGAAGATGGAAGAGTCCATTTATCTGCAAGGGACCCAGATGCAGAAGAATTTTCTCAGCCTAGCGCAGACTAGCTGGCCCATATTTTGCCTCCCAAGGACACATAGGGAACCCAGCTTCGGGTGCAAACAGCAAATTATGTCAGATTAATGGTGAGGCTTTGTCCTTGGCACATTCCGGGTCTCCTACATACTCTGAGTCCAGTGTTTCTGGAAAATATGGTAGCTCAAAAAGACAAGTGCAGGGGACCCCTTAACAATCCTTAATAAAACTAAGCCCAGGGAGGGTGGGAGGGGGGAGATGGGAAGTTTTCAAGAATGAAATTCTGATGATACAAAGAGAAACAATTCCAACCAGGAGAAAAAGTGAGAGTTTTCTAAAGAGGCTGATATCAATACAGAAGGAGCTCATCAACTTAAAAAAAAAAAAGATATGCCAAAGATGGAAACAAAAGCAAGTATTGGAGGACAAATGGTGGCAAGATGCTGCAAAAATGAACAAGAGCTCAAAATGCTTTGAGTTTTTAAAAGAATGTGAAAGGCAATGAAAAGATGGGGTGAGTTTTTTGTTTATTAGGTTTTCAGCTACATTGGGGAAAAGAGGTGCATTTTTTTTTCTCCAGCCCAGTCACAGGACTAGAGAAGGGCAAATGTCCCAATTTTCAAAAAAAGGGAAGCAAAGGGAATGTGCAAACTCTTGAAGCATTAAGAGGTCTGCTGTTCATTTTTCTTGCTTTCTAAGTGGGGATGGGGAGGGAACATGGGAGAGAGAGAATGCAGACCTGAAAATAAAATTGAATTAAAAAAAACCAAAGAGAACTGCAGTTCAAACTGGAGGGAATAATGAGTAACAAAGAAAATTGCTCAACTGTTTCTGTTTTTGCTCCCAAGGGAATGAGCATTGGACTGGAAATAACAGAATAATAATGATCAATAGGGAGGCGATATCCAAAATAAATAGAGGAATAGTGAGGAAGCACCCAGCTACTTTTGATGAGTTAAGGTACCTAATCAAAATGGAACTACATTTACAAGTATGGCAGATGTTATTTATGTAATTCTGGTATCCATTACCCTTGAGATCAATGTCAGTCAATAAGCGTATGTTAACTACCTAGTATGTACCAGGCACTATTCCAAGTGCTGGGATATAAAGAAATGCAAAAAACAGGTCTTGCGCCTCAGGGAACTCACACCCAATGAAGACAAAATGCAAACAGCTATGCACAAACAAGACAGAGGCAGGATAAATAGGAAATAATCAACAGAGGGGAGGCCCTAGAAATAAGAGGAGTTGGGAAAGGCTTCCTATAGAAGGGGAGATTTTAGCTGGGACTAGGAGCAATCTGGAGAAGCCAAGAGGCAGAGATGAGAAGAGCGGGACGGGGAGAGAGAGAGAGAGAGAGGTGGGGAGGGGGAGGGAGAGAGAGAGAGATCATTCAAGGAATGAGGGGCAGCCAATGAAAATTTGTGGAGCTGAGAGGAAGTATTTTGTTTCAGGAATAGCAAGGCCAGTTCCATTAGGTGGAAAAGTAGGTAGGAGTGGAGGGATGTAAGGTATAAGAAACTGGAAAGCCTGGAGGTGGGGGTGGGGGAGCCAGATTGTGAAGGGTTTAGAAAGATAAATTGATAGTTTTATATTTGATCCATGAAGTGATAAGGAACCATTGGTATTTATTGAGTAGGAGGTAACAGAGTTGATCACACCTGCATTTTTGGAAAATCAGTTTGTTGGCTGAGTGGAGGATGGACTGGAGGTGCTTGTGGTAGACAGATTAAACATCAGACTACTGCAAGAGCCCAGGTGGGAGGGCCTTCACAAGGGTGGTGGCAGTATGTGGGTGAGAGAGAAATAGACTCTTAGCTAGAGCCCTCATCCAATATCTCGCCTGCTCACAGACCAGACAAATCATTAGAAATTAAATAAGGAAGTATTCAATTGAACGAGTAACAAAATATATCAGCAAAATGCATGCAATAAAAAAATCATTCTTATTCTCTAAACCTCATGTTGCTTGTGTATTTGCTTTTTCCTCAAAGTATCAGATGGCTTACATATGCTTCTCTTTGAAACTTGGGTAAGGGACTCTTTATGTTATTTGTTATTCATTCTTTTCCAATCGTGTCCAATTCTTTGTGACCACCATTTGGGATTTTCTCAGCAAAGATACTAAAGCAGTTTGCCATTTCCTTCTCCAGCTCATTTTGCAGAAAAGTAAACTGAGGCAAATAGAATTAAGTGACTTGCCCAGGGTCACACAGTAAGTGTCAGAAGCTAGATTTGAACTCACCAAGATGGGTCTTCCAAGTTCCACGCCCAGCACTCTATCCACTGCACCACTGACCTGCCCTAGCTGTTTATCCTCTTTATTTCTGTTCTTATTACTTGCTAGACTTCAGTATTAAAAACAAAGTCTCAAACCATTTTGCCAATCCTATACAATAGACCAGAATTTTATAATAATAACAACAATAACTAACATTTACTAAGCACTTACTATGTTTCAGGCACAAATCTTATAGGTACTCTAGTCTGTTCTCTGTCTGAACTTTAAAGATAAGGAAACCAAAGCCAAAATGCCTGGTGCACGCAGAGAATTAAGGACATAATTGAGACTAGGATTCAAGTCTTCTGACTGTCAGGTAGGTACACTTCCTCTTATCACACTGCTACCAAATACTCCAGGCTTCCTCTTCCTGAGGCCAAGGGACCAAACAGCTTGTGTGTTTCTGATGTCATGATCAATAACCACCAAAGAGATCCAGACCCCAAATGACTACTTTGTCTTCATAAGGAATCATTCTGCATCATGGCAAGGATTCCTGCTCACAATAATGCTTTTTAAATGCAGAAAATACACAGGATTATGGAAGATGCCAAACTTCAGTGAAAAGATGTCATTTGTTTCTGGTCAAGTTCTCAGGCCTCCCTGAAATTTATCTTAACCAAGATTAAGAATTCCTGATCTCGGGAATCAACATCCAAAGGGGCGTTAAGTGGCTATCATTGCTCCTCCTCTCCTAATGCCCAACAGTTCCCAGTCATCATCTTTCTCTGTCTTCCCTTTCCACGTACCATCTAAAACCCTGCTCCACTGTGGTACAGTGTCAATATCCCCAAAGTTAAAGTCAGAAGATCTGAGTTCAAATCTAAGCTCTGCCACTTTCTATCTGGATTAATTCAGGCCAGTGATTTCATCTTTACGGACCTCATTCCTCTAATCTGCAAAAATGGCCGGATGTAATGTCCTCTCAGGTCCCTTCTGTTTCTAAAACTATGATCTTATTACCTCACATTTCTTTTGTTTTCTGGTACTCACTGAAATCTGGATTTGTCCTGAGGACACCACATCTCTTGGTACCCCAAGACTGGTTGTTCTTTCTCTCATGCCCCTTGAATCATGGGGCCATGAGGAAAGGGAAGGTGGACACATATTTATTGAGTGCCAGGTACTGAGATAAGTGCTTTACAAATATTATCTCATCTGATCCTTACAACCACCATGTAAGGTAGGTGCCTTTATTATCCCCATTTTAGAGCTGAGGAAACTGGAACAGACAGAGGCTAAGTGACTTGTCCAAGAATCACACAGTAAGTGCCTGAGGATTTGAATTGGACTTGACTCCATGTGCAGTATTCTACCCATCATACCACGTAGCTGCCTCGAGGCGGAGAAGGAAGAGGAATGGTCGTAATCCTCACTCCTTCTTATTAGACTCTCCCTCTCGTTCTCACTCACCAACCATATCACCTCTTTTAAAATTCCCTCCATTCTGTACAGATCCTTGTTGCTGTTGCCCGTGGGCCTCTTTCACCCTTCCTTCCTCGATGAGTTCATAACTGGTTCATAGTCTTTTCTACCTCAACATCTTCCCTGGCGAGCACCCTGATCTCCCACTTTTTCAGTCTGCTCAACTTCCAAATCTCGTGCTCTTAGTCTGCTTCAACCACATAGGAAAAGTCATGCTGTGGACTAGTGATAAATAGAAATAAATCCTTGTGGGCCACATATTGTCTTAGAAAACTACAAATTAACATTACCTATGTTGTATTTTTATTTCTTTTCCTAAACATTTCCCAATTACATTTTTATCTGTTTCGTCCAACACTCAGGAGTTTTGTGGGGCTCAAGTGGCGTTGTGAGCTAGGAATTTGATACCTCTTCTGTAGACCACCCCTCCCCCAAACCAATTTGCCCCCAAAGTATCTGAATTCCTAGTTACAATTCCAGCAATGTCAGAGGCTAGAGGCTCCTCCTCACATTCCTAGGTCCATATTTTGGGATTGTTCTGAAGTCTTTGTGCCTGTGGTCTAAGCTTTTTTGGCTCAAGGACTTGGCAGCCCCTTCTATTTATATGACACAAGTATTACTCTTAGGGACAGATTCACTGCTTTCTGTGGGTGTTCTAAACTCTGCACATGGGTCCTGCTAAGTGGGAAAACTTTCAACATGAACTCTCCAGGCACTTTGCACACAAGCCCCATGTGATTCCTGCTATTCCTAGCTTTGTCATGGTTTAAAATTAGCACTGGGCTGACATGACAGTCCTCTGGGTCACAGCGTGGCTGAGGATCTGAATTGCTTGGAGTGGCACTGGCAGAACCCATCTGTAACCTCTCTCTTGCTGAGCAATCAATGAGTTTGGAAGCACTGCCAACTCAGGTAAGTTTTTCTGAGTTCTCCCCCATGTTCTCATTTACAAATGTTTGCTGCTGATGATCCAGTTCTACGTGTGCCTGTATTTGCTTGGCCAGAGCAGCCCAGTTTGGGAACTCATTATAAAACCCATCTCTTTAGAGGCCAGAGTTACTTATTTAATGAGTAACTTCTAGAAAATGGATTTCATAGAAGGCAAAGATGCATTTCTTTCAAGACTGATTTGTTTGATTTTGTTAGTTTGTTTTTAGTTTTGAATGCTCTATGAACCTGCTAGCCCTGGCGTGTTATAGCCATGGGCCCGGGGTCCTGGTGTGTCTTTTTCTGTTGTGATAATAACACAAGGTAGAAGGACTTCATTTCCCTTACATTTCCCAGGATGTGTGCCTCTCATAGGTATTCTGATTTAATACCCAATTTTTTCTCTAGTACAGATTATAACTTTTGAAATGATCTGAAACCATGTGTTCTAAATGCTTCAGACTCTCTGGAGGCCAAAGGAGCAGGTGATTTTTATATTAAATTCAACATTTATCTATTAAGCACTCATTGTGTACAAGGCACTGAGGATACAAAACCCCCTGATTAGTCTCTGCCCTTAAAGAGTTTAGACTGAGGGTGAGGGGAAAACGTGCATAAAGGTGTAGATAAAGTAATGAAATGTAATTTCAAGAGAGAGAATTTGCTAACTGGGAAGGAAGGGGAGAGAACCAAGAAAGACGTCACATGGGTGTCATTTGAGCTGAGGTTTGAAAAATCTAGGGAGTTGTGGAGGGGGAACGTTCCAGGCACGGAGGACAACCTGTGCAAAGACCTGGAGGTGGGAGATGAGAAAGCCTCGATTCAAATGTCAAATTCTGAATGTAGACATAACTCACAAAAGATAAGAAGGCAGTAAGGAGTTGTGATTTGTACCAGTGGAGGGAGTAGCTCCACCAAGAAGGTTACAAGTCCTTGGAAATATCAATCAACAAGCATTTCTGTGCCTTTGTGCCAGGCCTTATGGTAAGCAATTGCAATACAACAACAAAAACAAAATGGCCCGTGCCTTCATGTGGCATAATATCCTCCAGATAACATGTGCACATTTAAGCATATGTAAAGTATGTATCTTGAAGTATTAAACTGCATATTGAAAAGCCAGCTCATGTCATTTTCTACATGGAGCCTTTCCTGATCCACCACCTCATATTTATTTAGTATATACTTGGCATACAAGACTTGTATCCTTCATAATATGTGAGCTCTTCAAGGACATAGACTTCAATTAAAAACTTTTTTCTATCCCCTGTGCCTAGCACAGTGCTTACCACATAATAGGTGTTTAATAACTTCTTGCTGATGTATGGATTAGATAGAAAATATAGCCCCATTTCTAGCTATTGGCTCAGAGATTAGATCAATTATAGGATTGGGCTGCTCAAGGGAAATAACAGAAGAGGAGGAATTCTGACAATTGAATATCTGGGAAATATTTGAAGGACTCACAGTTTCGTTCATCTGGGGCTATGTGATCCATCTATATCTATCTCTTCATACCTTATGGCTTCAGGAGTTGCTGTGGAGAGAAAATTTCATCACCTGATTAACAGCCTTCTTGTGATGAGCATTTCTGACCACAAAGTACATTAAAGGGCATTGGTCCTTTAATGACAGTTTAACACCCCACTATCTTTGAGCCCAATATCACCTCTGTACCATGATGATACCTCTGGTAAGCAATATAAATATATCCTAATAATGATAATCTGATTAGCAAGAACAGGTTCCACTAATTAACAGTTGAAGATATCAAAACTTAGAAAAATTGACATGTCAAAGATAGTTTGGAAGGAGGTAAGTCTCAGTGGGAACTTTGCTATTAAAGACATGTTAGGCAGTTTTCTCCAACATGTACCCAGAAAGACTCCTAGACTGCAGCAAGATCAGTTTGAGCATGTGGGGATTTCATCAGATTATTACTTCTGTGCCTGAAGAGACAATCAGACCCTTAGTAAATAAGTGATCTAGGAAGGTTTTTTTTGTCCATTGGTATATGCAATTCTCAGTTTTCACTGCTATAAGCAACTCTCAGTGAAGAAACTCCCTCTTAGAAAGTTGTCTCAGGCAAGGAATAGATATCACAAAAGCTGAAATAGATCATTTTTGGAACATGAAATTAAAAGGTTTTGCATGAACAAAATCAGTGCCGCTAGAATAAGAAATTAAGGGGAAAAAAATCTGTCATCAGATATCTCCGATAAAAGTCTAGATTGAGTCCTACTTTTTGACAATACTGACATTTGACTTGTGGTCTTCAGTTTTACCGTGATAATAATAACTAATATTTATATAGCGGTTACTATGTGCCAGGTACTGTGCTAAGTACTTATAATTATTTCTCACTTGATTCTCACAACTCTGGGATGTAAGTGCTTTTATCATCCCCTTTTTACAGATGAGGAAACTGAGGCAAACAGGTTAAGTAACTTGCCCAGGATCATATACAGCTAGTAAGTGTCTGAGGCTCGATTTGAACTCCAATTTTCCTGACTCCAGGCCTGGTGGAATCTATTCACTGTGTCACTTAGCTGACTATGTCATTAGCTATTAGCTATTGCCATAGGAAAACACAGATTTTGCACAATCTACTTCCTACTGTTAGCTGATCTTACCTATGTAATAATAACAGTTAACATTTATGTAGTGCTTTAAGATTTGCAAAATACTACATATGTATGTGTATGTGCATATACACACACACATACATACACATACACACACACACAAAGTTTCATTTCCTCCTCACAACAACCCTGTGAGTTAGGATATAATATTATCCCCATTTTATAGCTGAGGAAACAGACTGGGAGAAACTAAAGTAATTCATTTAGAGTCACATAGCTACTAAGGACCTGTGTAAGAATTCAAACACATGTCTTACTGACTCCAGTTCGCTATTCTATCTGCTTTGCCACACTAACCCTCCAATTCATATTCACAGGACAAGTCTCCTTGGGGATGGGTACCCCATGTTCAAGGTTATCTTTGGGTCCTAAAACTGTAGCTGACAAGCACCCATGAACGTGTTCTTCTTTTACTAGTCAATTGGAAGACACAATAGCATGAAACAAAGGCTTTTACTAAAATGGCATAGTAAAAGAAGAAGCAATAAAATATCTTACCTGAGGTGTACTCTTCTATTAATAATCCTAGCATCCTTGGAGAGAATGGATGAAAAAAGAGTTCACAAGGAGAGAAGCACACAAATAGAGAATATAAGAACAGAGCACCCATGTACAAAGAAGGGCAACTTATGTCTCATATACTGCAGGATCCCAGAAGACATTTTCTTGTGCATCTCTCCCGGGCTTTCCATGTCAGGTAGAATCTCTGCTGAGCTGGGTATGGGGCTCTGTTACTTGGTCATTATTTGGTAAATCGTCACCTAAAATCCTGGCATTGGGTACTGCTATGATTTTTTTAGAAAGAGCTACACTCTCTTAGTCTTTGACCATCAGGAGCTCTTTCAATCCTGTAGACTTGAGGTCTCTACTCTGTGTCTTGTCACCTCTTGAACAGCAGGGTGCAGGCCTCAAGAACAAGGCTCTCTCTCCTTTCACCAACTATTCATGAATTTTATAGCCTCTGAATCTCCTGTTTGTTCATGTAATTGAGTGGATGGGAAGAATGGGCACCCAAAGGGTCCACTTTCAGAAGGCCAGACCATTGCTTTTCCTGACCACTTCATATGCAAACATGGCCACTCAAAATCTAAAAATGGCTTTTCCCCACGACCTTAGAAATATACAGATGTACAGCTAGATCTTGATTTGTGTATATAACAAAGCTCCTAAAAATGGTCTCATGTATTCAAATGCGTACTATACCAGGTCATAATTATGTAAAATATGGTAATCAATTCAATAGAAATATGCTGTAGCAATTTGAATAATGCAACCAGTTTAGGAGATTCATTATTCACACTAATTAGGAACTAGCTACACAAAGTTAAAGAACAGTTAAGGAGAAAGATTGTGTATGAGGAACTTCTCTAAGCCTCAGTTTCTTCATATGAAATAAGGATGACAATTCTTATATCACAGAGTAAAGATGAGAAAATATTTAGCAAACCCTAGAGAATGATTAAAATGTGAGTTACTCTTAACTAAGGACAAATGAGCCTGTCTGTTCACCCTTTAATTGAAATTTCCTCTCTGTGTTGCCTCCTCCTAATAAACATTTAGCTCCTTGAGAACTGGGACTCCCTTGAATTTCTGTTTGTATCCCACCTAACACTTAGCACAGTGTTTGGCACATAGTAAACGCTTAATCAGTGCTTTCTCATTCATTTGTTCATTCATTCATTCATGCTACTTCCTCCAGTACAATTAGGTCTGTTGGGAGATGGCGTCCAAAATTCAGCTTTTCAGTCTCTGATGAAATTGGGACCCCTTCCCTCATGTGAAAGAACCATGACAGAAATTGCAGTTTGCACGGGGGCTGTCCATGCTGTAAAGGAAGTGTGGGAAACCAGGATCAAGAAGCAAACTGAAGATCTGAAGAGAGAAAAAGAATTTCAGCAGAAGTAGGTTCAAAAAAATGGTTACTAATAAGCCTCACGCCCTGACATCCTTGGGAACAAAAACCATAACCATCCCTAGCTGTGCTTGACAAACAACTCAGGAGGCTTTCTAGGCAAAGTCGAAGAACAAGGAGTCTTCGATGATGGTAATTTTGATGTCTGCGACTCTTCTTATTTGTTCGGTCACTCAGCACCCTCCTGAAGAACTAAATAACTAGTGTCATCCAGGGGAGCTGCTAGTTTGCCACTTAGGACTGGGCCTCTTACTTTTCTACGCAGAAAATGCCATAAGAAAGTGCCTTGGGCAGCTTGTCATAGAGATGGGTCACCTATTTGCCGTGGAGTCTCATGTATTTGGGTAACCAGGGGTGATTACCATGGCCTAACATAAGAATCTGGCCAGCTCTCCTTTAAAAAAAATTTTTTTAATGAAATATTTATTTTCTCTTCTTTCCTCCCTCTCAATCCCAAAACAAAACCAAAAAACCAACAACCGAACAAAAAACCAACAACAACAACAAAAAACCTGGTTTAACAAATGTGTATACTCATTCAGACTGGCTAAATGCAAAAATATGTGTCTCATTTTGCATATTAGAGGCAGTGAGGTGCCACAATGGACAGAGTGACAGCCTTGGAATCAGGAAGACCTGAATTCAAATCTGGCCTTAGACACTAGCTATCTTTGTGACCCTTGGCAAATCAGTTAACTTCTCTCAGCCTCAATTTCCTCATCTGTAAAAAGGAGATAATAATAGCACCTACCTCCTAGGCTTCTTGTGATGACAAAAAGAGCTAATATTTGTAAAGTGCTCTGCAAACAACATAGTACATAAATGATAGCTATTATTATTATTATAGTCATCATCATCAACATTATCATTATCTCCTCTGTCAGAAGTGGGTCCAGCTCACCTCTTTCCCTTGCTGTTGCTCTGGTTTGGGTTATTTTCCTAAGTAATATGGCTCCCACCTCTAATTCTCTAGCTACTGATGTTTTTCCCAAGGCCGCAGCTTACCAATACCTTGTGGCTGCTGCAGGTCTGGCCACAAGCCCCTTGTCTCCTCCCAGTCCTCTTACAGGTATTGGCACTATCTGTATGCTGCCTCCATCTCCTTGTCTCCCTCAAAGGTCTCAGTTAAACAGACATCCAGATGGGAAAAGGCTGGTGAAGTGAGGTTCAACTTTCATCAATTAATCAGTCCATCATCGCATTTGTGCCAGGGACAAACTACTATGTGAAAGGGACTAGGTTAGATGCCAAGGATACAAAGACAGAGGCAGTCCCTGCTTCCTCACTCACGTATATTGAGGGATGCAACATGAACATATGTAAGTATATGCATAATATACATCTATAAGATAGATACAGAATGAATAACAAGGCTGTTCAGTACAAGGCCATGGTACTGAAAAGAGTGAAGGCACTTGGGGAATCAGGGCTTAGTGGAAAAGATGGTGTTTCAGCTGAATCTTGAAGGAAGTGAGGTGAAGAAGAGGCGTCTCCAACACCTCTGTCCTTTTGTCTAAAAACATCCCAGATGGCAACTTCTCACCTGAGATCTTACATTTCCCACAATCACAGAACCACCATAGAATCTCAGAGTTGAAAGTGACCTCAAATGCCATGTAGGCCAGCCCATAGCTGAATAAGAATCTACCCTATAACCTATCAGAGAGATAAAGCTTTTGCTTGAAAATCTCCACTGCCTGGTAAGGGAGCCCACATTCAATTGTTAGGGAGTTTTTCCTTACAACCCTCCCTGGCTCAGAATTTTTATATTTGCTCTCATTGCTCCTTGTTATACTTTTTGAGGCCAACCAGGACAAATTTGACTCATCTTCAAATCCGTGAAAGTATATTGATTAAGCATCCTTTAATTTTTCTCTTCAAGCTAAACATCCTCATTTAATTCAGTTAACTGGTCTTCATATGCCAAGACCTCGAAGCCCTTCACCATACTGGTCGCTCTCCACTGGAGGCTTTCTAGCTTGCCATAATCTCTTTTAAAATGTGGCACTCAGAGAATTGAACATTCAGATGTGGTCTGACCAGAGCAGAGATGGAAATTTTCTCCCTCTTTGACTGTCACATCACACTTTTGACTTATGTTCGTTGTGCTCTAAAAGCCCCCGATGTTTTTCAGCCTTATGTCCCTAATTTTGTACTTATCAAGTGATTTTTTTGAGCCTAGATGTACAATTTTACATTGATCCCTTTAAAATTTCATCTTTTTTATATTCAGTCTTGTATTTTGGCTTTTAGAGATGTTTTTGGATCTATGATCTTGTGATATGGATTTTTTTGGATTCACTCTTTGGCAACAGTTTGACATGGTGTCCAATAAATTTTTTTAATACATTTTATTTTGTTCCCCAATTACATGTTAATTTTTTTTAACATGGCCAATAATTTGTCCTAATATCCAGAGAATCTGATACATTATTATTGCTGCCATTTGTTGTTTTATAATGATGAATGAAAGAATAAAGTATTTGTTAAGCACTTATTACATGCAAAGCACTCTGCACAAATAGAAAAGGAAGACTGTCCCTCACCTTGAGGAGCTCACATTTAATTGGGGAGAAAACACACAGGGAAGGTTTCAATTGCAAGTCATAGAAAAGTCACATGGTTCTTAGGGTGCACAAGCAAAGCAGATGTTGATGCCTATTTTTTAATCTCATTTCCAGTTTTAAAATGATACCGATTTCTGATGCTGAAACATTTGACAGTACCAATGACTTCCATGACAAGAACCTTCTTTTCTGGGTCCTTAATGGCTGTAGCACCTTCATAAACAGCTGCCAGGCTCCATAGGGATTGCTCCTGAGAATTATGGCTAAAGGCACTGGACTAAAAGCATTGCAATTCCCAAGGCTCTTGGTCTCAGAGTCCTGGGCCTGATGATGTTCTATTATCTCCTGGTAGCTACTCTTACAATACAGTGTATTTCTATGAAATACAATAGTAGCAAATGTAAAATGCTACACTTGAACAACACAAATGTAGGATGGGTTAGATAGTAAGTCATATGAAAGTAGGTCATACAAAAAGGGTTTTAATGGACTGCAAGTCGTTCTGCTAGGCACTAACAATACAAAGGCATGCCCAGCACATGAAAGGAGTAATATAGGAGTGCAGAACAAAGTGCTTTGGGGTATAAACCTTGGGAGGCAGGAGGAGTCAGTGCAGGCTTCTTGGAGGAAGTAGTATTTGAGCTCAGATTTTAAAAGGACAAGGATTCAGAAGGTGATGAGTAGGAAATGAAATGTTAAAGGCTTAGGATGATAACAAGAAGCAGAAGAAAAAGAAGCAGTAGAAGAAGCAGAAGCAGAAGAAGCAGCAGAAGCAGAAGCAGAAGCAGAAGAAGAAGAAGAAGAAGAAGAAGAAGAAGAAGAAGCAGTAGAAGCAGAAGAAGAAGAAGCAGCAGCAGAAGAAGCAGAAGCAGAAGCAGAAGAAGAAGAAGAAGAAGAAGAAGAAGAAGAAGAAGAAGAAGAAGAAGCAGTAGAAGAAACAGAAGAAGAAGAAGCAGCAGCAGAAGGAGCAGAAGCAGAAGAAGAAAGAAGAAGAAGAAGAAAAAGAAGAAGAAGAAGAAGAAGAAAAGAAGAAGAAAGAAGAAGAAGAAGAAGAAGAAATTACACAGCATTTCAAGGTTTGAAGAGTACTTTTTATATGTTATCTCATTTGGTCCTCACAACACCCTTGTGAGGCAGAGAGTGCAGAGAGTGCATTTTGAGGGAATAGAATATAATTTGGTTAAAGCACAGACTCCTTTTTTCCAGGGTAAATATTCTCAGTTTTTTCAGCTGGTCCTCATATGGCATGGTTTCTAGTTTCCTCACCATTCTGGTATTCTCCTTGGTACTCTTTCCAGCTTTTCAAAATCCTTCCTAAACTGTGACTCGAAAAACTTAACACAACATTACAGGTATGAATTGACCAAGAAGGCTATGGCCTCTGACATTCTAGAGCAGGCCTTCTTAACCTTTTTTGTGCCATAGCTCCCTTTGACAGTCTGGTGAAATGTACTGACCACATCTTAAAATAATGTTTTTAAATGAACCAAATAAAATAGACAGGCTTATAAATAAAACCTATTATATTGAAGTAGAGTTATAAAAATATCAAAAATCCCATGTTCATAGACAGTCCTGAAATCTATTCATGGATCTTCAAGTTTAGACACTTCAAAGATCTGGAATTTTATTGAAAGTAGGTGCACTCTCCATTGACAAAGTTCACAAACCCTATATATAGCTTTTTAGATCATCTTTGAGGTGGCCAGAACTAAAATATTAATTGTCTTGCTGCCAATATGTTATTGAGCCTCTCTGAGTTTAGTTAGGCTTCCCCTCAGACAACACATAGCCTATTCCCAGGCTTTTTCAGCTTGGTAGGATCTGTAAGAGCTGGTCTTTGCTAGCATAGCCTTTGAGAAGTCAAAGTTATGAACACATCAAAATAAAGCCTCAGAATAGGGCTTTAATGGAGGAACATATATGTAGAAATTCACCTCCTTAATATGAAAACTTATTTCCAATTCATAAATGAGATAAGAATCTCAACATCAATTCATACCCAGTATTCTGTCTCTGATAATGGAACCAAGAAATGCTTTGTGGAAAAGTGTGGTTGTCCTTGTTCATACCAGCCTTGAAAGGTAAAGAATGAAGAAAGGGAAACCACATTCAAAATAACTCCATACATAAATAATACATAAAATATTAGCCTACAAAAGCACACTTGACACAAATACAATTTTAAAACACTTTTTAAAGAGATAAAAATTATTTAAATAATTGGAGAGGTATTTATTGCTGATGATTGAACACAAAAAGAAAGAAACAATGTTATGTGATTTTAATGACAAATTTTGGCCTTAAAGAAGAGATGAAAAATGTGCCTCCTGTCCTTCATTGTAGAGGTGGGGCATGGGACTATGGATATAACATATAGTGTTAGATAATGCTGATATGTTGGCTAGTTTTGCTGAATTGATTTGGAGTGCTGAGAGAGACCATTTTTGGGAATGAATGTGGTATAAAAAGAAAAAGTAACAATAAAAATAAGATAAATAATTATACTTATAGTTTTAAAGGAAAGTTAGGGATATATCACCAAAACACTCCTAATTCTGTGTCTATTTTTGATTAATTTATCTAAATCTTTAAAAAATCAATAAGCATTTAAAAAACATTGTGTGTCAGGAACTGTACTGAGTACTGGGGAATACAAAAAAAATAGTTTTTCAAAAAAAAATCCTGTGACCCTGGGCAAAGCACTTAACCTCATTGCCTAGCAAAAAGAAAGAAAGAAAGGAAGAAAGAAAGAAAGAAAGAAAGAAAGAAAGAAAGAAAGAAAGAAAGAAAGAAAAAAGAAAGAAAGAAAGAAAGGAAGAAAGAAAGAAAAAGAAAGAAAGAAAGAAAGAAAGAAAGAAAGAAAGAAAGAAAGAAAGAAAGAAAGAAAGAAAGAAGGGAAAAAAGAAAAATCCTTGTCTTCAAGGAGTTTATATTCTAATGGGAAAAATTATATTTTTAGTTTATACCGATTCTTGACATAATTCCCATAAATATATTTTTCATAGCATAAGGTGGTATTTTTTAGTTGCTGTACTTCTATAGTCTTCCGTACCCAATATTTATACAGCTGATTTTTGGATCCAATAAAAATATTTTGGGGCAGCTAGGTGGTGCAGTGGATAGAGCACTGACCCTGGACTCAGGAGGACCTGAGATCAAATCCGGACTCAGACACATAACACTCACTAGCTGTGTGACCCTGGGCAAGTCACTTAACCCCATTGCCTAACCCCCCTCCCAAATATTTTTCATTCAGCTCTATTAAATTTGATCTTATTATATTTGGCCTTTCATGCTATTTAGTCTAATCCTAATTCAGTCATTCAAAATAATAGCTACTTTTCCCAGCTTTGTGTCATCTAAAAATATATGCCTTCATCTAACTCACTGATAAAACTATTTTTGGCCAAGGATAGAGAGCTCTTTAGACCTCTACTAGAGATATCCTACTCAGGTTGATGCCAATACATTTATCATTACTATCTTGGTCCAGTCATTCAACCAGTTCTGAATCCATCTAACTGTAGTATTATTCAACTCACCATTCTCCATCTTGTCCATAAGAATTTTGTGTGAGATTGCTAAATAGCTTCCTATTGCCAACACGTGCCAAGTATAGTATGTCTATAACATTTTCCTTATTATCAATTTCATCACTGTTTTTAAAAAAAGTGACAGCAAACCATAGATCTAGAGTTGAAAAAGATGTCAGAGTTCATCTAGTTCAACCCCCTCATTTTATAGTTGAGGAAACAGCGGTCCAAAAGGCTAAATGAGCTGCCCACAGTCACACAGGTAGCATGTATCGATGGCAATATTTGAACTTTGGTCCTTTGACTCCAGAGCCATGTTTCCATAAAGTAACCTAGACAGTTACTGGAGAACTTGTTTGTTACTTAACTTTTCTTTCATAAATGGAAACTATCACAACCAGAGCTACTAGATGACTGATCATCTTAGCCTAATAGGAAAATAAACATATAATCGTAGCAGTTAACATATATCAGCTCCTTAAATGATGTTTGAAGTTTAGGGTCTTTGAAAAATGAGTGCTTTTCCAGTTTTCAGTATTACCTTTGGTCAAAATATTATTATCCTGAGTCTTCAATGTGGAAATTTAAATGCTTTCCATATTCTTCACTAAAATGAATTCTTGGTCTCCTAGGCTAGTGCGAATCTGGGAAGAAAGAGTAAGCTTAACCAAGCTGAAGGAAAAAGTCATCAGGGAAGATGGAAGGGTCATTTTAAAGATAGAAAAAGAAGAATGGAAGGTAATCAGAGGAAGTGACTTTCAATGTTCTACTTGTTGCATTCTCTATATATAGTTTATAAAGTGTTGTGTTCAGTTTACAGCATTCTGCCAAGATGGTAATTAGGAAAGCTTGCAAAATGTAGAAGTTCAAATTAAAAAAAAAACACAACCAACCTCAATGTGAACCATTTCACAAACAGCTGAAAAGACATACTAAATTATTCTAAAAATATTTTTCTCTAAAATTTCAGCTCAGTCCTCAATATTTACATTAGCTTTGTTCATGTTGATCAAAGTTATTACTACAAACTTTTACTGTGAGGTTTTTTTATTCTAATTTTCACCTTTCTCATTTAATAAGGTGCAGGAACAAAAGTTTCTACCAACAAAACACTCACCAAAATGCTGATCAGGGTAAAATAGCCTCCATATGAAAACTCCATAGAATGGGAATGGAAAGGAAAAGGAAAAATTAATTTTTTATTAGAATGATAAGATTTAGAGCTAAAAGGGACCTTGGAAGTCATTTAGTCCAAACAGTTCATTTCACAGATGATGAAAATGAGACCTAGAGAGATTATATGATTTTTCCAGGACCGTGGGCAAGGAAATACTCATGAATGTTTAACAACTGGCTCTTCACAGCGCATACTTTTAAGTTTAATCTGCATTACTAACATTTTCTCCATCACTTCAAGTTTAGACAATCAACAAAACAATAAATCAAGTCCTCATTTGTAGCATTTGATAATTTCCAAGGTGTAAATGCTCATACCGAAAATTTAATAATTGGCTCTCTCCAGTAAGAGTTGGTTCCAGCACACCCCTGGGAAAGGGCCAGGCTATGAAATCAGGTCTTCCTGACTACAGGTACAGTACTCTGTCCATTACACCAGCTATCTCTCATGTATCAAATTCTTTATTTCCATGCTGTTCCCTCTGCCTAGATTATGTTCCCCCTTCTCCATTCCCACATACCCCAGTGGATTCCTATCCATTCTTTGAAGTTCAGAGCTTAACTCAAATGCCACCTTTCTTAGGAAACATTTCTGTATCTTTTCAATTTGTTGAAGATTTCCCCCCTCAAATTACACATAGCACTTTGTTTATACCTCTTTATTTATTAATATACTTCTATTTAATTTAATTTTATCTATACCTCTTTGTTTAAAGGTATGTAGGGGCAGTTAGGTAGTGCAGTGGATAGAGCACCAGGCTTGGGATCAGAAAGACTTGAGTTCAAATTTGACCCTGGGCAAGTCACTTAACCCTGTTTACCTCAGCTCCTCATCTGTAAAATGAACTGGAGAATGAAATGGCAGATCACTCCATTATCTCTGCCAAGAAAACCTCGAACAAAGAATTTTGTATATGTTATATCATTTGATCTTTACAACAGTTGTATGAGGTAGGTGACAAATCACTCTTTCCTTTCAAGGGAAGAAATTCTGTAAACCTCTAGGTGGGAGAATAGTTAGCAATATTAGGGCCCTACATAATTTCTGCAACAGAGTAGAACTACATAATGAACAAAATGGTAAGAGAAATATAAAAAAGGATATCATCTATCATTCATAAACTATTCCAACATTTCAACTCAATAAATTTGCTGTGGTTATCAAGCTCAAAGCTACATACCTATTGTCATTATAGACTAATAAAATGTAGACCATTATCTCCAAAAGCTCAGCAATGATGACGATAGTAAATGACAAAGAACAGGTCCATGCTCTTTGGAAGTCCTCAAATAATACGGAGTTAGAATCAGACTAGTAGTTTAAAAGACAAGGATCCCCAAAGAAATATATTTTCAATGGGCAGACTTTTTTTAAATTGCCATTAGGCTCAATATAATTTTTCTTGTAAGGTCTGTTCTTTTCTTTATGCATATGGGTATATTTTTACGCTTTTAATTATTTAAGGTTGCTCACTGAATTTATTTATTTAATTATTTATTTGTTGCTTTTTGGGGCAATAAGGAGAGTAGTGTTCAGAGAATTTCAAACTCACATTGGTCACATATACCATTTTTCTTAGCAGGATACGTAGAGATGGAATTTTGATTTGGGCATTACCCATGGGTTTCCAATACCTGTGACCATTCTATTTTTGTTCTTTTGCTAATATGAATACTCCAAAATAGCCTGGGTGTGATTAAATATGAATTCTCAGGATATGAATTCTCTGGTAGTATGCTAATGTTAATAGAAAAAAAATAATTTAAATTCTAGTTTACTTAGAGTTTGAAGGATTAAAAAGTGAAGGAATAGAATAAAAAGCGAAGATTTGGTAGTTATGCAAAATACTAAAAAAAACCCCAATAATTAGTGAGGATTCCAAATTTTACATCTCATCATGAAAAGGTGGTGATGCTGTGTTCTCGAAGGCTGTTCCAGCAAAATCACAAAGGCTAGTAGGCTCTACTTAGCTAATAATATTTACGGTATAGAACCATTCATGTATTTTATATTATCTGATATTGTTCTTGCTAAGTTCAGGAAAAATCACCTCTAGGCTGAATGCAGGGGGATAATTGTTTGACCACAGCAAAAACCAAAGACCACCACCGTAGAGGATTTGTGACTGGAATCAGTGGAGGGAGCGCCCACACCAACAAAACCACAGATCCTTGAATTAAAATCAAAATTAAAATAGAAGATCATAGATCTGGAGCTGGAAGGGTCCTCAAAGACCATTGAGTTCACCTCCCTCATTTTACAGATTTGGAGACTGAGGTCAGGGAAGTTAAGGGACTCACCCTAGGTTGCGTAGGTAGCAAGAGTCAGTCGGGGGGAAAAAAGGATATTTTTATAATAGTTTCAAAACCAAACAAACAACTTACATTTATAGAGCACTACTGAGTTTGCAAAACATTTTACACTCACTAGCTCAGTATTTTGCACTCTGGGCAAGTCGCTTAACCCCGATTGCCTCACCAAAAAAGCAAAAAAAATTTTAAAATGCCAACTTATTTGATTCTCACATCAATCCGATGAGGTGAGTGCTATTACTATCATGATCCCATTTTACACATGGGAAAACTGAAGGTAAGAGACATTAGGTGACTTGTCCTGGGTCACATAGCTAGTAGGTGTCTAAGCCAAGATTTGAACTTGTCTTTATGATTCCAACTTTGCTACCCTCTATACTGGACCACTTAGTCACAATAGCTCCTCTGCCTCCACGCTGATTTTCAGAAAACCAGGATACTGTACATTAAAACAACAACACCTAAATCATAAACTAATTCTGCTTGCAATTATTTTCTCTTTGAGTTTAGACCCTTCCTTCTTCTCTACTAAAACTGAATAATCTGCAGGAGTGGCGCTTCATAGAACGGGCTTAGTAAAAATTCCTGAATTCATTGGACGATTCCAGAACCTCATTGTATTGGATTTATCCCGAAACGCAATTTCAGAGATACCTCGAGGAATTGGTAAGGCATTGTTTTTTTTCCTGTCAGGAGTCTTTAGCTTGCAAGCCTAATTTTAGTCTAAAGATTTGTGGAATAAGATTGAAGCATACTATCTATTGGCTCTTTTTTTTTCTTTTTTCTTCTGTTTTGTTTCTTCTTTCTTGTCTTCCTCCTATTGGTTCCAATTCTTCCTTACAACATGACCAATGTGAAAATATGTTTAATAGAAATGCGTATGTTGATCCTATATCAGATTGCATGCCATCTTGGGGATGTGAGGAGAGGAGGAGGGGGAGAAAATTTAAAACTCAAAAGCTTATGGAAGTGAATGTTGAAAACTAAAAATAAATTAATAAAAAAAATTTAAAAATAAAACTTCTGCTTAAGGAAAAGAAAGAAAAGAAGAAATAAAGTCATGAAGGAAGGAAGGAAGGAAGATGTTTTACTTTGATTTTTTTTTCAAAAGCAGTCAGTGATACCTATGTTCTTCTGCCCTCCAAAAATCACACTGCTTAGGATTTGACAAATTTGAATTATGGGATGTATCAAGGTATTATAATGACTTGGAATAAAATAGTAAGAATCATTGTTGAACAGGGAAAAAAAAAACCAAAAAAGATTTGTGGAATAAAGATATCACATTCATATAACATATTAGTTCCCTAAATAAGTTACAACAACTGCTCTAGATTGAGCCAAGGAAGGCCTCCTACGTCGAGTTATTAGAATTGTTCACTGACAATCGCTTGTTTAAAAAAAAGCCTAATCATTTTAATTCAATTTAACAGATATTTAACTGCCTACTATGTGACAAGATACTGTGCTGTAACAGACTTTGTATGTTAAGATGAAATGAACAAGGGGAAGGATTTCATCTTACAGTTTGGAAAAGATGCTGAGATGTTGACATAAAAGCAGAAATGCAGCATAGGAAGTCATCCTGAACAAAACTGGTCGATCATGTGTCTGTTGTGGGATACCACCCTACTTATAGGCTTCTTGGTTTGAAACAATCTTTAAGGGTGATACTAAACATGTTCTTGGCTTTAAAAAAGGGGGGGGGATGGATCTAGAATGAAGTGATAGAAGAGATAAGACCTAGTTTGAGGACACAAAAAGGATGAGAACTTTGAATTAATTTTCCAGAGACAGCTTTGAAGAAAATGGTAGCACAAACGAAATCAGTGATGCTAAAATTAGAAGGCAAGCAGGTAACTGGGTAAAAATCTTTTGCAATGAGTTTCTCCCATAAAGGTCTCATTTCCAAGGTACATGAAGACTGCTTCAAATTCATAAAAATAAGAACCATTTCTTGATTGATAAATGGTCAAATGATATGAACAGTCAGCTTTTTTAAAGAAGAAATCTAAGTTAAAAAATGTTTCAAATCACCAATAATTAGAAAAATGCAAATTAAAGACACAGTGAGGTTTTGCCTCTTACCTGTCAGATTAGATAAGATGGTAGAAAAGGAAAATGACAAATGCTGGACAGGATGTGAGAAAATATGTATACTCATGTACTGATGGTAGAACTATGAACTGGTGCAACCATTCTGGAAGAAGTTTGGAACTACGCACAAAATGTCACTGAACTGTACATACCTTTGACTCAGCAATACCACTGTTAGGCCTACATTCCAAAGAGAACAAAGAAAAAAGAAAAGAACCCATATGTACACAAATAGTTATAGCAGCTCTTTTTGTGGTGGCAATGAACTGGAAGCTAAGAGGTGGCCATCAGCTGGGGAATGGCTAGACAAATTATTGTATATGAGTGTAATGGAATACTATTGTGATGAAGAAAATGAAGACAACAGTTTCAGAGAGATGTGGAAAGAATTGTGTGAATTGATACCACGTGAAATAAGCAAAACTAGGAGAATAATTTATGTAATAACAATAGCATTATAAAAACAAACAATTTTCAGAAAGCTAAAGAATTCTGATCCATACAATAACCAGCCATGATTTCAGATCAAGCATTTCATGATTAAACATGATATCCACCTCCAGGGTTTATAATGAGCATTTTTTTTTGGACTTGGCTAATGTAGGAATTTCTTTTGATTGACTACGCATATTTGTTACAAGAGTTTTTTTAATTTTATTTTTAATGATGGGGAGGTAGAAACAAGAAAAAATAGAGCTTTAGTTAATTGAGAAAAAATTAAAGTAAAAAATGTAGAAAGAAAAAAGTGATGGCTAAGATGTTATGTAACACTTTATTATTGGATGCTTGATTTTATGACTATTTGTTTTGTCTGATGTGTATAGGACTGCTGACAAGGCTTGAGGAACTGATTCTCAGTTACAACAAAATCAAGACTGTTCCTAAGGAGCTGAGTAACTGTGCCAGCTTAGAGAAACTGGAACTTGCTGTCAACAGAGATATTTGTGACCTTCCACAGGAGGTTAGCATGATAAAGCTACCAACAGAAATATTCTCCGCTCATTTCTGGTTTAATGCTCTGTTGTATTAGGGGAAAAGCATCAACTTGAAAAATAATAGTTTGGTTTCAGTTTTTAACATGGAATTTGGTGGAAACATTTTATGTATATTTTGTTAAATAATTAGAGAAAGAGCTATGATTCACTTCAAAGATAGTAATTGTGAATCTTGAGCAATGAAATGGCAGTAGAATGGCTTATTTTGTAATTGTTTATGGAATAAGGATGGTCCCAAGTGATGTATAAATGTAACACCATATTAAATATCTCCCTTAACAGATTCCTAGGCTCTGCCAGGTCAGAAGCAAGATAGTAGGCTTGGTGAAGTGCTAAACCCTGATCTATGTGTGACATGTTGTCACACTATTAGCCATTCTAAATGATTCATATGCTAAGCCTTAGAGTTTGTGTGTAGATAAAGAAAGAAGACAGTGTAAGCACTCAGAACCAGTGAAGGAAATTGTTATAAGACCTTGTCTTGATCCAGTAATATGCTTGAGAGTATAAACCTCCAAAGTGCTAAATATTTGAATTTCTATGCACAGTATTCAATTTCTAGGTCACATCATCCCCAAGATGGAGGATTAGACATTTTCTCCAATCCTCACTAACTCTCAAAAATTCCCCAAAGTAGGAATTATGTACAAGAAATAAAGCAATTTACAGCTGTTTCCATAGGCCAAGATGCCAAGAAGCCCAATGAAACAAACTTACTTGTTGTACCCACTATAGTGTCCTACTCTCAGGCAAGGGACACAACCAGATCCACCAACTTATGCTTTGAAATCCACTCAACAATCTCTCTGCTGCTGCTGCTATGTCCTTGTCACTATACACTGCCCCTATTCTCACCTTACTATTTTATGGCAACAAATAGCAAACTTCAACTCTGTTTACCCTCTTATAAAGGAGGAGGTACATAAAGACAGGAACGTGCTCTGCCAGGGCCAGCAGCACATAGCCAAAGAACTAAAAAACAGAGGGAACTGGAACAGGTGCCAGAATGAGTACAGGATTGCATCAGACCTGAAGGAAAGGGGACTGTCATTCAACGGGGACCTGTACTCTCCCCTTAAGAGATTGAGGCCCTTAGAAAATGAATTCTCTATGGGGGAAGAGGGTGAGACAGTTTTGCTGCCCAGCAATTGGGGACAAATCCCCCATCAAAGGGAAAGGAGTAAAAAAGTGAGGAATAGAGATTATAAGGGGGGGAAAAAAGATTAAAATTACCAAAGATCTCTGGAGGAAGAAAACTCAATTAAACAATCTAGAGCACAACAAGTAAATTACAGTTCTTTTGAGGAGTAAATAAGACTGCATCTATAAAGGGCTTTTCAAACTTTAAAGTGGTAAATAAGTGATATTTATTATTAAATAACCATCAAATGTTAGGGTTTAAAATGACAACAAAAACGTTACCATGCAGTGAAAAACATAATAAACTATGACCATTTTCAAGATGTAGGAAGCCTCTCTAGGCTAGTTACTATAAACCTTTACAGGCAGGTATTTTGGAAGAGATCATTCGCTATTACCAAGTGAGCATTCTGTTTGAAGGAATTATTATTATTATTTTTTATTCTTCCTAGGCTGTTTAGTTGCGTTTTTTCTTGTTTTGGGCTATGTCTTGTGCTGCAGTGATAAGAGCTGTGCCAGGTATGATGTACTTACCTCAGTTCCCTGATGGTCTTCATTTAGGCTCTGTAGTTCTGAATATCTTTTCCTTTTCAGCTCAGCAGTCTGTTGAAGCTCATTCACCTTGATCTGAGTATGAACCAGTTTACAACAATCCCTTCAGCTGTGCTGCACATGCCTGCCCTTGAGTGGCTGGACATGGGAAGCAACAGACTCAAAACACTTCCTGACTCTATAGACAGGTAAAATGATAATAATAATAATAATTTTTAACTAGATATTAACCAATGTCTTGACTTTGGGGAAAATATACAATTAAACTAGTAACATCTCATGCTATTTTTAATACTAGTAAATTTTTATATTCTATATGATCAAAAGACTTTTGGGAGAACCTAAATTTGCAATTTTGCAATTTCCACCCATCAATCCTGGTTTTCCTCTAAAGAATAAGCTTGCCACTGCTTTGGTGACTTATAATCCATGGACCTCGTATTTTAGTGAAATTCTCCTATTAAGTAGCACAGAGGCAATATGTCCCTAAACCTAGGGTGCACTTCTGTGGCAAATTTATGGGATGACATGGACAGGAGTTTCATAGAATAGTCAGCATGAATGGGCAGCAGTTTGCATCTTTGGAGGGAATAATAGCTCTTATTTATAACGTCCCAAAAGTCTTAGTTCAATTATAAGGGTTTTTTTTAGAATCTTAGAAAATTAAAGCATTATATGCAGTCAATCCTCAACTTTTGCAAGGATTAACACTCCTAAAAATGGCACAAAAGTAAAAAATGTGAATGTTGATATATTGAACCTATGGAAAATAGGGGGTTAGGTTCCTGTGACTACTAAAACTTTTAATTTTTTCACTAGAGATTGCTGAAAATATGCTTTTCTGCATACAATTCCTTATAATAAAACATTATTTCTGAGCATATGTACTTCTAACACAGTAATCATGAAATAGCCCATAAAATGCAGTACACGAAATAAAATTGGTAACATGCAAAACATTTTTTTCCTCACAATTCTCTAGTATTCTGTGACATTTTGTACCTTCTCGATAAATTTTTTTTTTAAATTTTGGACCAGTATTCACTTTTCATCACACATAAAATCTGTAGCACCATAAATAATGTTTAGCAAATAAAATTCTTAAAACTAAAACGTTTTAACCTGAATCTTGCCTTTGACTATATCAGATGGCAGTGCGAGGGTGCTTTATTCTACTGCTAGACACTTCTCTACCTTGGCTTTGCCCTGAAAACCAAGAGAGAGATTGGTGGGATTTTAGTCACTGCTGTCAGAAGATCCTGAGATTGATGAGGAGACCATGAAGGATGCACCAGCTTGAAATAATCGCAGCAATGTCTGCTTCTTGTGCAATTTGAGATCCTTAAGAGTCTCCCAGCCAACAATGGCTAGAGACATTCCAACATAAAGTTTATCTAAAACCTTTATTTTTTCACTAAGAAGCTCACTAAGCTACATCATTGACTTTGCAAGCTGGGGCTTAGACCCCAAAGAACTTGCACTATGTTTTAGGGGCATAATTGCAACACAAAACTTGAGTTTTAAAGGCAAACAATGAAAATATGCAATGGATGCATAGCTCTTTATAATGGTAGGGTGAATAAGACCAGTGAAGCTCCCAGTAGGATACCAGCTACTCCACAAACTTGCCCACGTCTGACCTCTCATTTCTTTTTCTCTACTGCACATAGCTGCAAATACGCATGTTTGCCAACGTGAAAGTGAAAATGAGGTTACTAACAAAAATCAGTGAATGCTTGAAGTAAGGAGAGTTAAATGTGGGAATATTGAGGGTTGATTATATTATTATTAGCTATTATTACTTAATAATAATAATGCTAGCATTTATATAGAACTTTAAGGTTTTCAAAGCACTTTATTACATATATCACTTCATTTGATCCTCATAATAATCCTCAGCCTTGAAAAAGGCTGAGAGAGTTTAAGTGACTTGCCTAGGGTTATTCAGTAATTGTAAGGCAGCAATTGTGGGGCAGAATTTGAATTCAGGTCTCCTTGACTCCATGTCCAGCACTTTTTACATTTATGGACTAAGGGATCCATAGAGCTAAAAAATACACAGACCTGATGTCTCTGACTTGATATTTTTTTATAAGCTGGTATTTTCATAATGCATATAATTAATTGTCAAATCCTTTCACATTTTAGAATGGAAAACCTACATACATTATGGCTCCAGCGGAATGACATTGCATGTTTGCCAGAAACCATCATCAACCTAAAGAACTTGGGAACTTTGGTTCTCAGCAACAACCAATTGCAAGATATTCCAGAATGCATGGAACGAATGACAAATCTCAGGTAAAAATCTTGTTCCAAAGCATGAGCTAGACTACTTACCCAATCCCCTCTGCTGGCAGAGAAAGAGCGTAAGTGAAAGGCTTTTGAATTAAATCTGTATTTTTAGGCTCAGCCTAATCGAAGTTATTCAGGGTAATAGCCTTCAAATTAATAGCAATAGCTCCCATTTCTAGGGAACCGTAAGGTTTATGAGGTGTGATCCTCACAAAAAGCCCATGATGTGGATAGAGCAAATATTATTATTTATGTTTAACAGATAAGGAAACTGAGGTTTAAAGTTAATCAATGTCCTCCATTGAAATCCTACTCTGAAGCTTAATTACGGCTTAGAGGTGACTGGATCTCTTATTTTGTAGATGAATGTAACAAATTTACTATAATGAGTTTAATCTGTAGGTAAGAGGAATTTTTTTTTTCAGTTAAATAGATTTTTGTGGTCAACCAGACCAGAACCAGCCTCTAACCTATGGGTGGCTGGAGCCAAACAGAGCAGGCTAGAGACAGGAGAGTAAGGACACAACAGAAGTTTAACGTCCAAGTGAGGAAAATGCTTTTAATTGGAAGTCCTCCTGAGTAAGAAAGCTTAACGTGCTGGGGAAAGGCAATGCTTTATATACATAAAAACCACAAGTGGACTGGACCATGACATAATCATTCTTCGGTCTTGAGTAGCATTTCCCATGGCAGGTTCATGTGTGGACAATGCAGGCGTTCCTGAGTCCTGTGGGACCAGTCTCCGAGTTGATTGTCTCACAGCAGGGTATAGAATCAGAGGAACAGGAGTGCAGTACTCGGTTTGATTCACCTAGCTGTTACAAGAAACAGACTGTGAGTGTGTCAAGAGGTATGACGGAAGGCTCTCAGGTCCCTGGGAAATAGAGGGAGCTCCAACAAATCTGAACAGTTATTGATTAATATGAAACCTAAATCCCTCAGTGAACACCTGGTGCTGGTCAAAGCAATACACTTTGTGAAGGGGTGAGATTTTCCAGAGCACAAAGAATTGTTATGCCAAGCTCAGGGCACAGCCTACTTGCTAGGCCTTAGCTTTGGGAAACAGTATCTCCACATACCTTGACAGTGGTTTTCTTGAAGAAATTAATAAAAAAGAAACATGATACATAAAATAATGTTCTTTTCCTCCTAAATTTCTCTTTTCTCATAGAAGCTTCTTTCATACCAAGTTATCAAATCTACCTCCACAACATATCTCACACTGATAACATCTGTCCACTAACATGGCCACCACTCTAATAAAATACCTCACCACTGCTCAACTAGATTATTACAATAACTTCTCAATTGACGTCCCTGTCCCCCCAGTTTCTGTCAAATATTTATCCATAAAACAGAAGTCTGACAATGTCATTTGCAGTGTTTGCAATATAATAAGTTAAACGAGGCAATTCTCTGAGAAAGGTAACGTTTATTAACAGGAGTATGATGTCTACCAATAAATGGATCAATGGATTGCCTCCTCTTATGCTAAAGACCCTAAGCTGATGGACAGTCTCTTTTTGTAAGTTTTGGGGAGTACAGAACAAAGAACAGAACAGGGTAGATGACATCATGGGATTGTGTGCAATGTGACTGGTTACAAAGCTAAGGTGCAGGGAACAATATGCTTGGTTGGAAATTTGGTAATGGGGGCTAGCAACGACTCCCCTTCTTCTCTCATGCAACTGATAAGTGCTCATTATATGAGTCCAGGTGTGAGAGAGGGAACCAGATCTCCTTGAAAGATAGCTTGGTGGTATAAAGATGTTAAGCCTGACTCCTTCACATTCACACACATCCCCCGACATCAGTTAAACTCCTTGAGGCAAGAATAGATCTGTGATTAGCAGGAGAACTAAATTTTAAAATTTAATCTATTACAGACTAGCTGAATTTCCAAATGAAATTCAGAGACAAAGACCATGACTTAAGCAGTTACAGGACAAAAGCAAATACAGGAGAAAATCAATTACTTGTAAACAGGATAAATAAGAAAATGAAACAGGATCAATTCAATCTTCTCATATTTCTCTGCTCAGGAGGTTGCAGGGGTTCTCTATTACCTGTAGGATAAAAGACAAAATATTATATTTGGCATTCAAAGTTATTGATAGTATTGTCTACTTACTCTACCTTTCCAGGATTATTGAAAAAGAGAAAGAAAAAGAAAAAAATAAAGAGTAGGAAGGGAAGAAGAGAAGGAGGAAGGAATAAAGGGAGAAAGAAACAATGAAGGAAAGGAAGAAAGAAGAGAAAGAAAGCTAGAAAAAGAGAAAGAAAAAGGAAAGAAAGAAAGAAAGGAAGAAAGAAAGAAAGAAAGAAAGAAAGAAAGAAAAAAGAAAGAAAGAAAGAAAGAAAGAAAGAAAGAAAGAAAAAAGAAAGAAAGAAAGAAAGAAGGTCATTAAGCATCTTCTATAAATAATACATCCTAGGGACACAGAAGTTAGACAGTCCTCGGAAGATAACACATATTGGAGAGTGGTGTCCAGGGAAGAAGCTTTGGCCCAAGGAGTTAAAGGGATTGTAAATGGAGTCACAGAGCAGTCCATCACCCTGCTCTTTCTAGTAGAAATGGTAGCATTGATTTGATTACTTTTCCCAGAGCATAAGCAAGGGATGGGAAGTACAAGCTTTTTTGGGGAGGAGTGGGGTGCAGAGTGGGGATGGTGGTGAATTTGCATGAATATAGCATGGCAAATAGCAAGATAACTAGACAGAGCCTTGGTTGCTTTGTGTGATGACTGGATAGGATATCAAACATGATCTGTGGCTTACTAGATACTGGGTTAGGTGAATTGTTATTCACTAATCTAACCATCGGGACAGCTAAGATTCCGAGCTTAATTTTTATATTATTAATGGGGCACCACCAACCTTCCAGTCATGGAGGCTTGCAACATAGGTGTCATCTTCAACTCTTCACTGTCTGAAAGCTCCCTCCTGTCCCATATTCAATCTGTTGTCAAACCCTGTCAATTCTGCTTAGAGCAGCTAGGTGGCACAAAGGATAGAGTGCTGGTGATCAGCCTTGCCCATTATTCTGTAGTTACTGAGCTTTACTATTTGAAGGTGGAATGGCTCCAACAAGAAAGATGGGTAAGATCTCTTTGTAGCAGAGGAGTGTGGCACCTCTGTGTCAGCATGTCTGAGTTACCTCATATGACTTAGGAAGTCTTGTGCACTGGACACTGGTGCAAATTGTATGGTGACCTTTTGCACCTGAAGGCTAGAGTCAACAGTCAACAAGTATTTATTAAGCACCTACTAAGTGCCAGGGAGGCAGCTAGATGGCATAGTAAATAGAACAAGGGCCTGGAGTCAGGAAGAACTGAGTTCAAATCTGGCCTCAGACACATATTAACTGTGTGACCCTGGGCAAGTCACTTAACTGTTTGCCTCAGTTTCCTTATCTGTCAAATGAGCTGGAGAAGGAAATTGCAAACCATTCCAGTATCTTTGCCAAGAAAATCCCAAATGGGTTGGTGTCACAAAAAGACAGACACAACTGAAATGACTGAACCACAACAAAACCAAGTGGCAGGCACTGTGCTAACTAAGTGTTGGGGATAAAAAAAAAAGGCAAAACAAAACAAAAACTAAACAGCCTGTGGTCTAAAGAAACTCAGTCTAAGGGACAAAACAACATGCAAATAACTATGTACAAGCAGGATATGTACAACATAAACTGAGGATATCAACAGAGGGGGACCAAGAAAGGTTTCCTGTAGATGGTGAGATTTTGGCTGGGATTTGAATAAAGCCAGGGAGGGCAGGAGATGGAATGAGGAAGAAGGGAATTCCAGGCATTAAGGACAAGTGGAAAATTCCCAGGATTGGGCTTTGGAGAGTCTTGTTCAAAGAACCAAAAGGCTAGTCACTGGAGTTTATTGAATGGGGAAGAAGGATAATGGTGGGATGGTAGTGGTGACGTGGTCAGACCTGCACTTTAGGAAGATAAAATTGATAGCTGAGTAGAGGATAGATTGAAGTGAGGAGACTTAACACAGCCAGATCAACCAGCAAGCTATTGCAATAGTCTAGGCATAAGGTGATGAGGGCTTGGACCAGGGTGGTGACAGTGTCAGAGGAGAGAAGTATACATCAGAAATGTTATAAAGGGAAAAGGGAAGGGAATACGCATTTATTTAACATCTATTATGTGTCAGGTGTTGTGCTTTACAGTTACCTTCTTTGATACACACGACAATACTATGAGATAGGTGCTATTATGATCCCCATTTTACAGTTGAGGAAACTGAGATAGCAGAGGTTAAGTGATTTGCCCAAGTTCACACAGCTAGTAAGTGTCTCAGGCTGGATGTGAACTACTGATTCCAGGCCCAGTGTTTCTATCCACTGTAACCTAACTGCCTCTAGGAAGAACTGACAGCACCTGGCAAGAAACTGGGTATGTGAGGGTGAAAGCTGTGAGAAATTGAGGAGTTGAAGATGACACCTAGGTTGTAAGTCTAGGTGACTGGAAAGATGGCGGGGCTGACAATCACATATGAAAATTAAGCTTAGGAGGAAAGATAAGTTTAGTTTTGGACATGTTGAGTTTCTAAGGTCTACAGGACATCTGGATAGAGATGTCCAATAAGCATTATTTTTGTGTGTGTCAAAAGTTCAATAAGAACCGTATCTTTAACAACATCTCAGCTGTTTCCTGGTCTTTAGATATGCTCGTGCCTGAGATAGTGGACCATGTTAGTCAACAGTTAAGGTACCATGACAGTACCATTTTCTGATGGATTACCAGGTTTGTCAACTTCAGGGATAACCCATTAAAACTGGAAGTCACACTTCCTCCCTGTGAAAATGCGGATGAAGAGGAGGAAAAGGAATTATTTGGCATTCAATTTATGCACACATATATTCAGGAGTCCCGTAGGAGAACAGGTAAGAGCTTTGTTTTATCAGAATTTGGATGAAACAGTAATTTCATTGATGTGTATATTCCTTTTTCATTCCATTTACTGTCTGACTTTTTTTTTCTAGTTCAGTGATAGAAATGGGAATAGAAATGTAGAAAAATCAATTCAGTTCATACATTGAGTGAAAAGATGTAAAAGAAATTGTAAGCATTCCTTTCTTAACTTCATGGATACTCCTCAGCTTTGAAAAAAATTTTTTTCATTACATTAATTTTCTAATATATCCCTGCTCACCTTTCCCCCTCCATTCTTGTAACAAAGATTACAAAAGAGGAAAAAATGCAGTTCAGCAAAATCAACCAACACATTGACTAACGTTACGTGCAATATTCTGTTTGGGTTCCTTGGTGGATCCAAAGCAACAAAAGGAGGGAGACATATTTTCTCAACTTTCCTCTGGGCCAAACTTGATCGTTATCATCCCAATGTTTCATTTTACTGTTCTATTTCTAATTTTTTTTTTTTAGGAAATGCTTAATTTCCCCCCTTGTTCTGTTAACTCCACTCTGCATCAGTTCACACGACACTTCCCATTTTTCTCTGAATGCTTCACGTTCATCATTTCTTACAGTATATTCAAGAAATCACAATTTAATTTAGCCACTTCCCAAATGATTGGGCACCTACTTTGTTCTAAGTTCTTAACAACCATAAAAAAGTGCACTGTGAATACTTTAGTACTTATGGGACCTTTCTTTCCATTTTTTGCCTCCTTGGAGTAAATGCTTAGTAGTGATATCTACAGGAACATCACAATTTTTAAAGTAGCAAGTAAATCTTTTAGCCTCAGAACTGGAAGTTGGGTACAGATAAACATCACTAGTCTATTTTTGTTATCTGTAAAGGGAGGGAGTTGGATTAGATAATCTCTAAGATCCCTCAAATTTCTAAATCATAGTTTTTAATTCCCAAAACTCCACAGGATAACTCTTTCAGGGCATTCCATAAGTAATTCTGATATCTTGAATACCTTGACATCTACTTTCTCCTTTCCAACCCTAAAATTCATTCCACCTAGAAATTATAAGAAAGTTATAGGAAATGCATGTCATAAATACCATCCCAAGTGAAGGTTTTGGCTAATATCTATGTAGTATGGGTCCTAGTTAGTATAGAGTCAACTACTGAAAATTTCATTCTGATTTAGGAATGAAAATGAAAAACAGTGCTTCAAATATTACACAGGGTGTAGTGGAGGGGGAGAAAGATCATTCTTGTTAATTAATAAAAACACTGACATTATGCTTTAGTACTTCAGATGTGCCTATTATTCACCAAAATGAAATATTTCACACTTAATAGCTAATGGAAAAATTTATCATTTTGATAAACAGTAGATTGTTTCAAGTCTTAAATATTAAGAGCATTGGTCTTATTTTTTCCCTTGCACAGATAGCTTTATTTTTTGGCTTGCCAATATCTGACTGTTTTAACTTATTCCAGGAGAAAAAAATAAACTAAAACCAAAAAAATGTAGGCTTAAGAAGGGGTATCCTTATGATAATCCAAGATGTCATGAGATTATATCAACAGGCAAAAAAGATCAGTTTAAATGCTGGCAAGTGTGAGGGGAAAATATCCTCTAACACATAGAAGATTATGGCCTGTAAGCAATCAAACTTGACTCAGAAAAAAATAAATAGAGGTTCTTTGAAGGCATCTGTTCATTACATTATTGCAGCCAAAAAAAAAAAAGGCTAATAAAAAGATTGGAGGTCATCTGGAAGGCTATCAGAAAACAAAACCTTAGGCAAATCATTGTGCTTCTCTAGGCCCATTTCCTTGTCTATAAAATTAGGCATTGCTAGATGATGTTTAAGGTCCCTTATGGCTCTAAATCTATAGTTTTATAAACATGTATCTAATAAAATATAATCTAACATCAATACAGTATTCCCCTTGGCTAACAAAAATAATCATCTTCCTAAGTTCAAGATAAGGCATATGTAATGAGACAAGAATTTGTGTGAAAAAGGTCTGGAAGTTTTAGAGGGCAAAAACTCATTATGAATCAATAGTGTGACACTGAAGCCCCCAAATCTGATGTGATTTTAGGCTACATTGAGAGGCAAACAGTGACAGTCCCACTATTCTTCCTCTAGGGTATTGACTATTTCGTTTACATATAGAATGTGAGCACCCTGAGGCCAGGGAGTGTTTGTGCTTTTTCTTGGTATCCCCAGTGCTTACTTAGCACAATATCTGGTGCATTGTTATGTACTTAATAAATGCTTGTTGACTGACTAATTGATGATAGGTGTCTAATAGTTTTAAGATAGTCAAATGGAAGGCCGAAAGACTTACTCTGTTTGACTCCGTAAAGCAGAACTAGGATTAAGGATAGAATCTTAAGAGTTTGGATTTTAAGGGATTTTTGTGATCATCTGTCCAATACCCTCATTGTACAGGTGTTTAGAAGCAAGGTTTAGAGAGCCAAATGACTTGTCCAAAGTCACAAAGACAGTAAGTGGTAGAGAAAGGACTTGAACCTATGTTCTACTCTAATCCACTGTTTTCCCCGCTGCTAGCTTCTGCAGAGGTTACAAAGAAGCACATTAAGGCTTCATGTGAGAAAAAAAAAAACTTGCCAAGAATTAGAGCTCTACAGAAGTGGAATGAGCTACCTTGGGAGGAAGCAGGTTTCCCCTCAAAGTGCAGCCTTTGACCAAAGGCCGCATAACCATTTATGGGGTATATCGTAGTGGGGATCCTTGGTTGACTAGATGACTTTTGAGGGCACTCCTAACTCTGAGATGTGATTCTGAGTACAGTCCAAGGCGTTTATCCTCCAAGGCACAGCTTAGCTCCATTCAGAACTGTTCCTTATCAAGCTTATCTCAGGATGATGAATTTTTAGCCATAGTAACACTTAAAGATCATTTACTAAATTGTAGGTGAATAGCAGTATAAGTGGGGAAAGGAACATCCACACTGACAAAATCATGGTTCTTTAAGTACTAATATATATATATATATATATATATATATATATATATACACACACACATATATATATATACACATATATATATATACACATATATATACACACACACACATATTATACACACACACACACACATATAGTACACTAGATAATATGAATAAGTTTAGCTTTTGTACTAGCCAGTCTAGTCTGATACTATGAAAGTGGTTCTATTGCCATGGTTTATGCCTTTTGGATCAGGGAATACTGATAACATTTAAAAAACTAAATTGAATCATTCCAATTTTATTTGATATGAAATTAAAAACACAAGAAAAATTGAAGTAATTTTAGCTTAGGACTATAATATGTAATTAGAGACTGACATTTAAAAAAATTAATTTAAGTTTTGTGGCTAGCAATAGTCAAAAGTTCTATAATAACGAACAAGACAGACTTATCACCAATAATTCACTTACTCAAGTACAGACTATCTGGTAATGTCAGAGTAATCCAACATACTGTTGGAATTTCTCTAATAGGAATTACAAACTAATAATTCCTAAATATTAGTATAGTCACACCTGGATACTTGTTTCAGCAAAGATAACAACAATTACAAGTAGGAAGCCTATATCCCTTTTTTAAGAGGTATTTTTTTTAAAGACGAGGGTAGAATAATATCAGATGCTACAAGAAAATATGGAAGCACTATCATCTTTTTTCATGCTTATACTACTCTATGCATAAAACTCACTGGCTAAAGATGAGAAGCCTAAGCAAGAAATGAATATTTTTGATTCTACCGCCTAATTCCCTTTAATTTTCTCCTCTTAAACTGAGGAAAACACCGGGGATATTGGCAAATGTAAAAGCCACTGGCTACAGAAAATGTTTATTTGGAGAATTCCTAACCAGCTCATTATTAGGTAAAAATGTAATAGGACATTTGTATTTCAAGTAAACATTTCTTCTTTTCCGGTTTTGGTCACCTGTAAATTCTGATATGATGTGGATATTTCCAAAATCTATCTAAGTGACCTCACTGATACCAATTTCATAACTTCATTGTGATGTTATGGGTATTTGTTTCCAGTCATAACCTGGTTGTCTTTCTTGGATTTACCCCCACAAATCTTTATGTATTTCAGCAACTCTGAAGTTTTGCCTTCGTTCTAAAAAAAACCCTTAAAAATATTTATTTATTACATATGTAGAGCAAGATTCAGAAATTATACAATAGAAATTAACTAAGAACAAAAGGAAATTAAATTCTTCTAAAGTTTATGCAAAGAGGCACTTTTGTTAAGATTCTAGGTTACATGTGGGAATGCTTTTGTATTTCAGAAAACAAAGAAAATTGTCCAACTGCTTTGCCAGACTCTATAAATAATGATGAATAAAATACCTCAAGATGACCTACTGAAGAGGATTATTTTGAGGATCTGGTGAATTAGCTAGCTACACATCAGCATTTCTGAAGTCTTTGAAAACAAACATCAGAACTTGAAGAGCTTAGAACATATAAACATGTTTGTATTATCAGTTATTTAAAATGTTTTTAGTTTCTTTTTGTCAATATAAAAACCATAATTTGAAACTTTACTTTTTTGTGGGAGACAATTTCCCCATAATTTTTGTATAAATTATCTTATCTGTTTAAAATATCCAGAGAAGGGCTATAAAATTGCTCAGTAGGAACTTTTCGGATTTCTCTTTCATCATGTAGTTGAGCCTGGTGTTGAAGACTGTTTGGGTAAAGCTGTTAACAGGACATTTTCTAGAGACACAAGGGATTCTGTATAGTACTGTAATGAAGCATTATATCCCTTCTGCTGTAAATATTGGATTCGGCCTTGGTCAATTAGCAATTTACAGAGACGACCTATATTTTTCCTTTCTTCGACAGTAAGAAGCCTAGATCCAAAAACAAGAAAAAACAAAATCAGAATAAAATTAGCAACTTTTTTCACAATTACAATGTAGTACATAAACTGCCATACAGTATTTATTAATATGTATGGTAATTTCTTAGCTGAACCATTAATAAGCACCCAATAATTATTTTATTATGTCCCAGAGTTAGGCTACATGCTGAACCTACTCTTCATGTCTTCTAAGGGTCCTTTTATTTGAGACCATAACTAATTCATTAATTTTAATTTACTGTAAAATTCAATTTAGAATTCCATTTTATAACCTGAGTTATACATCTTGAGAAAATAAACAATCATTTTTCCTTCTTGTTGAATATCACAAAATAAGTCACTTACCCAGGTAAGCCTTCGGGATTATCATCTGTTTTCCTGTATCCTTCATGGTCATGCTCTTCATTATCATTGGTCTGATCATCTCTTTTCTTTATATTAATTTTTGATGTTTCCAAAGTTGTTTCCCGCATTCCACAAGTGGCCCAGCTACTCATCCGTTGGAAATAGTTAAATTCCACTGGCCCAAGTCCTAGGGTCTTGAAAAATTCTTTGCCCACGTAATGCCTCCAATCACACCTGTGATGACAACAGAGTGCAATAACGATGCCAGCCACAGGGATCCACTGCTCTAATTCATTCTTTTCACTTTCTTCATTTCCCGAAGTGTCATTTTCTGTGTCCGTTTTCTTTATACGCTTGGCCACCGGTTCCTCATTTCCTTCTCTGCATCTGGTAGGATAGGTTTCGACTAAACATCGCAATGCAAGATCTGCAAATATAATGATATCATATAATCATCATCATATCATACATCATATAATCTCCAATCCCCATAATTACATCATACAATCCCACATTGTAAGAAATAAATATTTTGTATATTTACTAAGCAATACAATAAATATTTTCCTGTATTATCTCTGAGTGAATTATCTGTTTTATTCTATAAGTTCTTGGTGTTTTCCTTTCAATTCATATACATTCTTCATTTTTTTCTATTGATTTATTCTGTAATAAAGCCTATATCCCCAAAATAGCTGGAAGGAAGGGAAGTTTAAGACTTGCAGCCTGGAAAAACCTTCATTCAGCAGCTAGATTTCTTTTCTCCTTCCTCAGGCCCAATAAAGCTCAGTGTCGCCAAAAAAGAACCTTTATCTAAAAACAAAAAAAACCCCAAAAACAAACCACAAAACTACCTCTAAAACCCACAGAAATTGTTAATCAAACTGAAAACAAAATAAATAGAAGGCAGGGAGAGGAAGAGAAGGGAGGGGTGTGAACAGCTTCTCCTTAGGTTCCTAGATATGGAGGTGTGTGATACCTTCAGAGCAGGAAGAAATGAGTACAGGGGAGGTGACAAGAAAGTTCCACCATTTTCTAACAAATTTCAATTTGTTACTTGATTTCTTTCTTTCTGAGCAATAAAGAGCTGACAATTTCATAACACTTTAAGATCCACAGGGCACTTTCCTTAAAATAATCTTGTGGATTGTTTGAGGACTCTCACCTCCATTTTACAGATGAGAAAACAGGCTCTGAGATAGAAAGCGACTTGCCACTCATCACAAAGCTATTAAGTGTCTTCAGCAGGACTGGAACCCAGATCTCCTGCTTCCAAGCAGTGCTTTCAAATTCAATTTTAGAGCTGAAAGGGATCAGACAAACCATTTGCTCGAACCCCTTAATTTTACTGATGAGGAAAATGAAGTTTGAAAAAGTCATACAGATATTGGCAAAAGCGGAACAGGAAATCCAGCTCTTGGGACTCATAATACTCTAGCATTAGGCCTAATATCCTACCTTGTTAAAAAAGCAAAACAATCTTGTTTATAGCTATAAAAATCAACTACCTTATAGAAAAAAATAACTAAAAAGCAGCATATCTCTTTATCTGTGTGGCTAAAGGCTTAATACCAACAAAACTAATCTTGACATCAAAATGAATAAAGGTCACTTAACTATAACATTATTTGATCCCTTGAAATCCACAGAAATAAGACAAAGGTCAGTCAGGGTCTTTCTATAAAATTTCTATCTCTACCACAGTTAGCCACTCTATTTCCCAAACTGGGATGTTTAAATACTATTGTTGAAGGTGAGAAGGGAAAATAAGGCTGCTGGAAATGTGGTGGGGATAGGGTCTCAAAGGAATTATTTCAAGACAAAAACAAAAGTACTCCATTCCCAAAAGGTTTTCTGTGGCTGTGGCAACTCTGACCAGCTCTGTCCTGGGATGCAGAGACCCAAATGCAGGACCAACTAATCAGGTCTTGAGATTTCCTCACCGTCCAACTGACTCCATTCCCAAAGACAGTGGTGGGACAGAAACCAATGTTCTGAAGTGGCTTCTTTTACCTTACCTTGACAAAACAAAAAAGGTTTTCTACTTATTTCTATATTCTACTTCTATTATTCTCATGTTCCTGAAATTTCCCTAAATCTCTCTGTCACCCAACAGTCCCGATGTCTTAGAACTGGGAAGGATTTTGAAACACAATCCCTCCAAGGGCAAAGGATAATAGTCTTTGTGATATAAACAAAATGATTCTTTTAATTCTTTTAAGACTTGATAAAAATATGATTTGCACACGCACACATGTGCACACATACACACACACAGAAAATTAATATTTAAAGTAGCCCTGGTCACGTAAAGTAGCAAAAATAGTTTACTTTTCATTTTTTAAAAAAACTATATTTTGCTACTTCACAAGGCTAGGGCTACTTTAAATATTAATAGACTTTAGTAATGTTTTGGGTTTTTCTGAAGATAAAACAAAATTTTAAAAATGTTTCAGTATTTACAATAAGCAGACCCAGGAACTGGGAGAGACAAAATCTAGATAAGACAACTTCTGCCACCATGAAGTTTAGTTAAAAAGGGAATATGACATTTTCTATACTGTCAAATAATATATGGTAATTGCATAAAAGGTTAAAGGAAAGTGTTACATGATGTCTGAGGAAGAACAGGCATTCCTTGTTGGGAGAATTTGGGAGGCTTTCTGAAAGAGGCAGCATTTGAGCTGGGTTTTAAAATTGGCTAGAAATTCAATGAATGGGATAAACTGTGGGATGAAGGAAAAGAAAAATATTTCAGACACAGAGAATAGTGTGAGTAAAGGTATTTGAGTAGGAGAGTACATAGTGTATATAGGAGAACACGGTGATGAGATCAATTTTGTTAGAGCACAGAGCACAAGGAAGAAGATACTATTATATAAAGCTAGCATGGCAAGGTGCTGGTAAGGATCAAGGAAGAAATTATCTTTTACATCTGTGGAAAGGGGAAGAATTCAAGACCAAAATACTATAAAGGAAATTATAGAAGATAAAATGTACAATTTCGATTATACAAAATCTACATTTTTTTGTACAAGTGAAACTAATGTGTTTAAAATCAGAAGGGAAACAGTTAATTGGGAAAAAAAATTTGCAGCAAGTTTCTTTGAAAAAGTCTCATTTCCAAGCTATACAAGGAACTGATTCATGCTTATAAGAACAAGAACTGTTCCCCAAATGACAAATCATCAAAGAACATGAATAGGTCATTTTCTTTTTTTCTTCTTCCTTTTTTTTTTTTGGCTAGGCAATGCAGTTAAGTATAACATTATTTGATCCCTTGAAATCCACAGGAATAAGACAAAAGTCTTATTTGCCCAGGGCCACACAGCTAGTGTCTGAGGGTAGTCTCAGGTCCTCCTGACTCCAGGGCAAGTGCTCTACCCACTGTGCCACCTAGCTGCCCCCTGAATAGATCATTTTCAAAGGGAGAAATCTAAACTATCAACAGCATATGAAAAATGCTCCCAATAACTAATAATTAGAGAAATGCAAATTAAAGCAATTCTAAGATTCTACCTCACACACATCTGACTGGCAAAAATGACAAAAAAGCAAAATGAAAAATATTGTGTATGTAGGGGCAACTGTGGGTAAAAAAAGGCATATTTGACGCACTATTGGTAAAGATACAGCCATTCTGAAAAGCAGTTTGGAACCACTAGATTGTGCTTGACTTGTGACCCAGTAATATCTCACTACTAAGTCTATACCCCAAAGAGTTCAAGAAAGAGGCTAAGGATCCATACATACAAAAATATAACAGCTCTTTTTTTAGAGTGGTGAAGAACTGAAAATAAGGGGGTACCCATTAATTAGGGAGTGCCTAAAGAAATTGATATATGATTGTAATGGGGATAGAGTCCCAGGTCTGGAGTCAGGAAGATTCATTTTCATGAGTTCAAATTTGGCCTCAGATTCTTACTAGCTATGTGACCCTGGGCAATTCATTTCACCCTGTTTGCCTCAGTCTCCTCATCTGTAAAATGACCTGCAGAAGGAAATGACAAACCACTCCAGTATCTTTGCCAAGAAAACCCCAAATCCGGTCATAAAGAGTTGGACATGACTGAAAAATGACTGAAGAACAGCAATGTAATAAAATATTATTAGCATTGAAAGAAATAATGAAAGAGACTTTTAGAGAAACATGAGAAGATTTAAACTGATTTAAACTGGGCAGAGCCAAGAGAACAACGTATATGATAACAACAAAGCAAAAATAACTTTGAAAAAGAACACTAATCAATGCAGTGACCAACTATGATTTCAGAAGACCAATGATGAAATGCTACCACCTCCTGATAGAGATATAGTGGACACAAGATGAAGAATGAGATATGGCCAGTGTGGAATGTGTTTGATTATGCATTTGTCACAAGAGTTTCTTCACTGAAAAAAACTTTAATAATCAAAGGAGTACCAGGATGTCACTTAGCATCAATTTATGAAGTGAAGAAATGCTTGCTAATTGAAATAAAATAAAAGTTCAAAAAGAAAGAAAGGAAAAGAAAGAAAGGTTGGGTGGTGCCAGAATGTGAAAGGCCTTGAATGCTTGGTAAAAGACTATGAATTTTATTCAGAAGACTTTGAACTGAAGAGTGACATAAGCAGATGCTTGTATAAAGAAAAAAATCTGTCATCAGTATGAAGGATAGATTATGGGGAGATCATACAGTCTGGAAGACCTGTTAGGTATTTCAATAATCCAGGCAGTTGGAATGAGAGGGTGGTATGAATGAGAGAGACTGTGGAGATAGTACTAACATGACTTAGTAAGCCACTTGAATGTGATGGGGGGACAAGAGTCAAACACATCATTCATGACCAAACAGAAGATAGAGAACATTACAAAATGCAAAACGGATAACTCTGATTATAATAAATTGAAAAGATTTTGCACAAACAAAGCCAATGCAACTAAGATTAGAAGGAAAGTAGAAAATTGGGAAAGAATTTCTATAACCAGTGTCTCATTTCTAAAACATATGGAGAATTAAGTCAAATTTATAAGAATACAAGTCGTTCCCCAACTGAAAAATGGTCAAAGGATATGAACATGCAGTTCTCAGATGAAGAAATTAAAGTCATCTATAGTCATATGAAAAAATGATGGAGAAGATGTGAGAAAATTGGAACACTAATGCATTGTTGGTGGAGTTGTGAAATGATCTAACCATTTTGGAGAGCAATTTGGAACTATGCCCAATGGGCTATAAAAATGTGCATACCCTTTGACCCAGCAACAGCACTTCTATCTCAAAGAGATTATACAAATGGGAAAAGGACCCACGTGTGCAAAAATATTTATAGCAGATCTTTTTGTGGTGGCAAAGAATTGGAAATTGAAAGGATGCCCATCAATTGGGGAATGGCTGAACAAGTTGTGGTATATGAATGTAATGGAATACTATTGTGCTATAAGAAATGATGAGCAGGCAGACTTCAGAAAAACCTGCAAAGACCTGTATGGACTGATGCTGAATGAAGTGAGCAGAACCAGGAAAACATTGTACACAGGAACAGCCATGTTGTGCGATGACTAATATTGATAGACTCAGCCTATCTCAGAATGGAGAGATCAAAGACCTCTCCAAAGGCCTCATGATGGAAAATGCTATCCACATCCAAAGAAAGAACTATGAAATTTGAATGCAGATCGAAGCACACGATTTGCTGTTTTTTTCCCTTCTATTGTGCTTTGTTTCCTCTTTCTGGTGATTCCTCCTATTGGTTCTAATTCTTACTTACAACATCACTAATGTGAAAATATATTTAATAGGAATATATATGTATAGACTATATCAGATTGCGTGGCGTCTTGGGGAGGGAGGGGGAGAAACATTTAAAACTCAAAAGCGTATGGAAGTGATTGTTGATAAATCAAAATAAATTAATAAAAATAAAGAGTCAAAGATATCACTAAGATTTTGAACCTAAGAAAATGGGTAAAGTGGCTATGCTACTGACCAAAATACAGTTCTGGAAGGGGATGCACGTGTGAGGGGAAACAGCAAGCTTTGTTCATTCTGAATCTGATGTACAAGCAGGCAATCTGGTGGGCATATGCTGAGCAGCTGCATAGTCAGGTCTGGAGTTCAGAAAAGGGGATATGGCTAGAGAAGCCTTTATCATTTGTATAAGCTGAAGCTGTGCCAAATGAATGGGACTGTCCAAGGAAAAGGTGTGGAGAAAGAATGGGGTGACACTCAAAACCTTGAGACATGCCTTGGGAAGAGAGCAGTGATCCAAGGGAGGAAAAAGGGTAGTAGAGTAGCCTGCAGAAGGATATGAGAAGAACCAGGAGAGGGTAACATGTCTAAAGCTAAACAAAAGGAAAACATCCAGAAGCACAGAGAGAGAGTAGTCAAAAGTATCACATTTTTAAAAGAGGTCAATAAGGATGAAAGTTTGGAATAAAAGGCACTACATTGGTTAATGGCTCCCTTTGAAAGAAGAGTTCTAGGAGAATAGTAGAGACAGAAACCAGATTATAAAAGAGAAATTGGCTTTAAGGAAGTGGGACCATCTTGTGCTGTGCTACTTCTTCAAGAAATCTGGCCATGAAGACAAGCAAGGGGATAGCAGCTGGAAAGGGTAGAAGGGCTGAAGACAGCCTTTGTTTGTTTCTTAAAGGACTGGGGAGACTTGAAAATTCAATTAATTTAAACAAACATTTGTTAAGTACCTACTACACATAAAGTACTGGGATTACAAAATGAAAAGTGATCCCTACCCTCAAGAAGTTTATATTCTCCTGGAGGATCCAATATATAAAGAAAGGTAAATACAAGGTAATTTAAGGATGGAGACAAACAGCTAGAGGGATCAAGGAAGGCTTTATATAGGAGATGGTGCCCGGGATGAGTGCTGAAACAGTGGCAGATTCAAAGAAGAGATGAGAAGAGTCTATTCCAAGCATGCGACAAAGGCACAGAGGTAGTAGATGTAAAACTTACAATAAAGAGTCATATCGTGCCAGGAATGTGCCAGGCTGAGGAATGTGTATGCTATTCTACATGTAATGGGGATCCACTAAAAATTTCTGAACAGAAGAGTGGTGACCATCAGATATGTGCTTCAGGAAGATTATTTTTGGCAGTCTTGTGGAGGATGAATAGGAGAGGGGAGAGACTGGAAGGAGAGAGGCCAGTTTATAAGGATATTGTAATAGTCCAGGTAAGAAGTGAAGAAGACTTGAAGCAGAGTGGTAACTGAATGCTGAGGAATATTAGACATTTAAGACGCATGAGAGAAGAGATGATAAAAGGTCCTGGAGGAGGGCGACTTACTACCCTTGTGACCCTGGGCAGTCATTTAGCCTGCCTGGGTCTCAGTTTCTCCATCTGAAAAATAAGGGCGTTAGATTATATGGCCTCTTCAGTCCATTTCTGCTTTAAACCTATGACCCAAAGCAGAAGGACGGATCGAGGATACAAGTAGATAGATTAGATTTAAAGATGATACTTAGTTACAAGATGTTATGTCAAATTAAAGACTAGAATGAGAACGTCTATGTTAATCTGCACATTTTTATGCCTCTATATTTCATACCTGTTGCCACACCACATAAATGTTTTCCAATTCCAACCACAGGTAACTTTTCTTTTATTAGCACAGGTATTTTGCCTGGAAAAAAAAAAAGGATGGGGAAACTGAGAAGCCTTTAGATTGTAAATCTCTTACGAAAGGGAAAAAAAAATCTCTCTTCAGAGAGAGAGGGAGAAAGAGAAAACCAATATAACAAAGAATTATATAATTTGAGAGTTGGAATGGTCATCATCTGTAAAAGGAGTCATTCATACTTTGACCGCCAAAGTAAGTCATCTGTCAATATCAGTTGTGATCATAATCTTGGTCCCCAATCCCAAGTTAAGCCCTCTTTTCACGATACCACACTGCCTCTGATTGTTTTCTGACTGCCTCCATGAATTGATTGAATTTAATTGATCAAATGAATTAATACACATAAAGTATTTTGCAAACCATAAAGTGCTATATAAATGCAATTTTTAATTACTCATAACCCTAGGGTCATGACTGAGATCAATATAACCATAAAAATAATCAGCCAATTCAATTACACAAATAGTTAAACCCTGACTGTGAGCAGGGCACCAGGCTAGAGAGAAGAGCACTAGGTTAGAAACTGGGATCTAACATCCCATCCCTCCCTCCATGGAGCTTAGTGTCTCATAAGATCATAAGGGGCAAAGGCCAATAACCATAATACACAGTGTTACCTGTTAAGTATATTAGATAGTTGTTTAACAGAACACGTGAATTACTAAATGTACCAGTCTTGGAAGAGGCAGCATTTAGGATTTAGAATCTTCAGATTTCAGCTTTGGATGGAACATCAGATGTTATGGAGTCCAATCCCCTTATTTTCTCCTGAGTACATCTCCAGTCTCCCATCAGCATCTTCTTATTGGATGTCCCATTGACACCTCAAGTTCAACATGGCCAAAATGGATTTTCCCCCAAAACTCACTACTCAGCTACATCTTCTCATTTCTCTTGAAGATCAAACCAACCTTTCAATCACCCTAGTTTTCAGTTTCAGAGTCATCCAAAGCCTCTCCTTTCCTCTACCCACACAGCTACCATCCTAGCTCAGACCTTCATTACTTCTCAACTGGACTAATTCCAATATTTATTGGTGACCTGTTTCTAGTCTTTGCCCTCTCCAATTTTTCCTCCACACAGCTGATGAACTGATAGCTCTACAGGATAGGTCTGGCGATCTCACCCCTGTTCAAGAAGTACCAGTGACCCCTCATGTCTGTAGGATAAAATGCACACTCTCATGTCGGTGTTTAACTCTTCAAATTCTGGCGCCAGCCTATCTACCTGATTTCACCTTCCTTACCCCAGGTGACCTACATGCCAGCCCCTGGCTGACTTGCTGCTCCTGTACATGACATTCTACCTTCACAGTCTCCCTCACACCTGGAATGCTGCTCTCCTTCCTCACCTCTATTTTGCGGGATGCCTGGCTCTCTTCAAAGCTCCGTTCAAATGCTACCTTCTCCATGAAGTCATTCTTGACCCTTTGGCTGTTAGTCTGTTTCTCTCCCACTAAGATTACTTGGTGATGACTTCCCTGGATTCACACTGTTTCCCCTTAGTAGACTGTAGGGGTTGTTTCATTTCTCTTTGCATGAGGCTGTGAGAGGTTAAGTAGCTAGGTCATGATTGCACAGGTAGTGGTATCTCAGGTAGAATTTGAACCCAGGTCTGGATTCTAAAAGCTTTGCTAGCTGGGGTGTCTTCTGATAACAGAATGGGTGGGTTTTTTTGCTACCCTGAACTTATGGTCAAAAAATACCAATCACAGAATCTCAGAGATGGACAGGGTTTTTGTGTGACTCATGACTGAAACAGAATTCCATCTCTAGCATCACCCTCTCTTTCTTTCTATGATGTTATTAAGGTCTCCAATGTAAAAGATTAAACATTTTTACTCCTGAGTTTCCTCTGAAACAATTTTCTTTGTGATAGGATTTCTAAGTAAACAGAGAGTTTAGAAACATACAATTTATTACCATTTAACTGAAAATTATGCAACTTACTCAAACATAAATGTTGAATATCAATTTGAAGCCTTTCAAATACAGAGTTTCTGTTTTTGTGTTTACCATCTACCTGCACAAATAAAATACCATTATTACAATGAATTTTTATTTAAAAAACTTTATAAGACTTTAAAATAGCAATGCCTTTTGGTTTTCATACAAAATATGAAGCAAAGTAAATCTTATTTATGTTTTCATTATTACAAGTTAGATGTTGCTTTCATGGTTAGTATTTGATGGTAATTCCAAATACTCTTAAAAACTTGAAGCAATGGCTATAAGCTGTGTTGATGCAATTTAAGTCAAACACAATCATTAGAAACAGAAAAAATTAAGATTCCCCCCACCCACCCACATATGGAGGAGCATTGATGGTCCTTCCTTCAAAGCCCTGTTCAGGTACCATCTCCTATAGGAGGTCCTGATTGAACCCCAGTTATTTGGACTCTCTTGCTCTTGGAGTTACTTTTTAGATACTTAGTACTTATTTACACTTCTGTTCTACATATTGTAGCCAACTCTTCCCCACTCACCCTCTAATTCCCAGGAGAATAGAAGCTCCTTGAAATCAGGACCTGTTCTGTTTTTATGTTTGAACTGCAAAATCTAGCAGTGTACATTGAAAATGAATAGCACTTAATGTTTCCTTTTAAATATTTGACTTCTAAGAGACTGCCATTTTGTACAGACAAATCCAAAACACAAGGTTGACACATCTTAATGTTTTCACCTACCTTGAATCTTGTGGTCACCCTTTCCACTAGCAGGAAGTAGACTTTTTCAGCTTCTTGTAAGGCAATATCAACCCAATGAGACAATTTTCCCCTTCCAGCTCCAAACTCAACAAAGCACCTTCTTGGTCTCAGTAAATTTAATCTTTCAATGTTACCTAAAATTGAAGCCTGTAAACTTTTTAAGATTATTTCATATAAAAACCAGAAAAAAACCATTTGGTCCAATGTAGAAAAATGACAATGTAATTTGATATGTTCAATTAATTAAGAACGGTCAGTATATTCATGTTGATCATTTTAATTTGATATTCATTTACTTTATTTTTGTGACCAGCTTTTATGCTTGTTCCTATAAAATCCTGATGAGTAGAAACAGCCTTTAGGACAGACCTGATGAGATAATGAGCAAGTTATTTTTGCGCAAGAGATTAACAATGGGGTCACGAAGAGTTGGACATGAGTGAAAAATGACTGAACAATGATAGGCCTATGGTTGGTAGCACATGTCTATAATCTCTGCTATTGGAAAAGAGTGAGACTGGTGGACTGCTTGAGCTTAGGAACTCTGAGCTATCTTAGGAGAGTGTGGTAAATCCCTTAAGTGACAAAAGTAGGATAGAGATGGAAGGTAGAGGTAGAGTAAGGGGCAAACCTGACCAGGCTGAAAAGGGATCAGGTCAAAGGTACTGATCAGTAGTGAGATCAGGACCACCAGTGGCAGCCTAGGCAAGATGGGGAAACCCAATCTTCCCAGCCCAAAAAAACCTGCTATGGTTAAGATATTATTACTCCATTGCCAATCTAATGATCAGCCTCACTGAATTTAGCTAACTAAGCCTGAATACTGGACAAGAGACACACAGTATATCATTAGGCATAAGTCACTGTAACCTAGTAGGTACTGCCACTAACACACCATTTAAGAATCCAGGGTTACTTCTACATCATGACGATACATTAAAGAATAAATTTAGAAGAGATTCTCTTACTCATTATACCTAGATATTATTTCTGGGAATTAGCTGTATGCATGGAACAGCAAGCAATTTTGATTAAATATAGATACTACAGCATAGTCCATACCTGTTGTTTCAAGTGCTTGAATGCAGAATCACCATTTTTGGGGTCATTTAGGACATCGTGCAATGCAGGATGTGACATTATTTGATCTTTAAGTGTATAATCCACACCTATGTCAAAAATATAAGTGCAAAAACATAAGCAGGTGGAAAAATGAAAACTTAAGGATCTAACTCTAGGGTCATTTATTAAAACAGGTTACCAACTAATATAACATCTAATCACCTAAGGCTATAAGATATTTTACTGTCCAGTTTTAATCAGACTTACCTTTACTGGCTTTTCTCAATTTCTTAATTAAGTTTTCCAACTGCTCTTCAGATAGAGAAGAAATTGGGACCTGTATATAAATAAAATATAGTAAATACAATATTTCCTTTTAAGGATTCTGTATACAAGCAGTCTTTATGAATACTCAACTTTTTTTTTATTCCACAGTTTTTCTTTTTTTAAAATTAATTTATTTTTATTTATCAACAATCACTTCCATAAGCTTTTGTGTTTTAAATTTTTCCCCCTCCCTCTCCCTCTTCTTCCCCAAGACGGTGTGCAATCTGATATAGGCTATACATATACATTCCTACTAAACATATTTTCACATTAGTGATGTTGTAAGTAAGAATTAGAACCAATAGGAGGAACCACCAGAAAGAAGAAACAGAAGAAAAAAAAATAGCAAATCGTATGCTTCAATCTGCATTCAAACTCCACAGTTCTTTCTTTGGATGTGGATAGCATTTTCCATCATGAGGCCTTTGGAGATGTCTTAGATCCTTGTACTGCTGAGAAGGGTTAAGTCTATCAAAATTAGTACCTAAGTGATGATTTTATTTCCCTTCTTGAGGCAAATCTGATGAAAGTAAGGTTCAAACAATGCTCATCTCCGTCCTTTCTTTCCCTCTACTATAGGTTTTTGTGCTTTTTCGTGTAAGGTAATTTACCCTCGTCTGCCTCCCTCTTTCCTTTTCTCTCAGTACATTTTCTTAGTTAGATCAGATTAATCCACTTACTTGGATCCATTTAACCCACTTGATCAAATTTTTTTTTTTATCATTACATCAAAGTCAGAGATGCTCAGGGCATAGGATTTAGCCTTAAAGGGGACAGGGACCTAAGGTCATGGCTATCAACAGTATGATTTCCTTGAAATGTTGCACATTACCTTCCACCCCTCACTTCCTATTCAATAAATTCTGATGGCTTCTGGTTTCCTCTAGGATCAAATATAAAATTTTGTTTGGCATATAGAGCACTTCACAATTTGGCCCGTTCCTACCTTTCCAGCTGCACTCTATGATTCAGTTACACTAAACTTCTTGACATTCCTCACACACTCCATCTCCCAAACATCTTCTCACTGGTTTCCTTCATGCCTGGAATGGTCTTTCTCCTCACCATTACCTACTGGCTTCCCTGAGGACTCAGCTCAAATCCCACCTCCAGCACCTTCCTGCTAAGCTTACCTTCACATTATGCTTTATTTATCTTGATATATAATTATTTGAATGTTGTCTCCCAGGGACTATGTTTTTTGCCTTTCTTTGTAGCCTCAGTGCTTAGCACATAATAAGCACTTAAAAGATACTTAACTAACTTTTTAATTATAAATTAAATAGAAGGGTGAGTGTGAGCGCGCAAATATGTGTGTGTTTCGGGGGAGTGGCTGGCTTAAGAATTTTGCTAACATAACACTATTTCAATGAGAAAATTAAAAATCACAAATAATCAACTCAGAAACTAATTTCACAACAACACATTCGTAGACTGGGGACTGTCTTGACATTTGTTTTTAAATTAAATAATGAATCATTGCACTTACCAGTTCATCAAGAATTTCTGTTTCATCTTTTAATCCTGCATTAATATCTTGAATAAAGTAATCCTTAAAACACAGAAAAAGTCAACTAAAGTTGGTATAATACTTAAATATATCTAAAATTGACATTGACCCATTAATGTCTATTCCTTCGTCTATTCAACCACCCAGCTACAAACCTACCTAACTGTAATATTATCTAGCCCATATCTCTCCATCTTATTAGATAGCACAGGATTCTGCCAAACACTTCACTGATGTCTAAATCTATTATGCCCACTGTATTCTCTGAGTCTACCAAAAAGGGAAGTCTACCCTATCAAAAAGAGAAATGTGGTTAGTCTGGCATGATCTATTTTTTTATGAAGCCATTCTGATTTTTAATAATCACAGGTTCGGGGGCAGCTAGGTGGCACAGCGGATAGAGCACCGGCCCTGATGTCAGGAAGACCTGAGTTCAAATCCAACCTCAGACAAAAGACTTAACACTTACTAGCTAGCTGTGTGACCCGGAGCAAGTCACTTAACCTCAACTGCCTAAAAAAAAAATAATAATAATAATCACAGGTTCACTTTCTAAGTGCCTAGAAACCCTTTAATAGGTTCTAGAAAGTAAATTTCAGGGGAAAAGACCAGCTCACAGGTCTATATTTTGCAATGCCATTCCCTTCCCTTTCAGAAAAATTGTACATATGCCTTTCTCAAGTCCTGGAATACCTCCTAATCTTTCTGCTGATTACTTCTGCCCCATCTGAGGATGCTTTTATTTAAAGAAAAAAAGATGTTCAAGTCAGATGTCACTTTATCTTCCCATAAAAGTGCTTTGGTATTTTGGGACTTTGTGAGAAATATCAAAAAGGAAATTTATATACTGTGATCTTAAAGTTATTAAGTACCTTAATTAATCATTTTGCTTAATTCCTGCAGCATTTTTGAAATACCATATCACTTTTAACCCTTTTTAATCTATGAAATGATGAAATTCATTTTAACAGCTAGCCTTTCCAAAGTATCATGTCTTACTGTTTATTCACAAGTTAAATGGAAGAAATAATCACAACTGTTCTGTAGTTGGTGCATTAACATGCTTAGTAGCTTTCTTTGCCATCTTCTCCACTCTTTGCAAAACATTTCTGCTAAATGCCATGCCTAGGATAATACACTGCTAATGAGAACACTGCAAAAAGAAAAAGGAGGGAAATGCAACAGGATAAACGTTTTATTCGTAAGAAGTGGGCGGGTTTGGTCTTCTTCACTATGATCTAGTAATTCTGCTGTATTGTGCTTTCTCCACCTGTACTCAACCAGCCAAACATTTGAAAGTAATAACCACAACTTTCTAAGTTTTTGTTGTCCACTGAATTTACCTTTCAAAGACTGTCCAGCTCTGAATTTCTCAAAAGGAATGTTTGGAAGTCATCAATTCCATTAACTTTTCCCACTAATTCTGCAAGTTGTTATTCTCGAGTATAAGACATTTTCCTTTGCCCTTCAGATTGTGTTCTAATCTTTTCTTTCGCACAGCTGATGTGTAGTCCTGAATGATTCTGACTCTGGTTCCACAACACGTAATCTGTTCTTTCTTAGTTGCTTTTAACATTTTTTTTTGACCTGGGAGATGCAGCTCAAAAGTCCCTGTAAGCAAGTGACTTAACCTCTCAGTGCCTTACAACACTCTTGAGTTGCACACCTCACGCCATCTCCTGTCTTTGTGCCTTTGACATGGTTGTACCCTAGGCCTGAAATGTTGTCCTTCATCTCTGACTTTTAGTTTCGCCAGCTTCCTTCAAGACTCAGCTCAAATCCTATTTTCTTCAGGGTGCCTTTCCTGTTCCCTCTAGTTTTTAGTGCCTTCCCCTTGAAGATTACTTTCTATCTGTTCCCTATAGATGTATCAAAGTTACCTACATGTTGCTCACATTAGAATGTGAGCTTCTTGAGGGCAACAATACAATTTTTGCCTTTCTTTGTATCCCTACCACTTAGCATAGTGCCTAGCACACAGTAAGCCCGTGATATATGCTTGTTGACTGACTGGGAATAGCAGAATCAAGAAAAACTATAGCATGAATAGGAACAATGTGCTCATTCGAACATAGCTTCCTTATTCCCTAAAGTAATCAATAAAAATGGAAAAGAGAAACATAGTGAGACAGAATATAAGTTAACAGGGTTCATAAATACTGGGAGTACATAGAGTTTGGTGGAAAAAAACATTACATGTTTATTTTTATTAAACCTCTAACTTATATTTAGCATTTCCTAATTCACATATGAATTAAAAAAAAAAAAAAATATATATATATATTACATCAAGAAGGGGTGCAGAGGCTTCACCAGACTGCCAAAGAGGTTCATGACACAAAAAAGGTTAAAAAATGCCACTGTACAAGCTAATATAATGGGACCTCTCTAACTGCAAGATGGCAGGGGTTAGATATCAGAACCTCAGACCTGGAAGGAACGTCAAAAGCTACCTAGTTCAATCCACCCTGAACTAGAATCTTCTACACAACATACATGATATCCAGATTTTGCCTGAAAGCAAAAGCAGTCCAGCGAGGATGAACTCATTACCCTGCCAGGTAGTCCATTTCCTTTTTAAAGACCTCTAACTGTGAGGATGCTTTTCTTTACATTGAGCCTAAATTCACCTCTGCAGCTTCCATTCATTGCTTCTAGGTCTGCTCTCTGAGATCAAGCTGAGCAATAACAATGCTACCAAATAATTCCATTTGATAATCCTGTTAGGACAGAGTTCTTTGCTTTCAGTTAAAATCCATTTCTGGAGATGTAAAGCACATCCTTTTACATCTGCAGAAATGCATATGAGATAATATGGGATAAAGTACAGAGAGCCCTGGATTGGGAGTCAGAAAATCTGGGTTTTAAGCCTAGTTCTGATAACCGTGACCAAAGAAAAGGAGGTCACTTAACCTCTCTTTGTCTCAGTTTTATCTGTACAACAGTGAAAAAAATTTACAATTATTTCCTTTAAATGATTGAGGAAAGCAACTTGCGAACATTAAAAATTACATAAATACGAGCTATTGTTATTAGGATTGCTACAAGGTATAATCCAGATTGTATTTGTGCTATATCTTGATTATAAATGTCCTATATTCATCTGTTCAGGCAATGATAGAAATCATTGAGTGGTAATTTTAACTACTAGTGTCACCACTAATTAAAATCGTAAGCTAATTATTTGAAAACTCTAATATCTATAAAAATTCCATTCTCTAAAATAGAGCTATAAGTAGCTTCACAGAATTGAATCACACAAAAAACATAAAAATAACAATTAGCAAAAACCAATCTATGTAAGGCTTACTCTGTTTTAATCACTTTCTCTCTTTTTCTCTAAAATGACTGACATATCTCATAGGATTTCTGTGAAAAAAGGCATTTGTAAATCTGAAGATGATATATAAATGTGAGCTTTTATTATATAAAAATGTTACATAATATATTTCAAGGCATTTTTTTTTCTACTGATGAGAATACTTACTGGTTTTGGTTTCTCTCTTGAGTTACATTTTTTCAAATGTTTTTCAAGCTGATCTTCATATACTGTGCTAAATTTAAGATAATAGTTATTTTCAAATATAAATATGTAGGAGTTGTACTTAAAATACACAAAATTCTTTAAGTTTATTTAGTCCATACTTACTGTTTTGGATCTAGGGGACAGAGTATTCTTTTCCTGGTATTTTCTTCCTAGGTTAAAAAGAATTCATTTATTTAGCTCAAATAGTAAGCTTACTCTTCTGTGGTCATAATGCCCTTTCAATTTTTTCCCTTGCTTTTCTACCCTCACTACACCCTCTAGCAACTCTATCCCTCTCTTTTCCCAATCTATCACCCCAGATTTGGTTTCGCTTTCCCACCTTCTTAATCTTGTCTAATTTCAACTAAACAATGTCCTCCACTTTTGAATCTTTTATCTCCCTGCTACATGACACCCCTGTCACTCAGCAGATTACTTTGCTTCCTGATTTACTGAAAATATCAAGGTCATCCAAAATAAGTTCCTTCATCTTCCCTATGCCACATTTCAAAATATCTATACATCTTCTATGACAGGGGTGACCTCACCTCCTCTCATCTCTTCCAGGAACTTGCCCCCCAAATCCTTCCCATTCCTTGTGGCTGAACCCTTTCTTTCTGCCTACAAACATGCCCTGGTCTCCCTCACCTTTAAAAAAACAAAACAAAAACCAAAACCTTCACTTGACCCTAAAATTCCTTCAAGATATCATCCTATATCTTTCCTTCCTTCCACTGCTCAGCTAGATTCACCTCCAATTATTGCCTCCATTTTCTCTCTACTCACTCTCCTTTACTATGCTTCCAGTTTCATCATTCTATCCAAACTGCTTTCTCCAAAGCCACAAACAATCTCTTAACTGATAAATCTCAGTACCTGTTCTTTTCGAAGTCTCCTCTGCAGCATTTAACATTGCTCACCACCTCTCTTTTCCTGGATATTTCCTGCTAAATTTTATAACATTATTTCTCTTCTTACCTGTTCTATCCCTCCCACTCTGGCTTCTTATCCAGTTCTTGCCCTCTATGTGTTAATTCCCACAAGGCCATGCCCTGGGCTCCCTTCTTTTTTGTAAACTATTGTGGTAATCTCATCACTGTCCTAGGGCTGTTGACATCATTATGCAGATGACTCCCAAATTATACATATTTTTTCTGAACCAGTCCTACATCACCAACTGCCTTATGAAAGTCTCCTCCAGAAGTCCCATAGCACCTCAAAGTCAACCTATCTAAAATGCAACTCATAATTTCTCCCCCTAAACATTTCTTTCCTTCAAAGGTCCCTATTTTCTCCTAGTCACCCACTTTCATAATAATAAAGTCATCTTTACTCTTCTCTTGTCTTTATCACCACCCAACACCCAATTAATGGCTGTGATTCTACTTCTAGATTCTTTTCCATCCCCTTCTTTCTACTCACATCTTCTTTACTTTTGTACAAGCTCTCATCATTTTTCCAAATAACTGTTATAACTTAATTGGACTCTCTACTTCTAGCCTCCCTCTTCCTCAATTCATCCTTCAGTCATTTTCTGTTGTTTCTGACTTTTCATGACTCTTTTAGGGTTTTCTTGGCAGAGATACTGGAGTGGTTTGACTGGTTTGTCATTTCTTTCTCCAGCTCATTTTTAGAGGGCAAAACTGATGTAAATAGGGCTAAATGTCTTGTCCAGGGTCACACAGCTAGTGCTTGAGGCCAGATCTGAACTCAGGAAACATGAGTCTTCCAAACTCCAGGATCAGCATTCAATTCACTTTGCCACCTAGCTGTCCCCAAACCTGGCCTCCATATAGCTGTCCAAAAAAAATCTTCTTAATGACAGTTTTAACTATGACATTCCCTGGCTCAAAACCAGTGACTCCTTATTGACCAAGAAAAGCATAGAAACTTATACCAGCATTTAGAGACCTTCACAATCTTGTTCAAACCTACCTTTGTAGCTTTAATTCATATCATCTTTCTCACACTCTTCTAATCAAACTGGTAATGTAGCTACTCCCCAAATCTGTTATTTCATCTTCCACTTCCCTGTGTTTGCATAAACCATCCTCCTTTCCTGGAATGACCACCTATCTATCTTTGCTTCTCTGAATTATCTTCTTATAATATTCTGAGTAGGTGCCAATTCATTTGTGAAGCCTTTCTGTATCCTCCTTATGGTTAATGCTATCCTTTCACAAATTACTTTATATATTTACCTCTCTGCTTACATCTTATACCTATATAATAAAATGAAAGCACCTTTGCGACACAAGCGATTGTATTTTGGCTGACTTCCCCGAATTTAGGCCAGGTCCTTGTACACAGCAGTCAGCCAGTCAAAATGCTAAATTTTTAAAAAATGAATTGAAGTTATGCTAAAAATTATTATAGTAGGGAGAAGGTGATCAGGAGACTCTGGATCAATTGATTTCTCAATCACTTATTAAATTATAGGACAGTAAGGGTAGTTAACAAAGACAATAAGGTGTTAAAGTCTTAACTGAAATGCAAATTAGTATACACATTTTGTATGATGTTTACAAAGTGGAAGGAGTGCTCAACAATCAAGCTTGGTGGAATTGGAGGGAAGCTAGTCATTTATTGCTAGAAAACACACTCTAGGGACCTAGTCAAAGCAGAAGTGGGAAGGAGGTCTGAAGTGTCAGGAGAGAAGGCAGCCAGCTATAGAAGAACCCAGCTCAATAGAATTGTTCTTGGTCTCTGGAAGGAAGGAAAGGAATTTTTCTCTCTTTCCTCTTATCTCCCACTTCCCATTGACCATGGTGTCTTGCAGTGGAGATACTGGCCCAGAAAGAATAATTACATCCAGGAGGGAACTAGCCTAGTAAGTCAAGACAAAATAAGAGCTTTGTGAGTTGACAGAATTGGCTCTGGTCATTGGGAGTTAAACTGTAGTGATGAATGTGCCCAGGGAGCCCAGCTAAATGACTTGCCTGGTGGAGACATTAAATCTAGGGAGAATAGGACAAAAGCTGAACTAGACCAATGACATATAGAGGTGTTCTGTAACAAAAGGCCACGCAGTTTTTGAGGGAACTGAGAAACTGATCGGTTAATCAATAAACATTTATTAAGTGCCTACTATGTGCCAGGCATTGTGCTAAGCACTGGGGACACAAAAATTGGCAAAAGACTGTCTCTGCCCTTAAAGAGCTCACAATATAATGGAACTGATTCTCAAGGTATTATGAAAGAGAAGTGGAAAGCAAGAATGTGAGAACAAAATGGTAATATAGTAAATATCAAGGACTACCAACTTATGTTGCATATCTATTCAAAATTTTGGTATCCTTATGGAGAACATGAGAATGGAACAGATTTTCTTAAGCAACATCCCACAGGAGAGCATATCTTTACAGTCACACAGTTGACTGAATTATATATGTAATATCAGGCCCCACTGTGCTTATTGTTTGAATATAAAAAAGATTTGATTAGAAGAACAAAATACTGCCTTATGAACTCTAATTTTATGTTTTCTCCTATACATATGTCACAACCATATGAGATATTCTGAAAGCTATAACAAAAGAGATGACTTTTTCAATGACTCTGATGATTAATACCAAGCAACGTATTAAACAGAGAGATGAACGCTTGCTGAAGGTGTTCACACTGTCATGGAAGAGATCCAGAAGACTCCAAGTTGAAGGTTTCCACACAGATGGTAAGGTCCTCCAGATATTCCAGCTTTGTAGACAACATTATGCTGACTGAATCAAACTTGGAACATTTATGAGTCTCTTAAATGAAACTCAGAATCACTTCAAAGGAGTTTGATCTCACTGTAATTACAGGAAAAACCACGTGGTAGGAGGGCTGGAACTCTTGAGGTACTCAGTTGGACTTGGGTATGTGAAAAGCAGAAACTATCCTTACAGATACTAAATTTCTTTACCATACTCCAGTATTTTAGAGCTAGCTTTTCTCCTTTATAGCTTATGTTCTCTCACATTTCTTTCTGTTTTAACAGTAAGTGACCATGTCATGGAATTTTGAAAAATCACTTGCCTTATTCTTAAAAGCAGATGAACTATGCTTCTTCTTCTTCTCATGATTCTACTGTCCTTTACCTACTGAGTTTTTAGTTCTAAGCTGCCCTTCGTTGGCAAGTGTTTCTTAATTATTTTTTTCTTGGGCAGTAGTAGCCTTTAACTGAAAAAAAAAAAACCAAACCAAACCTCTATTCACTTGTTCAACAACAGCAATGAAGACATCCTAATAAAAAGGTCAAACAAAAGATTCCCTATGGATAGTTCCTATTCATAAATGAAATTATCCTAATTACATTGTTCAATTCAGTGAAAGCAACAACCACTATCCAACTTGAGAAAGCATACAAAAACTCAGGTTGCTGAGACTTTGATATGCAGAATGAGCAGCTTATAAAGTTAGATAAGACTCTTAAATAAGTTGGATAGGTAGACTGGGCCCAGAATTGAGTTTAAATAAATAATCATTTGTTAAGTGCCTGCTATGTGCCAATCATTATGCTAGAAGCTGGTGATATAAAGAAAAATGAAAACATGCCTTCAAGGAGCTTAAATTCTATTGGAAAGAAACATTTTTCTAATCTTTGTTTATTTGTTCCTTCCTTCAGACTTCGGTCTGTGTCAAGTGGGCAAGTGGCTAGCTCATTTTCTCAGATGCTTTGAAGCTAGTCACTGGAGCATCAGATGTTCTCACTTTGAATTAGTGATCCAGCCCTGCAGAGCACTGAAGGGGAGGGAGCTATCTTAAATACATTTCAATTTCACCTCATCACTGCCCTGTGAGGTAATATAGGTATTATCCCCTTTTGCAGAAAAGGTAACAGTCTCAGGGAGGTTAAGCAATCTGCATAAAGTCAGTACTATAGGTGAGATTAGAAGTTCAGCACTCTTACTTATGTCAGGTTTGTCTTTCTTTGTGGCTAAGAAACATGAATCATGGCCTCTAATACCAAATATAAAATCCTTTGTTTGGTATTTAAAGCTCTTCATAACCTGGCCCTTTTTTAACCTTCTCTGTCTTCCTACATTTTACTCCCCTTCCAAACTGTCTATAGATCCAGGCTGTATTGGACTATTGGAAGTTACAGGAATATGACCCTTCCACCTCCAGTCTGTGCTTTTGCATCAGAAGATCCCCAAAGCTTGAATGCTGTCCTTCCTTACCCCTGCCTCAGCTTCCCAGGCTTTCTTCAAGAGGCACCGCCCCCCCCCCCCCCCCCCCGTAAGTTCCTCCTCTGCTGAGACTACATTCCATTAATTCTCTTTATAAGTACCAAATTATGTTATTGTCTCTCCCACTATCCACGGATACAGAGCTGGGCCAGGAATCAGGAAGACCTAAATTCAAATTCAGACTCAGCTGTGTGACCTTAAGTAAGTCGATTAACCCGTTTGCCTTAATTTCCTCAACTGTAAAATGGGGACAACAATAGCACCCACTTCCTAGGACTGACGTGAGGATCAATCAATAAACATTTATTAAGCGTTTACCATGTGCCAGGAACTGTACTAAAAGGAGGATACAAAGAGACAAAAAGTCCCTGCCCTCGAGGAGCTCACATTCTGACGGAGAAGACAACATACAAATATATACAAAGTGAGATAGTGTGTATGTGTGTGTGTGTATATATACACACACACACACATATATATATATACATACACGAGCTAGACTACGCGATAGTAGAAGGAAAGCACTAGAATGAAGAAGGGCTGGGAAAGGTTTCCTGTAGAAAGTGAAATTTTCAGTTGAGACTTAAAGGCAGCCTGCGAGATCAGCAGGCGGAGCAGAGGAGAGCGTTTCAAAGGAATAAAGCGCTTAGTACAGTGCCTGGTTTATAGTAGGCGCTATGTAAATGCTGGCTATCATTATTATCATTATTAACATATGGCAAACAAACAGTTCAGCCTCGCCGGGTAGGGCAGGGTGTCCCTACTTCCGCGCCCGCTCCCGCAGCTCCCGCATGCTCCCCGCAGAACCGTCTCCCTGCCGCCGGCACCATCCGGCAGAAGCGATTCTTCCTTTCCACAAAGTAACTGCATCTCCCCTCGATCGGAACCGGGGTCGCCGTCGGCATGGCAGCCATCTTCGGGGCTTCCTGCACCCCAGACCCACCGGCTTCTGATTCTTTATAGGTAGGTCGGGTGGCGCACAGCCGCAGCGACCGGAAGCATCTAGCACTTCCCGACCGGAAGTGGGCTACAGTGCCTTACAAGGGCCAAAAGCCGCGGTCGCTTTCTTCTTCTTCCCCTCCCTCTCCCCGCCCCCCTCCGCGGGAGCCCAGCGCCAAACTCAAACAGTGCGGAGCGAGCTTGGGGTGCTCAGGCGGCGACGTGGGACAGGGCCGGGCAGGACCATTCTGTAGCTGGACGGGCGGTCCACCATGAGTCAAGTTCTGTTTCGGCAGCTGGTCCCGCTGCTGGTGAAGTGCAGGGACTGCGAGGAGAGGTGAGGGGATGTTCTCTCTCTCCCGGGCCCGAGGAGGCTGAGGCCGTTGGGGGCCGGCGCTCGGGTCGCAAGATGGCGGCCGGGCGGCCGGGCCTCGGCGCCGAGAGGAGTCGAGGGCTCAGTCTTGGGGGGTTAGTTCCCCTACTGGGTTCCGTCTCCTGACCCAGGGGTGTGAGTGAGGAGGCCGGCGGGCCTCGAGGGTCTGATCCCGGGGCCCTACAGTGGGAGTAACTAAAAAAAAAAAAAACTACTAGTAACTAAAGATTAATAAATAATTTACAAAGCGCTTTCAAGTTGTTCAAGCGGTATTATCTCATTTGAGCCTCCCAGTTACCCGGTGAGGGAGGCGATCTCCGCTTTACCGAGGAGGAGACTGAGCCTCCGGCGGGGAGAGTCACTTCCCCTGGGGTCTTTTAGGAAGTGTCGGAGGCAAGATTTGAACTCCGCTCCCAGGCTCCCCCCCCCCCCCGGTCTCTTCCAACTAAGGATGTAATGAATGGATCCGAGTCGGTTGGAAGCCAGTAAAAGCAGCAGTAACTCTTGCTGGTTATGTTTGTGTTTTTAAATGCCATCTAGTGCCTCCTTCGGTTGCTCTTTACTGTGGCTGGTGATAAAGAAGTTTTAACTGAAATACAAACATGAGTCGTGAACCCGAAACTGGAGATAGACTGACGTGCGGGGAATATAGGGGGGAAAATGTATGTTTTTAAACAATGTATCCAGGAGTATGGAAACATGTTATGTAGTACAGAAGTAGATCTGGTCTAGGTGGAATGTAAACTCCTCCATAAAACATCATAAATTCTTTGAGATTAGTTTGTTTTTTAAATCTTTGTAGCCTCAGCACTTAACAGAGGCTACACTGTGTGCCAGACTTGTTGATTGATTACCTCCACGTCAAGGGGAGCTAGGAGATAATAGGTGTAGTGCGAAAACCGTGCAGTTCTCCCTCTTAGCAGGACAGCAGGGTAAAGTGTAAAGCACACTTATATTGTCCTCAGGAGAGACTTATGTTTGAGTCTCACCTCCGATACAACTGCGTCCTCTTGGACAAGTAACTTTTTACTCTTTGATTCATCTGTAAAATGGAGATAATACTGGCTTTGCCTGTCTCTGTGAAAGATGACTTTGAAAAAATCAGGAAGCTAAATGTAAGTTGGAATTTACTGCTGTTATATTCACAAACTGCTGGTTAACAAGGTAGTGCCAAACACTGAGCAAGAAGAAAGAAGAGCCAACTTTGAGATACAGTATAACTGAAGGTATTTTTAAATGGAGTCTTGGAGAGGGATTGAAAAAGAAGTTATAATTGTATCCTTTTGGGTAGAAAAACCCTGTAAATTTGAGGTGAGGCTGTTGGTCAAGTCAAAATAAAGTCCTCCTAATGAAATTTGAACCAGTTTGGCGTGGTGTATAGAGTGCTGGACTTGGAGTCAGAAGGACCAGGGTTCAGACTGCCTCAAGTACTTATGGTCCCAATTGGTTAAGTCACTTAACCTTTTATTCCCAGTTTCCCTACCTGTAAAATGGGTATCTAGTTCCTATGTTCTTATACAAGTTCTATACAACCTTATAATACAATACTAAATAAATGTGAGCTATGTAGTTCAGTGATCCACCTTTTATAGAGCTTAAGGGAAGTGAAGGAATCTGTTCCTGCTCCAGTGTTTTTCTCCCAAAACCACCCTGTTTGGAGGAGATAAGATTATTTTATAAAAGAATTTTTTTTGGTTAAAGATTAGGAGCCTTAACCATATATAATACAGGGCACTTTTTGCACAGTTGTGCATTGTTCAGAATGTGAAATATTATATAGAATGTATCATTATAAATATCATAACAATATGCTGTGAAGACTGTATAATTTATATGGCTTTCAGAATTGTTTTCACTGAAAACACTAGGGCTTGACCACACATTTCTATGGATTCTTTGAAATGTGTTCAACAGGCTTAATTTGTGTTAGTTTTTATTTCCCTAATAACTGAGTACAGGGGACTAGAATTTGGGGACATGAAAAACAACATGCTTAACTTGTTTGGGGAAAAGAGGATACTGTTATATTCCTAGACAGGACTTGATAAATGTGCTTTAAATCTAAGAGCTAACTCCAAAATTTATGAAGTAGGTGAAATTTTCAGCTTTTAAGGAAAGGAAAAAAGGACAGTGTGCTATCGAAGAAAATTGGTTCCTAACTTTAAGCAGAGACCCAAATTAAGGTTAGTACATCTGTGTAGGGAAGTAGGTTTAGTCATTCAACAAGAATTTATGTGCTGGAAATGTTTTGTATGACTGCACATGCATAACCTAAATCGCCTTCTCAATGAGGGAGGGAAAGAGAGGGAGAGAATTTGGAACTCAAAATTTAAAAAAAACAGATGTTTGAAAACTTTTTTTTACAGGTAATTGAGGGGAAAATAAAATATTTTTTTTAAAAAAGAATTTAAGTACTGGCATACAAAGAAAGGCAAAAACAGAGTCCCTGCCCTCAAGGAGCTCACATTCAGTTGGGGTAGATAGTATATAAAGAACTATGAATGTACAAAATATAGACAGCGCAAATGTGTGGTGATCTCGGGGGGAAGGCACTAACCTTTGCTGGAACCTAGAAAGTCTTCTGTAAAAGGTGGGATTTGAGCTTAATCTTGGAGGAAGTAAGTAGGTGGAAGTAAGGTAGAAGAGCATTATTCCAGGCATGGTAGTCTGAAAGTATTATCTTCTAGGAAGAGCAAAAAGGCAGGTGTTGCCAGGATCTCTTTCCACCTCATCTATGTCTTTTGGCCTCAGTGGCTTCCTTCAAGTCTCAGCTGAAGTCCTTCTTCCCCCTGAGATTATCTCCAGTTTATCCTGTCTGTCTTATTTGTACATAGTTGTGGGGTTTTTTTTTTACCTGTCATCTCCTCTGTTACATTGTGAGTTCCTTGAAAACAGGGTCTTAATATTTTTCTCTATATCCCCAGTTCTCAGTACAATGCCTGGCACATAATATGCAATTTTATGGATGAAAATACTGAGGTAGAGCAGATAAACAACTTGCCCAAGATCAGACTTCATGTTACAGATCCAGAATTAGAGAGCTTCAATCCCAACTGCCTAATGTGCTTTATTTTACATGTAAATTATATTGTGAATTGGATTATAAATCAGATTATATTGGGATCGCCTAAGTAAGCAGTACCTACTCATTTAGAACATTGTTTTTATTTATTTTTAAAATTTATTTTTCAGTTCCAAAGTCTCTCCTTCCCCCTCCACTACCCATTGTGAAAGCAAGAAATATGATACACATTATACATATGAAGTGGTGCAAAACATTTTTTCCACATTTGCCATGTTGCAAAAAAAGCAAGATAAATAAAGTGAAAAAAATATACTTAAATCTGCATTCAGTTCATCAGGAAAAAAACCATTGTTTTAAACATCTTTATAGAAAAAGACTATATATATTTTTTCTTTTAGACAGTTCTTAGCTTTGTTGTGATAGATGTTTCTTTTTCAACTCCTTTTATATAATAATCTGATTTGGCTATTTTTTCTCAACTCATTTCATCTTTATAATGTGCCACTAGTACATGCAATAGCTAGCATTTATACTCCTCTTTTAAGATTTGTAAAGCACATTTACATATTTCATTTTATTTTATCCTTATAACAATCTTGTGAGGTATATGCAGTGATTCCCATTTTACAAATGGGGAAACTGAGGCACACTGCAAACGTGACTTGCCTAAGGTCATACAGTTAGTAAATATGTAGCAGGATTTGCTCAGTATGGCACACCCTCTTCAAAGAAGGTGCTGTGCTCTAGGAGCAAAGCACAATTGAAGTAGCTCGAAAGAAACTCAAGATGCACAAATTTAGGGAATCCACCCTAAATGTGCACCAGGACTATTTGTGCCCGACCTGTGGTAGAACATTCCGAGCTCCTGTTGGTCTGATCAGCCACAGTCGGACACACTATAACTTGACTCTAGCATAGTGATGTCATTTGGTCCTCTTTGAGAACGAAGGACAACAACCAACCAACCATCTAGCAGGATTCAAACCTGGTCCTCCTGACTACAGGTCCAGCTCTCTGGGCCCTCAGCTATATTGTGTGTTCAGACAATGCACAGAAAAGAGATGCCATCCGGTTGCCTGTGCTGATTATTTGTTTATGTGCATACGTGTGTGAGATACATTTATGTACTGTGTGTAATATGTCTGTTATTTAAAGTGTAGAGGGGGAAGCATGGGGGTTAAATTTATTTTATGTAGATCAGCAAGTACTTTCTATCTAGTCAGAGAAAGTTCCCAGGAAGAAGAAGATTGAGTTTTAATTGGTAGATTTTGCTGCTCATGGAGAGCCATGTGGGCCATCAGCCTTACATTATTTCATTTCAGATTTTGTTGGAATGGAGTTGAGTTAGAGAAGGTTTGTAGATAAGGATACTGAGACCTAGAGAGGTCAAAACAGTTTCCTCAGTTCACCCAGAAATGCCCAAACTCAAATTCTGCCTCCTTTGTTGTTTTCTCTTCCTAGATAGCCTGTTAGAAATTTCTGCTTAGTGCATATGGCAGCATTTAATCATTTTGAGTGTTTTTAACAGTTGTGCATCTGTTTTTAAACAGAAGAGTAAATGTTAGAGTGAGCATTGAACTCCAAGCAGTTTCTAATCCAGTACATCGAAAGGTTGGTATTTCTGATTTCTAATTTAATAACAACTTATATACTAGACAGCTAACTCATTCATTTCTTGTGTATACACACTCTTTGCCACCATCCTGGTTTTGTTTTTTGTTTTTAAATTTTGGCGTTTTTATATCTGTTGGAAATCTGAGGTTGTAGAAACTACTTAGGGTTCAGGGTGGGGAACCTGCCCCCTTAAGGCCGCATGTGGCCCTCTAGGTCCTCAAATACAGACCTTTGACTGAATGAATTCAGTCACTTGAGGACCTAGAGGGCCACATGCGGCCTTGAGGGGGCAGGTTCCCCACCCCTGACTTAGGTATTTGAAAGAGAATATGCAGTATCTTTATAAAGCATTCAAGTTGAGGGGGTCAGTTAAGGGGAAATGGTTCCTTAAAAAAGGATCAGATTCTACTTATAGGTTTTTAAACATAGAAATATAGTTCTATTCTAGAAAAATAGGATTCTAGAGAACAAACACAATAGTATAGTTGTAAGAATCAGACAAAAAGTACTGCAGAGGAAGAGTTGTAGGATGTTTTTTCTTTGGGAAAAGTAGTAGTTAAGGACTGAAGAATAATACTTAAGAGAACAATGAAACCACAGTTACTGGCACATACCAGCCTCATTTGGACTTGAAAAATTGAAAACAAAGCAGTGACAAGGGCATAGAATGTAAGACTAAGAAATATAATCCTGCTCCAACACTTTGGATTACATAGATGTAGTCCTTGTATATAAGAGAGTATGTTTTTGTCCATATGTTCTTTATTACACAGAGGTTCAGTTTAGTCTACCCATCATTGCTAAGACTTTTAAACACAATATCCAAAGGCCTCTCTACCAAAAATTTATTGATTCTGAAATTTGTAGGGGCTTGAATCTAGGAATGAAGCTGAGGCTGAGCCAAGAAGCAGCTTTAGGAAACATGGTTGAAGTTTTAGGCTTGATCTTTCTGTATACCTAGCAAAGTTTCATGAGGTTAGAACAAAGACTGATCTAGGTTACGGGCCTTTATCCATTGTTTTTAATACTTCCTGCTTCCCCCTTTATTCATAAGTAACTATATACAGCATAAATAATTGGTATTAAGGGGGCGGCTATGTGGCAAAGTGGATAGAGCACTGGCCCTAGAGTCAGGAGGACCTGACTTCAAATCTGGCCTCAGATACTTGACACTTAACTAGCTGTGTGACCATGGGCAAGTCACTTAACCCCATTGCCTAGCCAAAAAAAAAAATTGATATTAAGTTTACTAAGGACAAAGCACCTTTCTTGCTGACTGGTTCCCTAGTATTATTACCCCAGGACTACATATATATATATAAAGCCTTCAGAACTATTCAGCAGTAGTACTACATAGCATTTTGGTCCAACCTGAGAAAGGACTTAAATAATATTGACTTACACACCAGGTATTCAGAGGAATAGTAAAATTCATTTCTTTGCTTCCTTTTCTAACTCTTCTATACTTATTTCTGAGGCCCTAAAAACCACACTAGATATACTTAATAGTCATGAATAAATTTTTTTTCCAAAACTTTTGATCTGTGCTAGCATCTTCTGCTATATCTTTCTCATTCTCTGTTCTAACCTTGTCTCTCTATGTTTTACTAACATTCTTTTCTAATTTTCCCATCCATACCTACTGTGCTGTGAAGACTGATTACTCTAATGGTCAGTCCTCTAGTGTTGTAATTCTGAACTGCCTACAAAATAAACTTAAATCTCGTAGTAAAAGACCATTGACTTGGCACAAGAGACAGACAGATGGGTCTCAAATGCTACTTCATCAGCCACCTGGAGCTGAACAGAATTGGTTCGTGTGCAACCCTAACAGCTTGATATCTGATACCCTTGTTAGAGAAAACGGTTCCTTTTTTTTTCCCTTTTCTGAGGGGAATAAGTTATTTGTCAGCCCTCTTGATTTCTTTGCTTAAAAGAGGACTGACAAACTCTTGAGTTCAGAACCTTAATCTTGGGCAAGAAACCTAACCTCTAGCCCTCAGTTTCCTTATCTCTGAAATGAGGAGGTTGTTCAGTATGGGCTTAAAATCTGTTATTGCTCCTATATATTCCTTTTAAGTTAGAATTAGCCAAGTATAATACAGTTAGGAATAAAACATACGAGTAAAGATGTGGCATCTTGCCAGTAAGCTGTACCTAGGTATTCCTGAACCTCTCAGAATTCTTTCACCTGTGTATAATTATCAGAGTATTGGCCATCCTACTGTAGGCTGGAGTAAAGATTAAGTTTAAAAAAAAAAGGGATTATGAAAAGCCTTGAGTAATATAAGTGCGGAACTAGACCTAAAGTGATTGTGATCCCTTGATGTTGGATGTGTTGTAAGAGTTTGAGTCCCTTTTATTAGCTTTAAGTGAAGGTTCTCATATACCTGAAATAAGAAGCCAAAGAGAGAATAAAGGAATTTATTACACCCACAATTTTAGTCAGTATTTCCCAAGTGATATAATTTGATTTGTGGAAGGATCCCAACTTGCTCTGACCTTGTGGTTATCTTTTGGCATATACATCTTCCCTCTCAATTAGCCCATTGTAAACACTCCAGATGTAACCTTGAAGTGTAAGTCTCACAAACCTAGCTTTGAAAAGTAATTCCTTTAAGTTTATATCTGTAAAATTTTGTTTCTTCTTCCCCTGGATAATATGTGAGATTCAGTCTCCCTTGTGAAGGCTGTAAACAAAAATGATTCCTCTGGCCCTGTAGTTGAAAACTGTATAAGCTTTGTTGGAACCTTTAACAATGTTATTTTTCTAAGCTCTCAACCTTTATGCTTGAGCCATAATCAAAATGGAGGTTTTTAAACTCTAGGTTTCTGTGTGATGATAGTGTCATTTGGCAGTAATTATCATGAGATAATCAGTGAGAATATTTTTCCCATATCAGATGATTTTACTTCTAAGAAAGAAGCAGCTAACTAATTTGTAACTTCTATATGCACTTAAATACTTAAAACAAATCTTTCTCTTAGGATTTAGTCATTCAGTTGACTGATGATGCTGATCCATTTTTTCTGTATAACCTTGTTATATCTGAGGAAGATTTTCAGAGGTAAGTTGATGACTTAAGAGTTTTCTTTGTTTTATCTAATTAAATTTAAATATGTTTTAATTTCTTAATGTTTTATGGGTATATTGGTAGCCTTTTAGCAACTTTGAATATATTGGGATTTTCTATCTAATTTGGGGAAATTATGGTGTTTGTAAACTAATCCTATTCAGAATATTTGCAAGTTTGTGAGAGTATGTATTTTTAGAGCATATCAATATTCCTTTAAAAATAGAAAAGCTGCAGCTTGAGTTCAGTTGATTTTGAGGATGTTGAATACTATTTATTAACATTGCTAATTACTAAGACAGAATGTTAAAATTATAATATCCAGATTTTAAAATTTGCCTTTTCTTATCTCTATTTCACATATATGTAGTTTGAAACTTCAGCAGGGCCTTCTGGTAGACTTTTCAGCTTTTCCACAAAAATTTATAGATCTACTGCAGCAATGTACCCAGGAACAAGGCAAAGAAATTCCACGGTAAGTCTCATGAGGACACTGTGTTACTAAGCAATCTTAAACCAAATTTTCTTTTGAAAGGCATTTCGTATACCCAAGGTTTCTCCATGTGTTATGAATACCTCTGTCTTTTTTTTAATTTAGCTTTCATTAAATCTAAAATTTCAAATTGTCTTTATTAAAATCAATAGTAGTATATTCCCTTGAGTTCCCAAATCTTGATAAAGTCATAGACACTATTTTAATGAAAGTTTGATCTTAGGTATGTGTGTTTGTTTTGTTTTTGTTTTTTTAATGAAAGATGGAAGTACTTATATGGAAAAGGAAAAGAATTTAAATATATCTGTTGTCTAAAATTCTTTTCAGAATATTTTTCCAAGTGCAATTTCATTTGTGTTATTTCTGGGAAATTTTTTAGAAAGCTAATTTGCTTTTTATATTTGGCAAAAATGCCAGTTTATAGTGAAACCCATTTGTATACTTTGTGAAAAATTTGATTTGTATTTAATTTAGCCTTGTAAATGCTTTTTGGCCATATACAAATAAAAAATGGAGGCCAAATTTTGAATCTTTCAATTTAGTTCATTTTAATTAGTCTTTTCCTTATATTTGTCCATAGGTTTTGCATTTATACAAACTCAAAATTATGATAATCAAATATTATCTATAATATAGCAGAATGTTTTTCAATGCATTTCTTTGTTAAAATGTTTATATAATGAAACCTTGAACTTCAGTGCCTCTCTTCTACCCTGCCACAAATCTTTCAAGCTGGAGGAACATTTTATTTTCTCTCCTGATACCTTGGGTTAGGACTGGAACTCTGCAGATGTTGTTTTTGAAGAATTGGATGTATTTGTATGCTGGGAACAACTGTTAGCTGGTTTCCAGTTCAAGGCTTATATCATTGTACCTTCTTGACAGACACTTTAAGCCTTATTTTAATTGTGAGGTTAAGTTATTTTAATTGTGAAGTTAAGGGTTTTTCTGTGTGTCTCCACCTTTTTTAGTTTGTTTTTAAATATGGCAGATAGATACTGTTGTCAGTATCCTGAGATATGTCCTCATATGTATACTCATTAAGGGGAGTGCTCTTGATTTAATGTCACAGCTCCACCACCTTGCTAAATATTTTAATGTGTAAACTTTCCTTTCAAGGTTTTTGCTACAGTTAGTTTCTACAGCAGCGATATTGGATCACTCACCTGTATTTTTAAATGTGGTGGAGACAAATCCCTTTAAGCATCTTACACATCTTTCTCTAAAACTTCTACCTGGAAATGATATGGAAATAAAGAAATTTTTAGCAGGCTGTTTGAAATGTAGCAAGGTAAGGTTTGAATTTGCACACTGCCTTTCTGGGAGGCATTTTCCTCATCTGTAAAGTCAAGACAGTTAGACTAGTTATTTCTAAGGTCCCGTCTAGCTCTAAAATTGTCTGGTTTTGTTCTTTTTTAATTGAGTACAAAAGAACTACCGTAAAATGTTCAGGAATTTGGACATTTGCTATCATACAATGTGTTTGAGAAAGTATAAATAGGTAAAATTTCCATCTCATTTTTGAGTTTATTTTAGAATGTTCATTGTAGAGGAGATAGTGCAGCATAATAAAAAGAAGTACTAGATTAGGAGTCTGGAAAATGGTGTCTCGAAATTGTTACCAATTAATTCAGTGACCTTGAGCAAGTCAGGTAATCTTTTGGTGCCTGAGTTATAATATAACCAATGCCAAATATAAGTAATAAAAAGCCCACCCTTTCTATTCCATCTTAAATAAGGAAACATGGAAATTCCTTGAAAAGTATAGATTGCCATACAAACATAAACTGCTATTTCCTAGAGATAAAAGAGGTATGCCTGGACATTTTCTGATTTTTAATAATAGCTAGCATTTGTATTGTACTTAAGGTTTGCGAAACTCTCTGCATAACTCATTTGATCTTAGAAATGTTGTTTTTGGACTCGTACTTAATTAAATTAAAAATTGATTAACTTTTGCTTAATAGGAAGAAAAATTATCATTGGAGCAAACACTGGAGGATGTTACCAGGCAGTTAAACTTTACACAACAGGTAATTCAAAGTTTTACTTTTTTTCTTAGTTAATCATCTCTTTATGCCTCTCAGTTGTCAGACTACTCCACCACAAAAGCAAAATAAAACTAAAAAATAGTTACCTTCATTTATATACAGAACGTAAATCCCAGCTCAGATCTTTTGCTCTATCCAAACATTTTTTTGATCCTATAATTATTTCCATCTTTAGTGTTTACTCAGTGTCATTCTGTTTGTCTAAAATGTCCTGGCTCTTTCCCGATGGGACTGGGCTACAGAGAAGGAAAAATCATTGCCTCTAAATTTAATAAATGGTTTGTTATCTGTAGTTCATTTCTATGTGTTGGATGCAGCTAGTTGGGGTTATTGCTTGGCATCATTTTCCAGCTGATCTTAAGTTCTGCATTAGTGCTTAAATCAGCTGCTCCCTACATCTTTTGTGGAGGAGAAGGGGCTAGAAATAGGGGTTGGAAAGAAGGGCAGATAAAGTCTGGCGAAGAGGGGAAGGGCTTAAAAGACAACTTTATTTAGTTTTTTGAAGGTAGGAAGAGAAAAGGCCAAATTTTGAAATGATTTGTCTTTAGTGCTTCCTTCTCACTTTCATTATATCTGTCCCTTTCCTACCTTCTGCTATACCATGGCCCTCCAAAAGAACCCAGTGTCCTCGGGCTCTCCAAAATTCCTCTTTGCTATAAGAGAGATAATTCCTCTGAAATGTCTCTTCCTTGCTTTAGTTCCTTTTTTTCCTCCCTTAGTTAAAACTCCTTTTATTCAGTGCCTGTCAGGTATTTTGAGGAAAGTAATTTTATTAAACTAATCCTTATGGAATTTGAATATTCCTCTGAGAGTGTTTGTTCACAGACCTGAGTAAGTCTCCCAGTTAGCAAAATACCTTGTAACATAGGGAAAACGTTTTTAGGTGAGGGAACCTTTCTTTAATCATACCATTCAGCTTTTCTTATTATTAGCATAGCATCAATGGTAATGGTAGAAATGGGGCTAGAAATATTCCTGTTCTCCTTTCTTCCTTTTTCTTTACCTTGCTGCTTCTGGATTTTGTAAGTTTTTGGTTTTGATTGTGAAGATAAAATGAGTTAACATGTAATGTGCTTTGTAGACTTTAAAGTTCTATGCTATGATTACAGTGCTAGCTCTTATTATATCTAAAGTTTTCTAAAGCACAATGAACTAGCAGTCGCTGTAGCATGAAGACTACTTCCTCTTGGTGCAATGAAGCTAAAGGGTCTGGGTACAAGGAAGGGGCCTACAAATCATTTCTCCTCATCAGGGTGATATGTCCTTGTCTTACACATGTAAGGAAAAAGCATTATAATTGTGTAATTTAATTCAAATAAACTCAAGGTGTAGTAGGCACTGACAGTGTGCAAAGTACCATGCTAGGCATTGAGAATCCAAAGACTGAGAGAAGACAGCTTTTGCCTTCAAGGGGATTGTGCTTTACAGGACAGGAAATGAAAGAGCTCTAGGAAAGCTTGAGGGGGGATTCAACACTTGGCATTAATATTGCTGTGTTATTTAGTTCTTCAGTTGTCTTTTTTAATATTTGTGTTTAAAACTGTACAGACGTTGGCAGAAAAGATCCAGGAATTAGATAAGTTACGAAATGAATGGACATCACACACAGCGGCACTGACAAACAAGCATTCTCAAGAACTGACAAATGAGAAGGAAAAAGCCCTCCAGGTATGAACAAGAAGGGAAATATGTAAAATTCTTAGTTAAGGAAATAATTTGATTACAGTAATTCTGAAGGAACCTTTTGGAAAACAAAACTGAGTATTATATAATTATAATGACCAAATTTGGCCCCAGAGGAGTGTTGGGAAAATATGCTACCCTGTTACAAAACAAGGTGATATGCTTATGTTTGAAATTATTCCACAGGCTTAAGTTGAACGTTTTTTAAAATGGAGGAAAGTTCATATTTTTAGAAAAGAATTTAGAACATGTTCACATATATTTCTTTCATATTTCTTTTTGTCTTCTCTTAATTTTTTGTTAATTATGCTTTCATTTATTTACACGTAGGCACAGGTTCAATCTCAGCAACAGCATGAACAACAGAAAAAAGAACTAGAAAACATACATCAAAGAAATGTTCACCAGCTTCAGAGCAGATTGTCAGAATTGGAGGCGACCAATAAAGACTTAACAGAAAGGAAGTACAAAGGAGACTCCACCATTAGAGAACTTAAAGCAAAACTCTCTGGTGCAGAAGATGTATGGAATAGTTTCTTTTTGTAGTTGAAAACAGTGCTTTTATTTGGTAGATATTTATTTTATCATTTGTTAGACGTAATTGAATTATTCGTTTGTTTTGGTGGGGTGACAAATACTGATGGTTCGGAGAAAATCTACAGAGATTCTGGAAATTATATTAAAAAGGCTTCGTTAGAGACTAGAATAATAACATAATAAAGTTTTTCCCTTTTAGTCAAGGTCCAGAGAAGCAACTGAGAAATATGGCTCTCTAAATTTGAAAGTACTTGGTTTCTTGTAGCTATTTTGAATTACTCAGGAGCCTGGAAAGACACTAGTTTTGGAGTCTGAGAATCTGGGTTCAAGCCAGAGCTTTGCCATTTACTAGCTGTGTTACTTGGGATAAGTCACTTAATCTCTTTGGACTTTGGTCTTGTCATCTGTAAAAATGAAGATGTTGGACTAGATACTGTTTAAAGATTTGTAGGCCCTTCTTTTCCTATTGTCAACACAACTTTCTACCAAGACAGCTGGAAGTCACAATCTTCCAGAGACTGTTTTCTTATCTGTGATATGAGGGTGGCAGTATAAGTACTTCCTTTCCCATAGGATTATTGTAAAGAAATTGTTTGGTAAATCTTAAATTGTGATGTAATTGTGAGTTATTAGTTAATACTTATTATTGATGAAGCAGTGATCGAGCTCCCCTCAAAACTACTCCAAACAGATCTAGAAAACATGGTAGTCCAGATCATGATAGGGAAATCCAAAAAAAGTCAGTGAGTCATTTTTCCAGCCTAGGGCTTCTTAGGGAGACAGAGAGGTCACCAGACCCGGGGGATAAGATCTGGCCCAGAATGCTGTTCTGTGCAGAGCATTCCAATATAGAGAGAAGCTGTGTACCAGGACAAATGGAAGCCCCAGATGTATGCTGAAGCACCTTAACAAGGACAGGTGCCATTTGGCAGTTTTGTTGCCCACTACCTAATTATGGGTCACTGATATAAACATCTATACGAATAAGATGGGTTAGGGAACTGCTGACATTTGAACTTGACTCTCATCTGAACTTGTCAAAAGAGAAAGAAGAATATCTATACACAAAAAGTTAGGTACAAAAATAAATTTTAACAGGAAAATAGGAAGGAAGGGGGAGAAAGACTGGAAAGGAATTAGTGGGAGTGTAAATTAAGGGAAGGATTATTAGACCTAAGGAAAATAAACTAAAGGTGTAGAAAAATAAAGCTCTTTTTGAGGTGGCAAAAAATGGGAATTTGAGGGGGTTCCCATAAGCTCGAGAATGGCTGAGCAAAGTGTAGTGTATGGATGTGATGAAATACTATTGTGCTATAAGAAATGATGAAGGAGGGGCAGCTAGGTGGCACAGTGGATAGAGCGCTAGCCTTGGAGTCAGGAGGACATGAGTTCAAATTTGGCCTCAGACACATAAAACTTGCTAGCTGTGTGGCTCTGGGCAAAGTCACTTAACCCTAGTTGCCTTACTGAAAAAAAAAAAAAGAAAAAGAAAAGAAATGATGGAGGTTTTTATACAGACCTGGGAAGACTTTTATGAGTTGATACAGAGTCAAGTGAGCAGAACAATTTATACAGTGATAACAGTATGGTAAAGACAGTTTTGAAATAATTAGGAAGTCTGATCAATGTCATTACTAACTGTAATTCCAGAGGACTGATGATGAAACAGGCTACCTATTTCCTGATGGAGGTGAAGGACTGAGTTCAGAATAAGAAATATTTTTTTGCATGAGGCCATACAGAAATTTGTTTTGTTTGCAACATTATTTTGATCATCGAAAAAAAATATTGAAGAATTGTTAAAAAATGAGGCGTTAATTCAGATAAATAAAATTTAGGTCTCAAAAAGTTCTTTTATGTTTCTTGCTAAATGGTAGTCTTTTTAAAAAAGCCTTGTATTAGTTTATTCATATCTGTTGGCAAAGTTTTGGTGACTTTTCCTTAATTTGATTGTAAGGATTCTTTCCTTCTATAACAGACTGAATTATAAAACAGATGTAGATGCAGCACACATTTTTTTAGGCTCTTTTAAATTACTTGTACTAGAAACTTTTGACTGGTTTATATTTTCAACCTTATTATCTCTAATTAGAACCATCACATATTTATAATAATTTTATCTATTTTAGGAGTGCCAGAGGGCTAAGCAAGAAGTCCTCTCTCTGAGAAGAGAGAATTCTACACTTGATGCTGAATGTCACGAAAAAGAGAAGCACATTAATCAGCTTCAAACTAAAGTGGCTGTTTTGGAACAGGAAATCAAGGATAAAGATCAGCTTGTTATAAGAACAAAAGAAGCATTTGACACAATTCAGGAACAAAAGGTAATGTTAAAAAAAATTTAACTAATAAAACACATTAGTAAGTTGCACTTCTGCCAAGGAGCACAAAGGGTTCAAATTTAAATATTTTGTAATTCAGGTGGCCCTAGAAGAAAATGGAGAGAAGAATCAGGTACAGCTAGGAAAACTTGAAACCACAATAAAATCATTATCTGCTGAACTTCTTAAGGTTTGTTTTAAGATGTGTAAGAGAATTCTTCATGTATTCTATGGAATTATGTTTAGAAGTATATCTGATAAGACTGTTTCACAGGCAAATGAAATTATCAAGAAATTACAAGGTGATATGAAAACTTTAATGAGCAAATTAAAACTGAAGAATACAGTTACAATTCAGCAAGAAAAACTACTGGCTGAAAAGGAAGAAAAATTGAAAAAAGAACAAAAGGAGGTACAAGATATTGGACAAGCTCTCCGGAATAAAGAGCAAGAGGTAGTTAATGTTTAATAATTTTCAAAACTGTTTCCTGACTGCTTATGAAGATTTAATGTAGTCCTCTATAAATTGTAGCTATTGTTTAGGCATGAAATTCAATGTTGGAGAATTTTTTAAAATTTCTTACAAAAGAATCTGATTGGATTGCCGTTAAATATAATTAAACCATTAACTAGAAATAATGAAATTGCCTGTTTGAAAAAGTCAGGTATTTTGACTCAGCACACGTTACATTTTTATGTTTTTCATCACTTTGTTGGAATAAATAATTCCTTCAACTTGTTAATCCTATTTTAGCTTTTCCAGTACATGACTTAATTATATTGAAATATTTCAGGTAAGCAAATTGCAAGAACAGTTAGAAGTTACAGTACAAAAACTTGAAGAGAGCAAACAGCTTCTGAAGAATAATGAAAAATGTAAGTTTGTTGAATGAAAATAGCTAACGTATGGGTGGATGGCACTTTAAGGTTTACATTTCTAGGTATCCACTCCTAGCCTACCTAATTGCTTCTTTGAGAACAAAACCTCTCCATTTTACTTTTGTACTTAAGATTGTATTTAAATTTATTTTCCCTCAAGGAACTCAGTTTCTAATGAGGGGAGGTAACATGTAATATACGTATATGCATAATATATAAAAAATTACTATTGCAGTTAGGGAGGTGGGAGGTGGAATATCCTTCTCAGATCAGACTAATTTCCCACCTTTTTGTTAAGGATTTGGCTCAAATGCCACGTTCTCCATGGAGCTTTTTAAAAAAAAATTATTCCTTTACTCTTCTTATTATACACACTCATTTCACCTACCTTTTGTTATTGTTTGTGTATATGTTTCATTGTTACCTTTTACGAGACCATAAGCTCTTTGGGGGTAGAGACTATATCTAACTCCAACATCACTAGTGCCTTGTACACAGTTCAGTAAATATTTGTCCAATAAGTGAAAAAGTATTGTGAGTATGGTCTTTGATGATTAAAATTTTTAAATGAAATCCTGTAATTCTGTTTTTTAGTTTTCTTTATCCTGGGTTTTATTTTACATAAGACTGAAAAGAATAACAGTTATATGTCCAGTTTTGAATTTTTTAAAAAATACTTTCCAAGGTATCTGAGAATGCCAGACTTTTCCTTGCATTACAATCTTACTACTTTTTGTCACCATTCTCATGGCATTGTTAGATGACTAATGTTTGTTAATACATGTCAATATAGTAGGGGCATCTAGACTGTAACTCTGCCACAGTGCTATCTATCTCTGTGTAGGGAGGTTATCTGAGAGTGATTCTTTTTCTCATTTTTATTGTAGAGATATTGCATTTTGAAATTTATTTAATTTTTTAAATTTAGAATTTGAGGTAATGTTTATTTTGAAAATAGTTCTGTTATGAGTAGATTAAACCAGACCCCTTTCCCTTTTAAAATTCTTTGTTAGAAGGGATAGAGCTCTGGTGGGAGTGGGAAAGGAAATATTCAGAAATGTGGGCAATGTAAAAATTAATGATAACAGTAAAAGTAATTTTTTCAAAGAATAGATATACTTTAGCTGCCAGAGAATATTAAGGTCTGACCATGTCACCCCCTTAGTTAGTAAACACCAGTGGTTCCCTGTCTACTTCTAGGATTAAATATAAATTCTTCTGACCTTCGAAGTTCTTCATGACCTGCTTTCCACCTCGTGCCCTCCCCTTCCCACCCCACCCGCCTTTTGAATCTTCTTATATTTGTACCCCACCATGTACTCTGATCTAGTAACACTGATCTCTTTGCTATTCCACTAATAAGACACTCTGTCTCCTGACTCTGGGCATTTTTACTGGTTATTCCCCCAAGCCTCAAATGCTTCACAATTCTCTCTCCTGGCTTCCCTGGCTTCCATCAAGTCCTTAATAAATTCTGCTTCCCTCAGAAAGTCTTTCCTGATCTTAATTCTAGTGCCTTCCCTCTGTTGATTATTTCCAGTTTATCCATTCCAGTTTGTACATAACAATTTGCATGTTGTTTCTACCATTAGAGCATGAGCTACGTGAGAACAGGGACTGTCTTTTATTTATTTATTTTTTGTGAGGCAATCAGAGTTAAGTGACTTTCCCAGGGTCACATAGCTAGTGTCAAGTGTCTGAGGCTGGATTTGAACTCGGCCCTCCTGACTCCAGGGCCAGTCCTCTATCCACTGTGCCACCTAGCTGCCCCTGTCTTTTATTTTTATATCTCTAGTGCTTAGGTCAAGTGCCTGACACATGGTAAGTGCATAATAAATGTTTATTGACTGGCTGAAAGTTTCTACTGTGAAGTTTCAACAGTAGGTGAGAACTGACCTATATGGTGATCAGCAAATCAAAACATAACATTTTTACTTGGAAAAATTTATGTAATCCTATATATTGTCTCTGTTCACACATTAGGAGAGTTGGCAATGTTTTTTGCAATTCAAAAGGTTATTTTGAAGCTTAATACAGGTTTGTTTGAAACAAATGTAAATGTGTTTGAAATGTGTTTGAAACAAATGCAAAAATGGAAGGGCAAAGCAAAATGTTTGAATTTATTTGTTTTTCTTTTATGAAGTAATCACGTGGCTAAATAAAGAACTGAATGAAAATCAGCTAGTAAGAAAGCAAGACCTATTGGGATCCTCCACAACTCCAGCTGCTCAGCCTGGCAACACCACCATCAGAAGTGGAATTTCTCCTAATCAGAACATGGTAAGATTCAAATTCATATCAGTTAACTTCTATGATAGAGTCAAACACAGATATATCCTGTAAGCCCTTTACTGGGAGACTTCCTTCCAAGTTTTCATTAATGATTACTACTGCAGTTTGTTTATTTTGCAAGGTCCAAATCCATCTAATTGTATTATAGGCTTGCACAAGCATCTTTTCCATAAGAATACTATTTAATTAATGTAAATTATCAAGTGCTTGGCTCAAATCTAACTGTAGCTACAGCATTTACTGATCTACCCATGTATTAATAACCCTTTTATAAAAGGAAATGAGATTAGTCAGACATGACCTTTCTTAACTGAAGCCAGTGCTGGTTTTTTGTGACATTACATCTTTTTCTAGATGTTCACTAACCATCTCTTTAATGAGCTGTTCTGAATTTTCCCAGGCATCAAAGTCATTGGCCAATAGTTAATAGATTTCAGTGCTTTTCCATTGAAAATCAGGACATTTGCACCTGTCAGCTCCTTCAGTGCTTCTTCCGTTTTCCATGATCTTTCAAATTTAGCTGACAGTGGCTCAGCACTCACATCATTTTTTCAGTATTTGACAGTGTAGTTCATCTGGGCCGGATGATTTGAATTCAGCAAAGGCAGGTAGGTGCTTGAACTCTTCCTATCACCTTGCTAATATTGGCATTCATTTTCATATTAGCCATTTTACCTTCTCCTTGGCAAAGAAAAGAGGAGCAAAATAAGGATTGGTTGTTTCTACCTTTTCTCTGGTACTGTCTTCATCACATTCTTGAGGGGCAACAGTTTTCTTTATTCTCTGATCTTCCTTTTTTCCCAGGATAGCTTTTTAGAAGCCCCTTTTTATCCTTAGCTTTTCTTGACAGCTTATCTCATTCTGTGCTGTAGCACTTCTAAAACTCCTCTTGGAGTATTAATCTATGCTTTTGTATTCATTCACCCAGTTTCTTATCCGCCCGACTCTTCAGACAATTACTGTTTTTCTTCATATCAGAATCATTTTTCTTTGTGTCTTCTAGATTGCATTCTTGAAAGTTTACCACCCCCTTGACCTAACTTTCCATATAGAATTTTAGACTGTAGTATCCTTCCTATTTTTCCTACAAACTTTTTGAAATCTACCTTCACCAAATCTAGAGTATGTGTCAGACTGTGCCTGGCCTTCCTTTTTTTCTCCCCCTCTATCACAGAAGATAGAATGGTTGCCCTGTTTACCCCCAAGATTCCTATCTTTTCTACTGTAACACCTTTTCCTCCCTGTTGGTGAAAATCAGATCCAGATTTCTCCTTTGTTAGATCCTAAATCTTTTGAAGGATGAAATTATCATTATGGCAAGTCAGGAAATTATTACCCTTTTTAAACTTCATCAGGACCAGATTCTGACTGTTCTTCCCAAGATGTTCATCACTTGAACCTACCTTTCCTCTAGCTATTGTTCTCAGTCTCTCCTTATAGTTAAACTTGGAGAAAAAGCTATCTGCCTTTGTTGCCTCCATTTCCTCACCTCCCATTTACCTAACCTCTTGAGAGTTCTAACCTCTTTACTCAACTAAAACTACTCTTTGCAAGTTTACCATGATCTCTTCATTGCTAAATCAAGAAAAGTTAGTACTCATCCTTGACCTTTTTCTGGCATATGATACCACTGTGTCAAACCCTCTGCCTGGATACTCTTTCCTTCCTGGATTTTTGCACCACTACTTTCTCTTAGTTGTCCTCATATTTGGTTGACCTTTTCTTCTCAGTCTCTTTTGCTGGATCATCTTCTGTGTTCCGTTTTCTAACCATTGGTGTGTCCTAAGGTTCTATCCTGGACTCCCTTTTCATCTCTTTCCATCCTTTTGGTGATTTTTTTATCTTATAGGCTCTATCATCTCTGTGTAGATCCCTTCCAAATCTATCTGTCCAGCAGTAATCTTTCTACTGCTCTCTGGTGCTTCATTAACATCTGTATGTCTTATATCTTCAGCTCTATGAACCATAGGTACCTCAGATTCAACGTGCCAGAAAGAGAATTATCTTTCTACCCTCAGTCTGCTGCTCCAAATTTTCCCTTTTCTGTTTTTCTTCATACTTATACTCACTCAGGTTCATAACCTCACTGTCCTCTTGGACTCTTCTTTTCCTCATCACCAATGTCCATTCAGTTGCCAAGTCTTATGAATTTTTCTTCTGCTGAATATCTCTATTCTTTTCTCCACTTACATGACCACCATCCTATTTCAGGTCCTCATTGTCTTTCAGATGGGCAATTAAAACAATCTCTTAACTGGATTTTCAGCTTGCTGTTTTTCTCTCTCAGTTCCATCTTCCACACAGCTTCCAAAATAATCTTCTAGTAGAATGTAAGTTCTTTGAGGACAGGAACTCTTTCTTGTTTTTTTCTTCTGTCTTTATGTCCCCAGTGTTGGCACGTGTTAAATGTATAAATGGTTGTGGGAATTTGAATTTCCAAAGTACTGATTCCTTCCATGATTTATGAAAGAACGAAGCTCCTCTACCTTAACCTAATATCCACATCAGGTATACCTGCCCTTCCACTGTGCCCCCTGGAATTTCCTACCATAAGTAACAAATTTGTTACTGTAGACCTCTCCTTCTCTTGCTCCTTTCATATTTGGGCCGCCCTGAGACCTGGCTCCCCACAGATGACTGTATCCTGGCCATCCTTTCCAGCGTTGGTTGTACTTCTCTCCCCCCACCCGCTTCACTGGTAGTGGAATCGGTAGTGGAATTGTCATTTCTCCCTCTATAACCAGCACTCGGTAACGTTTCCTGCTTCCAGTTTACTCTGTCCAAATGTATCATCCTATCCAGGCCCTGGGGGTTGTTATCTACCAACCCATAGGACATTCTTCCTCATATCTCACTGAATTCACTATCTGGGCTTCTGTGTCCCAACTCCTTCTGTCATATTAAGAGAACTTCAGCATACATGTTGATGTTTCCTCAGATACTGTTTTCCTGGTTCTTCGTTTTGTTCATCTACTCCACTGCTCCACAGAGACATAGTCATACCATTGATCTTATTATCCGCAGGTGTTCTGCTTCCCTGTTTATGAGCTCTGCAATTGTTTTATCTAATCATAATCCTTTAACATTTCATCCCTCCCTCTGCCTTACAACCCCTAACAGTAATTCTTTCTTCTTGTGGTGACTTCCAGTCTTTCTACTTTTAGAGCTCATCACAATCTGGCTCCGGTGTTTCCTTCTATAAACACTGTACATTTCAGCTAGACTGGACCACTGGCTGTTTTCCAAACTAGGCATTCCATTGCTCTCTTCCCTGCTTTAGTACAGGCTGTTCTTAGTGCCTGCCTTCCTTTCTTCCTTACCTTCCCCTACTGGACTCCCTAGCTTCATTCAAGGCCTAACTCAGGAGCAGCCTCTTAAAGTGTAATAAGATCATGGGTTTAGAGCTGGAAGGGACGTGGGAGGCCAGCTAGTTCAGCCTCTCTGGTTTTATAGATAAGGAAAATAAGTCTTGGAGAAGTTAAGGGACTTGGCCAAGAGTACATAGAGAGTAAGTAACAAAACAGGAATTTATACTCAGGGCTTCTGACTGCAAATCCCATGCTTTTCCCACTAAAACATCCTGCCTTTGGGGAATTTTTGTGATTATGCAGCTTTTAATGTTCTGTCTCCTCAAATTTAAAAAAAAATGTATATATGTTCTATCAGGGAGTGTAAGCTTGAGGGCAGAAACTAATTTTTAATTTTGTCTTTGTATCCCTAATACCTTGCACATTTCCCTCTGCCCCTCATTCCCCTGGCCTAAAATAACTGGACCTTACTTAATGTATTTTCTCTTTTAAAACAACTGGCTGTAATGTGGAGTATCTCTAAAGAGTAACATGAAAGGAGCCTAGAAGGAAAGGCTGGAGCCAGAGTATGAATACAGTTAGAGGTCATGAGACAGGGGGAGGGATGAAATGTTAAATGATTTTGATTAGATAATTAGATGTTAGCATATGGTTTTTTTTTAAATAAGTTACTTAAACTGAAATTTTATTTTAAGTTAAATAGGGTGAATTTAAATTGACAAGGGAAAAACAACACAAAATAATGTCATTCCACAGAGAAAAGACCTTAAAATATAAATATTTAGTGGAAATGACAGTAACAAAAATTTATAGTTACAGGATAATTAGTTGGTTAATTCGTATAATTACCTACAATGAAATATTGAGTTTCTCTCTATGGGCTATTCTGGACCAAGGATGAGCCAGACACTGTTGACTCTGGTAAACAAGGCTAGGCTTCAGGGCTGAGGTAACTTGGCCTTAGAGGATAGGGTGAACAACTATGTATCTTACTATTCTGTGGGTCAGCCAGGTGGCATAGTGGGTAAAGTGCTGGACTTGGAAGTGAGGAAGACTTGAGTTCTAATAGTGCCTCATATTTACTAGCTGTGTGACCCAGGACAAGTCACTTAACTTCTAAGCCTCAATTTCTTCATCTGTAAAATGTAATTTTTGTTATTTAAAATGTTATTAAATGTTATTTTCTTGTTATTTAGCTTTAGTAGCTTAAAACTGCACTAACACTTTTGGGGCATGCTGTATATACATAAAGCACTTTGCAAAACTTTAAAGGACTTTAAAATGCTAGCTATTATTTCCATAACTTACTGGTGCTTACTGTTAAGTAGTATTAAGTAATACTATTTATAGCTTTCAATTTCTCTTAATTTCCCCTCCACTTTTTTTTTAGCTTGATAACAGACTACCTCTTCCAAACTGTGGAATTGGCTATCCTGTTTCTTCTGCATTTACTTATCACAGTACCTTCCCTCATCCTGTAGCTTCGAAAAGCACTGCTCATCCAGTTTCTGGACCAAAGGTAGCTATTTTATTTCATTTGTAGATGGAGATTTTTGTGTTTAATTAAAAGCAGAATTAAAGACTCGGCATAGCACTTTTATATTTTAAACAGTACTTGAATATTTCTTCTTGGCCTCCTCCAAGATAAACCATATAACTAGGAGTTGATAAATGCTGCTATAATTCTGAAGTCTAATAACACCTTTCTTCATAAGATGTCCCATGGAAAGAGAACTCCCAGTATAATTGGAATTGACCATGTGACACTTAAAAATATATTTATTCATTCAATATTTGTCTATGGTATAATAGTCTATTGCCTGGGTTAATGGGATAAGTTAATAAATTAACTGTACATTGGCAAAGGAAGGATGTTCCTTAAAGTAAATACTAAGATTAAGTGATTTTTATTAAATCATTTTTTCTTTCAAAATGTACCTTTGAAATTTTGATTCATTATGTACATTTTTTTTAACATGCAGCTTTTCAGGAGCTTAACATAATTTCCAAAGTTTGCCCAAGATATACTAGAATCACCTGCTCAGAGGATATACAAAGTGTGACCATAAAGTAATGAGATTGATTTTATTGTATGGCAGAGGAGTAAACAGGGCAGGGGTTTTATTTCATCCTCTAGCAGCAGTCCTGTCAAGGTCAGTCAGTAAGTCCTAGGCTAGAAGCTGTGATGAATTGAATTGTATATGGTTTTTCAAATAAAAACAAGTTGCCTAAACTAAAATTTTAAGTTAAATATGCTAGTGATACGCTTGAAATATTATAAGAAGCATAGGGATGAAACGTTCAGAATTTTTGACAGCAGTAAAGTTCAAAATGTAGAGAGGATCTAGAAATAAAATTTCACATTCAAAAGGGACTTCAATGACTAATTCATATTTGAAAAAGTCAGTAGGCATTATTAAGCACCTAACATATTCAAGGAGGAAACAGAGAGGCAGAAGACAGTCCCTGACCTTGAGGAATGCACAGATAGTGTATTGAGGGACAGGAGCAGACAATTACAGTCGAGCTATATAGGTTTTCAAAGCCAAGCAGAGGATTTGTTATTTGATCATGGAGGTGTTAGGGAACTAGTGGAGTTTATTGAGTAAAAAGAGTGACATGGTTGAACCTTTGATTTAGGAAAATCACTTTGGTAACTGAATGGAGGATGAACTGGAATAGGGAGAAACTTGAGGCAGGCAGACCCACCAGCTGCCTGTTGCAGTAGTCAAGTGTGAGGTGATGAGGGCCTTCACCAGTATCCAAGGAGAGAAGGGGGCCCTCTTGCGCTTATTTCACCTGTAAAATTTTAGCCTGTGGGGTTGTACTTATCCTTTCTTTGATCTCTTTGATACCTGCTATCACATAGTCTATGTTATTTGTCGATTATACCTAGTTTTCATCTTTTCTGTCACAAATTTTAAGAGGTAGTAGTCATTTTTCCTTATGTTCCCATCATTTCTGTAACCATTTCTTCCCCATTATTAGAATCAGATCTAAAGTAGAAATTGCCCTAATTAGTTCTTCCACTTTTAAAAAAGAGAATGAAATTTTAAAAAAGGATGAAATGGTAATGAAAACAAGGCTTATCTTTTGTTAGAGAGACCCTAATAGATAGCTAAATAATTCAAGTCTTTCATCATACTGTGTTATGCCTCTGTACTAGGTTTTTGATGTTTCTTAAATGCCTCATCTGTCTTATTTTTGTTGTGGTAATCTATAGTATGCTTCAATGACAAATTTATTTCTGTTCCTTCTTCCATTGAGCTTCACTGAAACACCTTTCATGATATTTCTCAGTTCTGGTTCCTGGATTTCCTCACGTGAACATGCCTGCTTAGTAAATAGTACTATCTCACCCCCTTTTACGTACCCTGTTGGTTTTTTCTCCACATAAAATATGTCCATCCAGAACTCATATTCCAAACATGGGTTTCACCTTCCATGTCTTATTGGTACCTTTGAGGTCAAATTTGCCTCTTTGTATTAAGACTTCCAACTTTGATGTTTGTGATATCATAAAAAGACAACATTGATTTACCTCTATGACCTAGGAAAATGATGAAAAAGTCAGACTTTGTTAAAAATGATAATCATTATGACCTTTTTTCAGTTCTTTATGATTACAAAACACTTAATTTATCTCCCACAGTAGTGTTGTGAGGTAGATAGAGGTAATAGTATGCAGATGAAGAAGTTCAGGGTGAGAGATATTTAAGCGATTTATCCATCCATGCTCACCCTACTGATAAGTGGTAGAGTCAGGATTTGAATCTAGGTTTTCTGACTCCAATTTCAGTACTCTTTCCGCTGTCCCATTCTACAGGGTCAACTGGAAGTGGTTAATAAGTAATATTTGTTGTAGAAACTCATTTATTCTGAAAGAAAACTTAACCCAAACATTTTAAAGGTTATACTTTTCACTTCTAGTGACAAATAGAAACAGCAAAGGATTGGGAAACTGGAGAAAATAACATATTTTTGAAGAAAATAGTAAGTAATAAGGAAATAATGGTCTTAGAAATATGACCCAGGAATAAAACATCCAGGTTTATAGGGGAAAACTTATAGTACTCTTTAGACCTAAGAAAATGAACATGTAAAACCCATAAAAAAAGACTTGGTTGGTTTTAGCTTTGACCTCAACAGTTTATCTGTAGAGTTCATTTATCAAGGTCAAAGATGAGTAAATCATATTTATTGTGTAGAAATCCTGACATGTCTCAGGTGAACTATATTAGAGAAGAATAATGAATCACGGACATTTAGTTTCATGGGAAAAATATTTTGTTTCCCCCACAGTAAGTGAAGCATGGTGATGACAGCAGCCTAATGCTTGGAAGTTAATGTCACTGAGGCTTAGAAGCTAGCTTGGATCATCACTGACCATCCAATTTATATCTAGGGGTGATTGGCAGATAGAAATTTAACAACAATAACATCTTGGACTTTAGCTACAGTTTATTAATGGCTATTGTCATGTAATTCTGGTGCTTTAAATAAATCTCCTTACTTTATAGTCACAACCTTTTATGTACAGCTTAGGGAAAAAAGGAGTATAACGTTATAATTTAACCTTACATATAAAAAGATATGGGTAAGTTAGTAAAAGACCAGTTGTAGTTGGATTTTCTAGGAGAAAAATAATTGTACAGCAATATGCTATTAGTTTTCATAGCTTCAAATATATGAAATGTTTTGTCTTTTACCAGGTTCAGTTTAACTTGCAGTTTGCAAAAACAAATACTTCAGGAGATATTCCTTCAGGAGGATCTATTAATATGCCTCACTCAACTGATAAAGAGAAGTAAATATTTTTTTATTTTATGTAATTAAAATATTGCATATTGGCAGTTATATTGTAAAGTCAATTTTTTAGATTTACTATGGCAAGAGTTTGTGAACATAAACATAAATCTATTTATCTCTTGAATGTAAATTATTGGTTACAGATTAAGTGGAAATAGTTCCCAGCATTTTTGGTTTAATCATATGTTTGAGAGATTTCTGAAATGTAAGAACATCTGGTTTTTTCTGGCATTGTTGAAGATTAGATCAACAAGCATTTATTAGGCACTTACTTGCTGGGAATACAAATAGAAGCAAAAGAAACAGTCCTGGGGCAGCTAGGTGGCCCAGTGGATAGACCATTGGCCCTGGAGTCAGGACGACCTGAGTTCAAATGTGGCCTCAGACACATAACACTCACTGGCTGTGTGACCTTGGGCAAATCACTTAATCCCATTGCCCAACAGGGGAAAAAAAAAAGAAAGAAAGAAGGAAACAGTCCTCAGGGAGCTTGAAAAATGTGCAAGTGCCCAAGTGTGTGTATGTGTGTATGTGTGTGTGTGTGTCTGTCTGTCAGGGAAGGAGTGGAGAAAGAAATCCAGAGTGTCAAGATCAAGCTTCAAGAAGAATAGAGTAGTAAGCATGGGTGGTCTGGGCCGTTCTCTAAAATGGATGTTCCAGGAACTGACCAATCAGAGGAAGGGGCCACACAGGGCCATTGTTTTCCATCCTGCTACTTGCCTGGACTTAATGTTCTTTAGAAGCTCATAGTGCTGTAAGATATAATCAGTTCTGAGACTAATTTCCTCAGATTTTCCATGAGGACTTCATCATATGTTCCTCCCACCCCACCCTTTTCAGCTTCTTTTTTTCTGTTGTCTTCCCCAGTTAGTATGTGAGCTCCTTGAGGGCAGGGACCATTTTGCTTCTTTTTGTGTCCTTAGTGCTTAGCTCTTACCACGCTTCCCGGCACACAGTAGGCACCTAATAGATGTTTGTTGACTGACTCTGAGGGCAGAGGAATCTTCATTGGGAGAAGCCAGGAGGAGTGGAAGAATATTGTGAGAAGGCTGATACTGCCTAGTGGCAGAGACATCTTTCAGAGTAAGAAGGCTGCAGGGGCATGATGCTGAAAGAAATTCAAAGAGTCAAAAAAAGATGGAGAGGAATGAAGGAGATAATTTTAATGGCTCTTTTGCCCTGCCTTTGTGGGAACACCCTTCATTGTTACAGATTCTTCACAAGGATCCAAGATGATAGTCCTTTCTCTAGCGATTTTTCCATTTCTTGAGCACCATTACAATGTCCAGACTATACCATTTTTTAAATTTCTTCTTGCTGTGTGAGAGGTTAAGATTGAGGAAATAAATCACAAATATGGCATTGCGAGATATTTAACGATAGGTGATTTTCTGTCAAGAGTTAAGCAGCTAATCATTTTTTGACTTGACTTAATGATTTCATCTGTCAAAAGATGGAGGCACTAACTAAGGGGAACTTTTATTGTGAACCTAATGCTCTTTGAGAAGAAAGAATATGATAGAAGGGAGGAATATATCTTTTTCCAGACTTTAATTTCTTGTTAGGTTGAATATGACAAACATGAAGCCATTAAACAGAAAAAGAGAATTGTATATGAAGCTTGAATCTCTATACAGATAGCTTGTTTTTTAAAAAATATATAATAGATTTAACATTTGTTCTAAAGCTTTCCTGTTTTTTTTTCTCTGAAATTTCTTCTTTTGTCTTCTGTGCAGTTTAAAAAATGTTCCATTGAGATTTTCTTTCTCTTCTCTTTTTCTGGCATTGCTGTCACTAACCTTACTACCTTACCTCCCCTTCCTCCCTCATAAAAAAAAAAATCCCTCCTTTATAGCATAAATATGGTCAAGTAAAAATACATCCATATACCATGAATTGTTCAGCCCAGTTGATGGGCACCAGCTCTTCGATATAACAAAAATTAACTATGGGGTGGGTAGGCTACTCTAGCTGAAGCAGTAAGGCATCCTGAAGGAAAGACAGGTGACAGCGTGTTCCAATCAAGTCAAACCACCACTACTTATTCTCAGACCCTTAGGGAGATGGCACAGGGCCCTAACCCAAAAGCTTTGGGAATAGCAGTGCTCCCAAGATTGTTGGCCCTGCATCTAACGCAGGCTCTACAGCCATTATTAAGGTCATCTATCACCATGAAGAAGGGGCCCATTTTTCTTGCCACCACCTCCTGCTGACCAATGATCAGGTAAGCCTAAGAGCTCTAGGAGGGGCACCATCCCAGACCTTACTTCTACTCCAGCCACCATCTTAGCCACCTGTATGGAGATGAGACCTGGCGTCTGCTTCTGTGGGTGGTAGAACTTAGGCCTCCTCAGAAGCCATACCTACTGAAGATCTGGAAAATAAAGTTCTCACTATGAAAATCTTTGGTAGATCAAATGAGTCATTATTAGAAATGGATGTTTTTTTTTATCAGTACAAATGACTTTATTAGCATCTACTTTGACAACTGTATCTTAAGGAGTATAGGACTATCCATCTTGTGGCTGACACCTGTAGGCGTTGTTTCTCCAATTAGAACAAGCTTCTTGAGAGCAGGGACTGTTTTGCTTTAGCAGTGTTTTGTGCAAGTGGTAAGCGTTTTAATGCATACTCATTTAACACAAGTACTTTTCACAAGTGTTTTCTATGTATGGGTCCCTTCCCTCCACCCCCCTTTTTTTAGTTTCTTTGGAGATGTGTCCGGTAGTGGTAATGCTGAATAGGAGGGGAAAATTTGAGAGTTCAGAGAGGATTAGTAGGATCCCCTTTACATGTTACAGGATTGCACAATTCTCGTGACTTCTCTGTAGCATTTGACAGTTTCTCTTCCTGGGTACCCTCTCCTCCGGATTTTTGGGACACTTTTTCTTGGTTCTCTTTTCTGGCAACTCTTCACTCTTCTTTGCTGGCATAATTATCTATGACTTGCCCCCAGTTATGGGTTGTTTCTCAACAAAGTTCTGTCCTGTATCTTGATGTGTTTATCCCCTCTCCAGTCTGGACTTTGGATGAACATGATAGTTGTGTTCAAATATTTGAGGGACTGACATGTGGATTGGATTTGTTCTGCTTTGCCCCTCAGTAATGAGAGGAATTTGCAAAGTGGGACATTTCAACTTGCTCTAAGGGAAAAGTTCCTAACAGCTCTCTGTAGTTGAAATGGATTGCCTAAGGAAGCAGTGGATTCTCCTTCACTGCAGGCTTTCCAGCCAAAGCTGTACAGCCAGTCATACTGTTGTACAGGAGATTCTTAATGTGCTGGCTGGATGGATAAGGCCCCGAGGGCCCATCTGACTTGGAATCAGTGAGTATGGCCAGGGTTGAGCAAGCTTTTTTTCCAACGCTGTCACTTTTTACTCAGTATAGCACTAGCCTTTAGTGTTTCATTACTGCCTCTGCCTACCAATTGGTCTAATCAAGTGTTTACTCACTGGGCACTGGTCAGCTTCTTGTAGATTCCTTATATTGGTTCATCTTTTGTAGGAAGTGGTATTAATCCTTATTGATGTCTTTTTTCATTATTCACTTCCTATTTTCCAGCCTATCACATAAAAACCATTTCTTTCCTCATCTAAAACTGTACTTTAACAGAATTCAACCTTTAGTTACAGAGCTTCATTGGATTTTACTAAGGAATAATCTGTTTAAGAAAAAAAAATTAAGTACTTTTTCTCCCTTTGATTAGTGGTGAAAATTTGGGCCTGGAATCGAAATATTTGAAGAAAAGGGAAGATAGTATTCCATTACGAGGGCTTAGTCAAAACCTCTTTAGTAATCCAGGTAAGAATCTTCTCAATTATTTCTAAATTGGAGTTTCCTCATAAGTGTGATTTAAAACTTCACGGATGTATGAAATCAAGGAACTAATATTTGTTTCCCACGACTTACAGAACATCAGAAAGATGGCTCTTTAACAACAGTACAAGCTTCAGCAAAACCTGCAGTGCTCCCTCCTTCTGTAGCTTCGGCATATTTTCCTGGACAGTGACCAGACCTGCAGCTTTGCTTTGTGAAGTATTGAGAGAATGGCAGTGGTTCTGGTTCTGGTCTTAACATAGCAACATAAATGCAGCAAGATAACTCTGCCTTTGACTTCAGTGATTGCTGACGATTTAGTGTTTTAATCCCACAAAGAGATGCTGCCTTGGCTGTCTGTGGAAAATATCACGGAAGAACTGAATTTGGACTTTGACCTTGGTCTGTATTTCCCAGGTAATGGAATATTTAGTGCCTTTTCTTTTTAAGGAACCTTGGCACCATTTTTGAAGGTAATATATATTTTATTGAAATAAATGTAGAAGGCTATAACCCTTTTAAGTGAGAGCAATTTTAATATAAGACCAAATAGTGCTGCTAGCGTTTCCCATATGGAGTACCTTATCTAGCAATTGAATAGGAATTCTTGAAAGTATTGATAGCCTACTGGTTTTCTAATGGAAAATTTAAAGAGTTTTATATATGATTTCATAAAGATTGTTACATTGGAACATTGTTCTAAGATTTGATAGAATTAATTTCATTATTAAGAAATCAGTGTAATTCTTACGGTAAAAGTTTAGCCAGCTGTGCAAAATAGTTCTTGTAGTTGATTCATCAATACATGTGACTTCCTTGAAACCTAGCTAGTGATGTAAAACCTTCTGCTCATTTTAGACAATGTTGCAAAACCAACAGCCAGATTATGCTGAAATGTCATCTAAACTAACTTCAAAACACTTTTGGCCTCCTGTATTTATCAAGTTTTTCTTTAATTTAAAATTTTTGCAGAAAAATTTTTATCAGGTGGCCTTTTGTCTAAATATTTAATAGCTATGCAAAACTTGGAAGTCTTGTTAGAAAATGAGTTTTTTCCCCTCAGCTTTTAATACAGATATTGACTAAGCCAAGAAAAGTTAACAGTGGAAACTTACATGCAGTACTAGACTGTGAGCACTATTAATTGCCACAGAGTATCTAGGCACATTTTCAATGGTAACTATTTTCTTGGGACTGTAATTTATATTTATATTATGCCCCCTTCCCTCCTCATTTTCACCAATATTCTTCTCAATGCAGTTAATTCCTCAGATAATTTGTACATGACTGATAAATTCTAATTGTTAAGCATGATGGTTTTATTACACATAAGCATTTTAAAATGTACAAATTAGCATGTTTGAGAGATAGAAATAAGTGCCAGCATCAGTAGGTGACATATTTTAAAAGATTAGTTAGAGTCTTAGGTGATTTTGCTATAAAGCCCTTTCCAGGATTTTGAGTCTTACTTAATTTAAGATCTAGGGGAAAATTGCTGTGTAAGACAGTCATCCTTTTGGAGGAAATTGTAGCTTATTAATTATGCTTTTAAAAAAACTAAGATGGTATAATCTTCATGCCTACAAGTCTCCTATTTTGTTGAGCTGTCAGGCTTAAGTTACAATCCTATAATCTTTAAGATACCATAATAGTAACATAACTAGATTACGGTGACTTAAATGAAATGTGGATTATGAAGCAGCTTTTTGAAAGCAACCTTAGAATGTTATTTGTAAATATTGCATAGTACATATTTATAAATCGAATGTGGACATTGGTTAGTAAAATTGTTACCAAAGCATTTTTTAAATGCTCATATTTTTTTCTTATATCTGACAATAGAAACCATACCAACTACTTGGTGGAAGTTTGCCATGAGTTATTTACTGTGTTCTACCTCTTAAACTCTTCAGTTGTTTTGCAGTGTAAAAGTTGTACATTTGTTTATAAAAATCAATGTTATACATTTAATGTATATTACTGAAATATTAAAATGGTTTTTGTTCAGTGGTATATGTCCCAAGTTTATTAAGAATGGCCAAGCCAAGCTTTTAAAGGGAAATGAGGTTGTATTTGTACTGTAAAGTTTTATATACACATGTGTGTGATATATTCTAACAATATACATACACCCTAACAGTTATTGTTAGAGTTTGTGTATATGTGTGTGTGTATATAAATATATATATTCTATGAATATATATAAATGCTGAAAACCTTACAGTACAAATATATGCATATGATGTGTGTGTGTGTGTGTGTGTGTATATATATATATATATATATATATATATGTACGTATGTATGTAATGTGTATGTGTGCACAAACTTATATGCTACAACAATTTAACAATAGTATATTTACACTCCCCTCACCCTTCCCACCGTACTCAATCATGGTCAAAGTTTTAAGAAGTAAGCAATAACCACAGACAAGAAAAACATTTTAAACTATACATTTTATACACAATTTATACAAAGTAACATTTCTTAAATAATATAACTGGACACAAAAATATACACTTTAGAGAAATTCACATCAGTAATTATTATATAAAGCTCTCTTCTAGGGTCCTGAAAATTTAGGACAAGCATTAGCTTTGTAAAGTGTTACTATGACAATCCTGAAAGGCCACTATATCTATACAAAGATATCACATTGACATTTTCAAGACTATCAGTTTATTGTATAATTTATAATTTCTGTATTCAAGTGTTGAGGTCCTTGTGATTATGCAAACATCAGAACAACAGTGGTATACGAAAACTATTTTTGGAAAGCTGTGCTTGAGCCAGTAGAGTCTTGGAGGCTCTAAACACCCACCCATTTAAATACCAAATGGTCTGATAACTATTTCATATAATGCCCTATCTCCCCCCCCAATGCACTTATATATCTCTTTAAAAATTACTGTTCTGCAAGCAAGCTTAAAACATGATTCTGCATTTAGTAAAAAATAAAAAAAAGTAAAAAATGCAAAATGTTTTGCCTTTTCCTTACTTAGTGCATAAGGCTTTGAATCACTAGACCCAAGATTTTACAGCATTAAAATAATTGGGTCTACAACTATGCTACCTACTAGTGTCTCACTGAGACTCAGCATAAATAGAATTAAAGCTCAACACCTTAAGGAAATGGATGCAGAGGCGTATATGCCATGGAGATTATTCATAGATAACTTTTTCCTTTTTTCCAGAACTAAACTTTAAGGCTTTATATAAAGTTTAGTGGCAAAAGAATGAAGTGAAACAAAATTTTTTAAGTGACATCTTTGGAGAACTGTTCTATTTTTCATGCATATAAGTTACTTAAGACAACCGTATGAAATGAAATTTGGATGAAAAGGGAATATGCATCCAGAACTGCAGGTGAAAAACCAAGACCTAGGAGCTGACAAAGTTTTTCCCAGCATCTATTGTCATACATTTGTGTCCTGAAGCAATGGTTCTTTGGCTTCCCCAGGAGCCTGTGGACTATGAGGATGGCTATGACCACCACAATGTTTTTTCCAACTGCCAGCTCTTACATTTAAGTTGGTATGTTCTGGGATAAACAAGGCAACAAGTAGAGCCAGGAGAACAGAGCAGGCTCCAAAGAGAAATGGGGGGCCAGGAATGATGGAATTCTGGGGAAAGAAAAAAATAATTAGGATTTTGCAAAGAAAGTCTCATCTGTTCATAAATTTCTCTCTCTTGTAGAAATAAGGGGGTTGCTATTTCTAGTCTGTTTTAAGGACATCGTTTCTTCCTCTTAGCCATTAAGTCTTCACAAGTTTGGCTTTGAAATGGTGATATGAAAGTAGTATTTTCTGATAATTATTATAAAATCCTTGCCAGAAAGAAAGGGGGCAGTGTTGAGTTATCATTTACAGATTCTGGACTTAGAAAAAAATGTAAGGAGATAAAAAGATATTTTTCATCCAGTATTATATCTGAAAGTGGGATTCTTGGTATAACTAGGTATTTTGTGAGCACCAAAGAAATACCATCAGACTTTTCTGTTTCAGAGAAACAGCTAAGAAAGTCTTGAGGGACAAAGTTGAGGGGAGATGGTAATAGAGAAGAAGGATCGAGATTATTATTTAGATTATTCTAAATGCAGGGAGACATCAAATCTCCAAAGTCCAAAGCAGGCAAAGGAATATAAATATTTGTTAAACTGACTGTAGAGTTTCCCTGTTTGGAATAAGTGTAACAGATTAGAAAAGAAGTGTTTAAATAAAAAGAATATGTAAGTGTAGTCCTACTTTCCTCTTAGGTTTATAAATATTTATACCCTAAACTTACCTGTATAGTAAATGTTATTTTTCTACCTACAGACAAATTAACAAATGCTTTTTACTTAAATCACCTGAACACTGAGGTGTAAATCTAAAGCTCACTTGTCAAGTGGGAAGAAACTTGGAGACTATTCATATTGGCTAAAGTCATGACCTGCCTTTAAATGGATATGATGAAATTGTATAAATAAAAAGATTCACCATAGCACAAATGGCTTTCTACTAGTAAAACTCAGTCTTGCATATAACTAGTTGGCTTTATTTAAAATGTATTAAAATAATCTATTTGCTAGAAAATCTGCTTGTAATGACTGACTTTCTAAATATTTTATCCTATTTAATCACTAAAGGAAGACTCTTACACAGGACTTAATAAAATAATCTCTTCTAATATGTCCTTTAGTGCAGCCTAATGAAATCTGGATATTTATTAGAGTGAGCAAGAAGAAGAAGATACCTCCTGGGTATGGTGCTGAGGGCCTTGATTTGTTCCTACATCTGTTTCTGTTATTTGTAGTTCATTCAGTTCCACGTGGAATATGTAGAATATAAATCCATAAAGAGCTGGTCCCAACCCATTACATAATCCTCGAATTCCTGTTATCATTCCTTGAACAACACCTAAATGGTAAAGAATACACCCCTTAACATTTTTCTTATTGGCAATACAACCATTTCTATGCTGCAGTTATAGTCCTCAGATCAATTAAATGATCATTTCACAACATTTATTTTTAGATAAAATAAATTTATAGATAAAAAGACGAAAGCTAGCCCTTGGCTTCATGGACCTCACAGTAGAAGTAGAGGGAAGAAGTAACACAAACACACATTCATAAGCATAAAAGGCAGGTATGTATCTGAACTGGGAAAAGGGGTCATGTTCTAGCATGTACAAATGCATGGTGGCAGGACAGCAGAAAAGAGTGGTTTGGTTGGAATAGACATGTATGAAATGGAACAGTGAAAGGGAGGCTAGATCCTTTTACCCCAAGAAGATTAGTTTGTATTCATATTTTTTTGGATCAAGGCAATGAAGCGATTAGAGTTATGAATTAGGAAAATGCATGGATGTGACAGACCAGCAAGTATACCCTTACAGTCACAAAATGCTATTCTATAGCCCTTAGTCCTACGAAATACAAGTTAAACATTTAAAAGTATGTAATACTGTAAATGTGAGATGGGCTTTAGAGCAAAATACAGGACATCCCTTCAGTTTTTTTTAAGTGACTGGAAAAATCAGTAATGGAACCATTTTTGTTACATTTCTTTATCTTAACATGTCACAAATTAAATGGAGTACTCTGGCTATCCAGGATTTCCCTGTAACTGGTTCCAGCCATTATGTATTATGTAATTATGTACATGTTACACTTTCCTAAAGGCTAAACCTCTGACCTCACACCTTCCTGCAAGGCAACAAACTCCTAAGGGGCAAAACTAGAAATGCTTCCTCCTGTCCAAGGCCAAGAGTCTCTGCTCTGGAGGGAGCCCAGCAGTAGCCCAGTTGAAGACTGCAGCTTAACATAAAGTTAGAGGTACTGGGGAATAAAACTGCCCATCCAGTACTAAGCTAGGAAACTGACAAGACTGGTCTATCCAACAGAGAGGCCATGTCTGCTGAGGAGCAACCCTTCCAGCATAGATGCCTCATCCAGAGAAGAATTTCAAGAGGACTTAACAAAGAGAAAATGGACACCAAGGCCCTACAGTTTCTGGGTCTCCTGCACCTGACATCATGAACTCTGAAACCATCACTTCAGCTGTCCTCTCATCCTGGAACTTCCCTTAAGTGCCTGAGGCCTCCTTTACTACTGGAACATCTAACTCCCTCTGTCAACTTTCTCACTCTCGAATGTCCTTCCCTCCAGGACATTCTCCCTTCTCCCACCAGTGAGTCCCTCATGAGGCCTCCATTTTGTGAAGGAGCCCAGGTGAGTCAGCCTTCATTCCTTGCATGGCTCTGCTCCTGGACTTGCAGATGTCAAAACCATTCCTCCTCAGAGAACAGAGAGCCGGGTCTAGAGTCAGTAAGACCCGAGTTTAAATCCAGTCTCAGATATTTTCCTAACTGTGTGACCCTGAACAAGTTGCCAAACCTCTGTCTGTCTGAGTTTTCACAACTGTAAAATAGGGTAATAACAGCACCTACCTCCCAGAGTTGTTCTAAGGATCAAATGAGATATTTGTGAAGCAGTAGACACTATATAAATGCTCATTCACTTCCCTTTTCCTTCCTCCTCCATCATGTACCTTTAGCCATTCAGCTCCCATCCCCAATCCCTTATTGCTCCCTTTTGACTGTAGTCTTCCTCCATTAAAATGTAAGCTCCTTGAGGGTAGGAACTGTCTTTTCCATTGTATTTGTATCCCTGGCATAAATGTTTGTTTCCTTCTTTCTAACAGAATTCCACTACAGGATTTCCTCAGCTATGAATAACAATTGAAATTTATCTATACAGCACTTTACGGTTTGCAAAATGCTTTGCATATTTTCTCTTCTGAATCTCACAACCCTGTGAAGTAAAATATTGCAGATTATTACTGTGGTAAAGTAGGGATCCACTTTGTAAATGAGGCTGAGAGAGGTTAGATCACTTCCCCATTGTCACAAAGTAGGTGTCTGGCAAGATCTGTGGGATGTAGTTTGAAGTCTCTAGGCAACCAAGTTGTTACCACTGTGCTAAATCCTCTCACTTTCTTCTTCCTGTTCTAATATAGAATCAAACATCCTTTTCAAACTTTTATTCTCCCCTACCAAACAGTCTCATCTCAATGTATTCTGAACTATTCTTACCAGGTTTGGTTAAATTGGTTTATGCCCAGCCATCAAAAAGAGCAAAGCATGAAATTGTCTCTCCAAAAGTTATGAGCAGAGACAATGATGATCCTCAGTTAGTAGAAACTATACTGTTTCATAAAAACAAAAAAGCTAGAACACATCGTGTATATTGATCTTTACTTTGTAAATGCAGAATCATGTTTTGATAACCAGTCTTCGTTTTGTCAATCAGAAATGGAGCTGAGGAATAATTTTCCATCAAGAGGCCTGTATACTTACTCAGCTTATTTTTTCCCTTATAAGTAGGCCAGCAGATATCCTTTCTCTATATTGAAAAAGTCTCCAATAATAAAGCATACTAAAACAGCAGATAAAAAGCTTTTATACTTTTTTAACAACCTCACCACTGGCCCCCGTCATATTTACCCACCCTGTTGATCAGCCTCAGCAGTCCGTGAAACGAGTGCACTGACAGCTGGGAAGGTAATACTGGACATGGCTGCTACTGCCCCAGCAGCCCACATCATCCTGCAATCAAAAAAGCAAAAGGCAAAATTCAGAATAAAATCAGCAAATCTGGCATACTTTTTACCTATTAGTTTATCTATTTTTTACCCATTAGTTTAGTTCATCCTGCAACTGGGTCATTTTTAGCAGGGGTGGGGAGGAGACATTTTGGCCTGTTAGAATATATTGACATGTTTTCTGAACACTCTGAAACCAGAAGGACCATCAGCTAAACCTGTTCTTCAAGGTGTTTATTCTGTGCCAGTTTGAGCAGACCAGTAGACTTTAGTCAGCTGATTTTAGAGAAATCTTTCAGTCATTTAAGAGAAGTTTTAGTGAAGAACTACCTGGGATGCCAAGTGAATATTCTTGTCTGACATTAAAAGAAATCTTGAAGCTTACAAAATCCACACTCTAGGCCCCCTTTAAAAACAAATTCAATACCCCCACCCCCACCACAAAACCTGCCTTATGTAAAGTCTTTTCATGTAAAAAAATCTAAGCCAAAAGAGGTGATTATTCAGCTGCATTGAAACATCAGGGCAGATCATGGAGTCAAGTCCTCTGATACCTGGGCAAAATGGCGTTTGTGGGCATCTTGACACCAGCATCATGGTCACCTCACTGCAGGAAACCAGACTGTGGCAAGAAAAGCTGAGAAGGAGGGTCATGGAAGTAAGACCAAAACACCTGGACTTTACTCACCAGTAAAGAACACTGGGGTTAATCAATTCTTTTCTTCTAAACAGAAAAAAAAATGATCAATAAAACTAACTTTCAGGTCCTTGTTGTTAAGGGACTTTGTAAAACAGGCTATTAGAGTGTTTTTTTAAGCTGACATGTCACACTAAGCTAAGTACTATTTAGGGTCCAGAAGAGTCAGTGACCTTAAAGTGAGCTCGAAGGCTCAGCCAATTATCTGTGAAATATGAACTTTCTGTCCCTCAAACTAGTGCTACAGAAAGCTCAAACAAATCAAGGTAAAAGATTTGCACCCATTTGGAGACAAAATAACATATTTAGTAAGAAACACCTGAAAAAGTTTCCATTTTAGACAAGGTACACTAACAATAAAATCTAAAGTACAAATGCATATACATATACATACCAAGGCTCTGAACCAAAGCCGTACCATGCCAGCTGCAATATTTGAAATCCTAGACCCAGTAAGATTGTGTTCTTGTTTCCAATTGATCTCATAAGTAAACTCAATACTACGGTCTGAGAGAATAAAAAAAAAAGCAACTGTTTTTAGATAAGCTGTTGAATACTTTTAGTGATCTCATCATTCTATCTTTGGTTTACATTCCCAGCAATAATTCTCAAGGATATATCCTAAAATCATACTTTGTAATGCAGAGACAGGGGGAGAACGTTTCCTTTATTTTTAATCATTATAGATTCAAAGGAAAGTGGACAATTAAGCATTTCACATTTGCTATGCAACACTTTTTTTACCTCACAGATTATTGTCACCTAAGTCAAGCCTCATACCTATGTAGTCTATTAAATAAGAAGCTGAACTGGGGAGTCGAGGTTAAAAAAAATCTACACTAAAATATGGGCACATTGGGGTGCCCACATGAAATAGAAGGTCACAATTTAGTAATTTTTACCATTTTAACAACTTAAGGAGGTGCACATTTTAAGGCTAAATTGCAAATTTATAACTATATGTTGCAGAACTTTACAAGACATAAAGCGCTTTAACATGTTACAGTAATTCCATGACAGACCAAGCAGGAGATGTTCTCATTTGAAAAATGAAAAAACACATACAGGATTTCATACATGTTGACAGGATTTAGAAGTGGCTAAAGCCTTAGAGCCTCCTTCTTTTAGGAAGAGGAGGCTTAGGCCCAGGTCACAAAGGGAATATCTTCTAAGTCATCTACTGCTCCCCTGTTATACTAGGTATCCTTAACAACACTGAAAACCTGAACACATCCAGGTAAGCAACTGAGATAAAGTATTGGAGAGCATGGCATCCCATGATCTGTCAAAGAATCTGGATGCATCTAACTCATAAAGGAGAGAAGTCAGAGGGAGGGGATAGGTTGGGTGGGAAGCAGGTAAGTACTTTCAGGACTATCATGTGAAGGTGCAAAAAAGTAGACTGAGTAACAAGGGGAGGAAGAAGCAGAATGGGAGAGGGGAAGAAACAGTGGGTGTGAAGTTAGTGGACATAGCTCAAAGGCTGATTCTGTCATTTGAGTGACATTGGGCAAGTCACTTAATCTATTTGGAGCTCAGTTTCCTGCTCTAAAATGAAGATCAGATCAGTAGTTCCCAACCTTTGAGCTAGAAACCCCTGGAAAGCAGTTATTGCAAGATGTCTATGAATTCATAAATAGACATCAGCAGTAGCCAGGTGGTGCAATGGATAAAAGCATGGGACTTGGCTTCAGGAAGAACTGTTCAAATCCTGCTTCAGACACTACCTGTGTGACCCTAGTCAAGTCATATAACCTTTCTCTGTTTCCTCTGTGAAATAAAGATTACAGCACCTTTACATAGTTGTCGTGGATAATAATAAAAGTACTTTACAAGCTTAAAGGGCTATATAAATGCTATTATTTTGCATCGATCGAATAGAAATTTGTCATGTTTTATTATTTTTTCAGTATACGTAGATTAGGATTAAGCAAATGCAAACTAACTTAGAAACAGTACTGAATTCACAGAACCTTTAATAATTTTGTATTTTCTAAATACATACTAACATTAAATGCTATAAAAAAGTCTTAGAGCCTTAGATGAAGGACCCTTCAGATCTAAAACCTATGAGTTTAAATCGCAAAAAAGCAGTCTGTTCAATATGAGGAAAGACTTTCTAACAATCTGAAACATTCACAAGTAGCAAGATTGGCTAAGAAGATACCAAGTTCTCCCATCATCTGTGCTCTTCTTATCAGCTATATTATAGCAGGATTCCATTCCTACAAATGCACAGGTTGGAGATGAACTCTGAGGTCCTTGACAGTTCAGATTCTATGATTTAACTTGTAACTTTCTCAGGAGCCAAACCGAGGCCTGTCATTTTTTAGCTGGTCCCCAGGGCTAGATTTTAAATTTGACTATTCCTGTTAACTACAGGCAATCAGGTGTGAGACGGAATTTTAAGCCTTCCAACTTTTAATCTCTACTGAGGAATGCAAGGCCTTATATAAGTGAAATTAAAGCTAATGAAGCAAGAGATGTACTCTACTATGGTTGAACTGTTACTTGAATTCAAGAGGAAGAACACAGAGAAGTTTAGATTCCTTTCCTGAAATTGATTTTCCTCTTCCATGAGTGAGTAGACATTGACAGAAATATAAACTGCCCACTCCCATATCAGGTCAATCAACTGTATGAGCAAAATTACCATAAAACTCTGCTTTTCTCTCTCATAAGCATATGTCATACACTACAAGAGCCACTTAATGACACCTGTTGCCTGTAATTTTAGAAAAATCCAAAGCTAGGCTTTTCAAATTCAATTACTTTGCATTTTAAAAGAATCATTTTCCCCCTCTTGAACAATTTTTGGGCGACTTAAAAATAGTCTTTTTCAAAACAAAAACAAACAAACAAAATCCCTTTAAACAAGTAGTTAAAATATTTTTTCCCAGTAGACTGGCAAGTGTATCCTTTCCCCTGGTGATCAAGAATCACAGATTCAGAGCTGGAAAGGGCCTCAGAAAACACATAGTCCAAACCCCTTATTTTACAGATGAAGAAACTGGAACAGAGAGGCTAAGTAACTTAAACACAGGTCTCCCTGACTCCATTCACACTACTCCACACTACCTTTGACACACAACTAGTGTTGTAGCACATCGCTGCTGGATAGTTCAAAAACTTCAACATCTGAGGTTCAAGCTGAAGTCTGGAAGTAGGACTTACCTGTGCAATAATGGAAAGAATGCCAAGGACAGCTATAAATGCTGCAACACTTTCTGGTGAAAATCTCATTATCTAGAGTTTTAAAAAGCTTAGGTTAATAGATAATAAATACTACAGCATAATATACAACAGCATAATAAATTCTATATTGTAGAAGAAACCTCTGAAATAGTGCCTGGCACACAGTAGGCATTCAATAAAATGTTTATTGGAGTGAAAGAATACCTTACAGGTCTGAAATAGTTAATGTACCTTCTAAGAATACCTAATTTAATAAGAAATACTTTCTTTGGGAGATTCAGGTTAGTGGATGCCAGTAATATATTATGTGATATGGAGAAAACAGTTGGAAATTATTTCAAAAGAGGCACCTTCAGGGCAATTTTACAAACAACTAACTATCCTGTCTCTAGTGCTATATAAAGCTAACATTCTCCATTTAAAGTCTATACAGATGAAAGACAAAACATTTCTGTTATTCCTATCCAGACATCTCTCATATGTCTGCTATTGGTCACAAAGGAACTAGGCGAGTATACACATAAATGGTTTAATGTACCAAATAACACCAAAGAAAGGACATAGAGGGAAGGAGGACCACCAAAGCCCACATCCTTCTGGAAAAGTTTAGTAACATCATTGTATATAGAGGAATATACATCCCTATTTTGTAAAAGGGAACATGAAAAATGATCAACTGTATAAAATGCTATCTATAAAAACTAGTATTTGTTTTTATAACCAAAAGCAACTCCATGGCAGGGAAGAAATGCCTCCCTCCTGAAAATAACTATTTGGCAGTGATTAAATATCAAATATTTATGGTTGAACCAAGAAGAAAATTCCATTTTGGCAGAATTAGACTACTTACCTGTCTGAGGTATAGAAAGAAGCTGGAATATTGGCCTGCCTCAGGTAGGTAAGAGAGAAACACTGTTATGCAAATTAGCAGCACTACAGAATCTTGACCCACTTTCTTTAGGGACTAGAACAAGAAAGAGACAAATATAAGATCTTAAACCAAAAAT